GTTTTGAAGTTGTAGTTCACCTACATCCAGAGAGCAATGCTTGGATTTATAGTTCACCTACAATCAAAGAGCATTCTGAATTCCACCAACGATGGAATTCTGGAAAATACTGGAAGGGTTTGGTGGGCACCAGAGGCGGCTCTAGGTAATTTTCAACAGTAAGCAAACAGTATTTTGGCGCCCCCCCAACCAATCATTGATATATATTTTCTGTTCGTCATGGGAGTTCTGTGTGCCATATTTGGTTCAGTTCCATCATTAGTGGAGTTCAGAATGCTCTTTGATTGTAGGTGAACCTATACATCCCATTAACTACAACTCGCATATGTCAAGGCCTATTTTCCCCCAAGAGCACCTCAAGAGCGCCCCTGGGCAAAATCAACTATACTGCAAATGCTTACTTTGCGTAATGGGTTGAGCCGCCCCTGGTGGGCACTGACCTTGAGTTTTGGGAGTTGTAGTTCACCTACTTTCAAAGAGCACTGTGGACTCAAACTATGATGGATCTGAACCAAATTTGGCATGAATTCTCAATATGCCCAAATGTGAACACTGGGAGAGTTTGGGGAAAATAGAGCTTGACATTTGGGAGTTGTAGTTGCTGGGATTTATAGTTCACCTACAATCAAAGAGCATTCTGAACCTTACCAATGATTGAATTGGGCCAAACTTCCCACACAGAACCTCCATGACCAACAGAAAATACTGTGTCTTCTGGTGGTCTTTGGTGACCCCTCTGACACCCCCTCGCAACTCCTCCAGGGGTCCCGACCCCAAGGTTGAAAACACAGCACTAGTCTTTTATAAGCCTAGCTAGTTCAATTTATTCACCAACTGGACCTCATATTGTGGTTTCCTCACTTCAGGTCCAGCCTATCTTTGAAACTGCATCTCTTTCTACAAACTGGCTCAGGCTCTGAGATTGACAGAGGAGGCCCTCCTCTCAGTCCAACTACCATCTCAAGCACGGTTGGTGATGACAAGAGAGAGTGTGTTCTCTGTGGTTCTCCGCTCTGGAATACCCTGCCAAAAGAGATTAGATTAGCCCCCACCCTTTAATCCTTCCATTCCAACCTGAAAACATGGATATTCAGACAGGCCTTTGATCTTGCGTAGGCTGAATGGACCCAGGCTATTCAGAATGCTGGTGGAGTTCAGAATGCTTTTTGATTGTAGGTTAGCTGTATATCCAAGCAACTACAACTCCCAAGTGACAAAATCAATTCGTCCCTGTGCCCCCCCCCCATCCACACCAGTATTCAAATTTGGGTATATCGGGTATTTGTGCCAAATTTGATCCAATGAATGAAAATATATTCTACGACTCATATATATGCAGGGATTGGGATGCTCTCATAGAAATCCAAGGAGAAGAAAGCTTGCAGCTTGGAAGCAGTGCATTTGAATCATCTTCCTCTCCTAAAGGGCCTGGTCTAGGGGATGCTGGGAGCCGTAGTCCGGAAGAGAGTGTGGATATGCTATTGTGTGTTTTGTTTGCCAGGAGAGGGGGGGGGGCATTTTTGGGCATGCGCTGTAGTGTCTTTTTGCTTTTTTGCTCTTTAAGTCTCTTCCGCTGAGTTTTTAAGTGTTTTTATGTGTGATGGTCACTTGTTGGCATGATAGATGTCTTGTGTCCAAATTTGGTGTCAATTCGTCTAGTGGTTTTTGAGTTATGTTAATCCCACAAACTCTCTATGTGGATTGCCTCTGAAGACTGCCCGGAAGCTGCAATTAGTCCAGCGCTCGGCAGCCAGGCTACTGATGGGAGCTGGATACAGGGAGCGCATAATTCCCTTGCTGCACCAGCTCCTCTGGCTGCCAATTAGCTTCCAAGCACAATTCAAAGTGCTGGTTTTAACCTATAAATCCCTATACGGTTCCGGCCCAGTTTACCTGTCTGAACGTATTCTCCCCTATGAACCATCAAGGATGTTAAAATCTTCCGGAGAGGCCCTGCTCTCGGTCCCACCACTTTCGCAAGTGCGTTTGGTGGGAACGAGAGACAGGGCCTTCTCTGTGGTGGCCCCTCGGCTATGGAACTCTCTCCCGAGCGAGATTAGATCTGCCCCCTCCCTCTTGTCCTTCAGGAGGCTAGTGAAATCCTGGTTATGGAATGAAGCATTCCCAGAATAATGGCTGAGACTGATTACAGACCAAAGTGAGCGGCCACATATGCGGACTGAGTTGAACATGATTTTACCTTGGCGATTTGGTATATATATATTTTATCTATATGTATTCTAATCTTGTATTGTTGTATGATGTTTTTAGATTGTACTATTAGCATTGAATCCTTGCTGTAAGCTGGTCTGAGTCCCTTTATGGAGGTGAGAAGATCAGGATATAAAAGTTTCAAATAAATAAATGAAGAAACTACATTTTTATTTACATAGATTATTAACTGTCCCCAGCCATGCTTTGCTGTGGCTTCAGTCTGGTTCCCTCCTTTCCTACCTCTTTCCTTCCTAATCCCCCCTCTTTTTCTGTCCTTTCTTCTCTCCTTCCTTCCCTCTTTCCTTCTCTCTTTCTCTCCTTCCTTCCCTCTTTCCCTCTCTCTTTCTCTCCATCCTTTCCTATCTCTCTCTCTCTCTCCTTCCTTCCTTCTTTCTTTCTTTCTTTCTTTCTTTCCTTCTTTCTTCCCTTCCTTCCTTCCTTCCTTCCTTCCTTCCTTCCTTCTTCCTTCTTTCTTTCCTTCCTTTTCTTCTTTCCTTCCTTCCTTCTCCTTCTTCTTCTCTTCTTTCTTCCTTCTTCTTTCTTTCCTTCTTCCTTCCTCCTTCCTTCTTTCTTTCTTTCCTCTTTCTTTCCTTCCTCTTCTTCTTCTTCCTTCCTTCTTCCTCCTCCTTCCTTCCTCCTTTTCCTTCTTCTCCTTCCTTCTTCTCCTTCTCTTTCTTCCTTCTTTCCTTCCTTCTTTCCTTCTTTCTTTCCTTCCTTCTTTCTTTCCTTCCTCCTTTCCTTCCTTCTTTCCTTCCTTCCTTCCTTCCTTCCTTCCCTCCCTCCCTCCCTCCCTCCTCCCACTTTCATTCATTCTCTCTCTTTCCTTTCCTTTTCTCATTCCTTCCTCCTTTTCTTCCCTTTTTCCTTCCTTCCCCACTTTTTCTTTCCTTTAATCTCTTTTATTTATATTCATATATATATATTGAGGATTTGTTTTAGCTTATGTTTTCAAGTTCCCCATTTCTCAGCCCAAACCCATCTGGGACTGGAAATACTTTCCTCTGCCAGCTTCCTAATGTGGAAGATCAGAGGCACAACCTTGCATAATGGGGCGTCAGAGTGAATTTTAAAGATCCCCATAAAAACAAGGGGGGGGGGAGCCATCCCCAATAACCCTTGGCAAGGAGCAATAAAAGATCAAGGGCATTTCTGAGATGCCATCGGAATCGCCTCTCTGTGTAAGATGAAATGGCCCCTTAATTCCCCTTGGGCTTCCCTTCTTCATTTTGGCAAGTCCTCCCTCCTTTTCCATTTGTTCGACATCTGACAAGAATGAAAAATGCTAAAAGGTGCAGATGGACTTTCAAGATTTATTGCAGCGTAAACTTTCGTGAGCCAGAGAGGCTTCAAATTCATGAAGCAGCCATCTCAGGGGGTATAATACTATTTGCTTACCCTGGACATGGAGGAAAGAAGAAACAAATATATATGTAGGGTTGTTGTAGGTTTTTTGGGCTGTATAGCCATGTTCCAGAAGCATTCCTTCCTGACATTTCACCTGTATCTATGGCAGGCATCCTCAGAGGTTGTGAAGTCTGTTGGAAACTAGAAAAATGGGGTTTATATATTTGTGGAAAGTCCCGGGTGGGAGAAAGAACTCTTGTGTGTTGGAGGGAGGTGTGAATCTTTCAGTTGGCCACCTTGATTAGCAATTGATGGCTTGACAGTTTTTAGGTATGGCTTGTTACTGCCTGGGGGAATCCTTTTTGAGAGGTGATTAGCTGTTCCCGATTGTTTTTTGTCTGGAGTTCCCCTGTATTTAAGTTTTGTAGATCAAGCATGGGTAAGCTTGGGGCCTCCGGGAGTTTTGGACTCCAACTCCCACCATTCCCAACAGCCTCAACCCACTTCCTTTTCCTTCTCAGCTATTTAAGCTGAATGCTGGGCACATAATCAATGTTATGCTGAGTGCTGGGCCCATAACCAAAGTTAAGCTGAGTGCTGGTCCATAAGCAATGCTTAAGTGGCTGGGGGGGGGGAGAAGGGGCCTGGGGCTGTTAGGAATGATGGGAGTTGAAGTCCAAAATACCTGGAGTGTTTTGGCCCATGCCTGGTATAGATGCATCTACAGCCAACCTGGCAAACATAGGGTGTGTTTACATTGTCAATTAATGCAGTTTGGCTCAATGCTATGGAATAATGGGAGTTGTAGTTTTTCAAGGTCTATAGTCTTCACTAACCCCATGTTTCCATAGCACAAGGGGCCTGAGGCTGTTAGGAATGATTGGAGTTGAAGTCCAAAACACCTGGAGGGTCCAAGTTGGCCCATGCCTAGTGTAGATGCATCTATAGCCAACCTGGCAAACCTAGGTGTGTTTACATTGTCAATTAATACAATTTGGCTCAATGCTATGGAATCATGGGAGCTGTAGTTTTTCAAGGTCTATAGTCTTCACTAACCCCATGTTTCCATAGCACAAGGGACCAGAGGCTATTAGGAATGATGGGAGTTGAAGTCCAAAACACCTGGAGGGTCCAAGATGGCCCATGCCTGGTGTAGATGCATCTACAGTCAACTTGGCAAACATAGGGTGTGTTTACATTGTCAATTAATGTAATTTGACTCTAACGGGAGCTGTAGTTTTTCAAGGTCTACAATCTTCACCGATCCATGTTTCCATAGCATTGAAACAAAGCAGTTAAAGTGGTGTCAAACTGCATTCGTTCTGCAGTGTAGACACAGCCCTAATTGTCAAAGCCCTTGAAAGCTTCATATATAATATGCTGGGTGAGTTTGGGGGTTTTCTAGTATGGGATTCATGCAAAACCCTTGTTTTCCATTGCAGGAATCTGACTTTCCAAGCCGTTCAATGATGCCTGTGCACCTGGAAGGGCTTTTATGATGATTTCTAAAATGAAAACGTCACCTCCCGTGATCCTCCTCATTCTGGCTGCTCTTCTGGCTCAGCAGAAAATATTAGCTCTGCAAGAAAGTAAGTGAAATATATTTTGAGGGTTATTTTGGGCAAAATGGAGTACAACCGCAACACAAAAGGACTGCATAGCGTAGTGAGTTGTGGGTGGAGACCAGGGTTCAAATCCCTATCAGCTCTGGAAACCCATTGGCTGATCTTGGGCAACTCTTTGAACTTCAGAGCAAAGAAAAGGCAGTAAACTGAGCTCTACAGGCCAATGGAGACTCCACCACAAACATCAGAAGAGCTGCAAGACGAAGAGCAAGCCAAAGATCCACCCAGAGGAAAAGAGTTCTTGTTGTTGTTTACTCATTCAGTTGCTTCTGACTCTTTGTGGCCTGCTGGACCATCCCAAACCAGAGCTCCCTATCAGCCGTCACCACCCCCAGCTCCTTCAGAGTCAAGCCAGTCACTTCAAGGATGCCATCCATCCATCTTGCCCTTGGTTGGCCCTTCTTCATTTTCCTTCCATTTTCCCCAGCATCATTGTCTTCTCCTGGCTTTCTGTCTTCTCATGATGTGGCCAAAATACTTCATCTTTGCCTCTAATATCCTTCTCTCCAATGAGCTGTCTTTATTTCCTGAAGTATGGACTGGTTGGATCTTCTCGCGGTCCAAGGCACTCTCAGAATTTCCCTCCAACACCACAGTTCAAAAACATCTCTCTTCCTTCGCTCAGCCTTCCTTACAGTCCAGGTCTCACATCCGTAGGTGGCTACGGGGAACACCATTGCTTTTACTATGTGGATCTTCGTTGCCAGTATGATGTCTCTAATGTTAACTATTTTATCAAAATGGGTCCTTGCTCTCCTCCCAAGAAGTAAGCGTCTTCTGATTTCCTGGCTGCTGTCTACGTCTGCAGTCATCTTTGCACCTAGAAACACAAAGTCTGTCACTGCCTCTATGTTTACTCTCTCTATTTGCCAGTTCCCAGTCAGTTCACAGTGCCTCTCTATGCTTGAAAAGAGGCAACTGGGAAATTTCTCAATGTGATAAAATGGTGGGATTATGACTTCTCCCCATCTATATTCCTGTTGATACAATCTAGAACCACATTTGATTTTTTAGCTGCTGCATCACACTTTTGCCTCATGTCCACCTGCTAAGGCTCCTAGATTCCTTTCACATGAACTGTTTCCAAGCCAAATGTCATCCATCCTAAATGTGCGAAATTCATGCTTCATGCTCAAATGTGGTAGCACCATACATTTCCCATTCTTGGACCGGACTGTGGTGCAGCTAGTTAGTAGCCAGCTGCATTAAATCACTACTGTTTGCCTCCCCGAACGTATTCTCCCCTATGAACCATCAAGATTATTAAGATCGTCTGGAGAGGCCCTGCTCTCAGTCCCTCGCAAGCGTGTCTGGTGGGGACAAGGGACAGGGCCTTCTCGGTGGTGGCCCCTTGACTCTGGAACTCTCTCCCTCTGGAGATCAGAACTGCCCCGTCTATCCTGACATTTAGGAAACAGGTGAAGACTTGGTTATGGAGACAGGCATTCGACGAGTGAGCCAACACCCTGAGATATGGATGGAGGATGATGAGCAACGATTTTAGTGTGATGACTGACTATTATAAGTATTGATTGTAATTGCTGTTTTAATGTTTTACTGTAATATGTATTATGATGTTTTATTGATTGTATGTGATATTATGGTTGGAAACCGGTCTGAGTCCCTCAAGAGAGGTGAGAAGGCCGGTATACAAAACTTTTAAATAAATAAATAAATACTGACTGAGAGGTCATGAGTTCGAAGCCAGCCTGGGTTGGAGTGAGCTCCTGACCATTAATAGTCTAGCTTGCTGTTGACCTATGCAGGCCGAAAGACAGTTGTACCTGTCAAGTAGGAAATTTAGGTACCACTTTATGTGGGGAGGCTAATTTAACGAATTTGCAACACCATAAAACTTTCTAGCAGTGTGCGCAAGAATGAGGAAGTACTCCATCAAGGACTCAGTGTCACAAGAGGATGGTGAAGCAGCAGCTCCCCCTGTGGCCGCAACTGAGCACGCCTTCATGAAGCCGGAAAGCTGGAATGTTAAATTACCTATGTGTCTGTCTATATATGTTGTATGTCTAAATGTGGCATTGAATGCTTGCCATGTATATGTGGATTGTTATCTGCCCCAAATCCCCTGTGGGTTGAGAAGGGTGGAATATAAATCCTGTAAATAAATAAATATTTATGTATGAGTTTATTTTAATTGCTTTGTATTGTGTCTGTTATGGCTTGTATTGCTTGTATTGATGTATTGTGGGCTTGACCTCATGTAAGCCGCACCGAGTCCCTTGGGGAGATGGTATCAGGGTATAAATAAGTATTATTATTATTATTATTATTCTTATTATTATTATTATTATAAATAAATAAGGTTTGTTCTGGCCCAACCTTATCTCCAGTTCAAACTGGATTCGTTTCCTGCCTTGACATACTGCAAAATACTCTCGGTTTTTCAAAAATCATTATTCTTTTGACATGAAAGAGTGCCATGCAAATACTTTAAGTGAATGTAAACATGCCATTCTTTCAAACCCTTTAAATCATTTAGATTCACAACCCACTGGGACGCAAGGCAGTAAGGAAATCTGCAAGACATGCAAAAGCGGACATGTATTTTCCTATATATGCCAACTCACCAGGACTTGCATGTGAACAGAGTGCAGCTTTAAACTCTGAAGAGTTAAAGGGATGTTTGAATTCCAGCTCCATCCGGATTTTGCCCATATTAAATCCCCAGCTGCCAATTAAGCCAATGTACTCGACTATAATGCCGTTTAATTCAGGACCGGGAACAGCGCCATAAATCAGCGTCTGGACGTGTCCCCGGCAACCTTTTGATTTATGAAACGGAGTAATCTAGGAGGCGAGGGGAAATTCTCAAATAAAATCATATCTCCCTTATGATTAATATAGCTGTCTGGAGCCGGTGTTCTGTTACAGAAGGGGACCCCTCCTGAAACATATTGACAAAACGGTTGGGTATTTAGGGTTGTGTATTTTTGTGGCTTGTTGCAAACGAAACAGAGGGTGCATCTACACCAGGCATGGGCAAACTTCGGCCCTTCAGGTGTTTTGGACTCCCCCATTTTCTAACAGCCTTATGCCTGCTATAACCCCATGAGAGCAAAGATATGCCCTGCCTTCTAGGTATAGCATCTTGGCTATAGTGTTGTTTTTCTACCCTGTTGTATGTCAGACTATTCAGCCAGTGATTGTGACTGATACTCATGTTTATGTTCATGATGTTGCAACCCAGAGCAGGAAACGCGACCATAAGATAACAATCCACCACACTTGACTGTGGGAAAAAACAATCCCTTTTTATTGATGAAAAATGGTTACAAAATAGAGGAAAATGCAAAGTCAAAAAGCCACTGTAAAATTCAGCAGTCAGGAATATCCATGAACATCCAAAAGCAACACTGTAAGAACCTGGAACCTGTTAGCAAACCACTAACCGTACTTGGAGCACTAGAAGCCTCTTGGGATGTAGGCCACGGGAAACAGGGAAATCTGCCAAGGTAATGCCTCAGTCTAAACGATGCCTGATCTAACGAGACAACCCGGCGAGAGGCACTTAAAACTGAAGAAACTATTTCGTGACACGCCTCCAGGCTTTGAAGCCTGTGTTTCCTTTTCCCTTAATCTGCTTGACCTTCGCAGACTCTGCGATTCACTCCTGTTTTTCCAAATCTGTCCTTTTCTATCCTCATTAAGGAAGCCAGGTGTTAACTCCTATGGAGAGCTATCACCGCTTGGCTCTGAAACAGTTTCACTTTCCAAGCCACTGACCTCAGAATCAACATTTTCATTACCATCAGGGAAAAATACATGTTCAGTAGCATCAGGAAATACAATCAGAGAATCAGGTTCAGGTTCAGCAATCAGAGAATCAGGTTCAGGTTCACACGCAGGCTGAACCCCAACACATGATGGGAATGGGGATGGTGTTCCTGATGTTACGTTCAGAAGAGAGGCCTGAGGAAGGCCACATTCCTGGGAGAGACCTTTCACCGCTTTTCTCAGAACAACTGTCTGAAAATGATGGTGAGATTCATTTGCTAGGTGCAGGAGTTAATGTGGGAGAGGATAGTGAAACCTTGGACAGAAAGCAAAGTTTTATTGCACTCCAGAACAGAACCTGGACCCTCTGATCATAAGCACATCACACCTTGAATGAAGGAAGAATCCTCTTTTATTAAAGAATTACAGGAGCCCAAAAAGAAAGATGGTTACAAAATAGGTGGAAGTCCAGAAGCAATAACCAAACAATGCAGCAGATGAGCAGTGTCCCAATATAGGAATAATAGCAATGTCCAAAAAGCTTGCAATTATAATCCAAAGCAGTGAATATCCAAAAAAATCTTCAAAAGAAAATCATGAACAGACTAACCCCTCCTAGTCCACTTGAAAAGCTGAGAATATCTTTAAAGACAAGACCACTTGAAACAGGAGTTTTCATGAGACTTGAGTTTGATTCCAAATGATGCCCAATCTGAAGAAGATTCTCTAAGGGCCAACTTTTAATCCCAAAAACTGATTCCTACTCCCCCCAGTTTTTGGGTTTAACTGCCGAATTCTTTTTGATCTGTGTAAACATTGGGCCTCTCGGCAGTTCTGGCTAATCTCCAGTTGGCGACTGGTCTTATCAGTCTCCTCATTAACTCTACCAGGTGTCAAGCTGTCTTGCAAACTCAAGTCTGCAGAAGGAAGTAAACTATCCTCCCTTGCTCTGACAGAAACTTTCTCATCAGAACTGGATTTTCCCCCCAAGGCCTCTCTGTCAGTGTCTGCAGGAATCTTATGGCCCAAAGTATCTCCATCTTGCACCTCATCCTCACATCAGACTCATCCAAATCAGACCCATAAACATTAGGAGGCTGAAACACAATCACAGATTCAGGTTCAAACACAGGCTCAGTCCCAACAAGTTTTAGTAAACAGAGGCAGAGCTTTCAGAGACCGAGGCTTTCAGTTCATCTACAGCAAAAGAAAGATAACTCCGTGTTGTGGCACAGTTGGTTGGGAGTCAGTGGCATTAAAATGAGTACTGACCAAGATGTCATGAGTTTGAAACCAGCCTGGGTCAGAGTGAGCTTCCGGCCATTTGTCCAGCTTGCTGTTGACCTTTGCAGCCCGAAAGACAGTTGCAGCTGTCAAGTAGGAAATATCGGTACCGCTTATGCGGGGAGGCTAATAAAATGATGCCATAAAACTCTCTAGCAGTGTGAAAAAGAATGAGGAAGTACTCCATTGGTGTCACAAGTGGATGGTGAAGCAACAGCTCCCCCGGTGGCCAAAATTCAAAAAGCATGCCCTCATCAAGCTGGAAAGTTCAATAGCCTCTGTGTCTCTGTCTATATATGTTGTGTGTCTGTGGCATTGAATTTTGCCATGTTTATGTGCATTGTGATCCGCCCTGAGTCCCCTGCGGGGTGAGAAGGGCAGAATATAAATACCATAAATAAATAAATAAATAAATAAATAAATAAATAAATAAGTAAATAATAGGAAACCATTATTTGGTGGGAAAGTCAAGAAGAATGTTTTCCTTTCAGTTTTGGGTTCTGGAAAAGATATATAATGATTCATGCCTCAGTCGAGTCAATGTTGTTACTTTTTATCACGGTCTTGCTTTCCAGTGCTCTGTGTTTCATGTATCAAGTTTTTGCTAAGCTCCGGTTGCCTATGGGATTTCCCCCCTGTTTCCATGGCTTCAAGTGTCTTGCTTTGTGGATTTCTATATACTAATGGAACTTGTTTCACTTTGAAGCATATGGACTATCTTGAATTTTGGACTTCTATTGTTTTGTTATTTTTTACTGCTTTGCATACATATATTCTACCAAGGTGTTATGTTTAAGGTCAGAGGTGTTCCTCCTCTGGTGTACCACATACCCAAAGAACCCAAAAAAGAAAAAGACATTTCAAATGGCTGGAAATATATTGATTTTAACATATGGTTACTTCCTTCGTCTGAAATGTAGCTTGCAGCACCTGGTACTCCCTGTGGTCTCCCATCCAAATACCAACCAGGGTTGACCCTGCTTAGCTTCCAAGATCACTTAGGATCTGGTGCCTTTTGGTATTTAGACCATTTACCCTAGGTAAAGGTAAAGGTTGTCCCCTGACATTAAGTCCAGTTGTGTCCAACTCTGGGGTGTGGTGCTCATCTCCATTTCTAAGCCGGAGAGCCAGCGTTGTCCGTAGACACCTCCAAGGTCATGTGGCCAGCATGACTGCATGGAGTGCCATTACCTTCCCACTGGAGGAGTATTGATCTACTCACATTTGCATGTTTTCGAACAGCTAGGTTGGCAGAAGCTGGGGTTGACAGCAGAAGCTTACGCTGCTCCCTGGATTCGAACCTTCGACCTTGCGGTCAACAAGCTTAGCAACTCAGCACTTTAACACACTGTGCCATTTACCCTGGTCACTATGAATATGAAAATAAATGTGTGAAGCAACCCATTTTAAGTGTGAGTGTTTTAGGGTCTCCATTTTCACGAGCCTCTCTTCCCTTCCCTACTAAACAAAGAGGGAACTGGAGGGAGAAACATGATATTTCAAAACCAGATTTCCGATGCAAGAGAGTGTACGTCTGGGCTTCCGTGACATTTCACCTGGGCTCGGCCCATGAAATATCATTCATACAGACAGTGAAAACCAATTAAAATAGATTAAACCCGTTAAGAGCCGGGAAAAGGCTTTGTCATTGCTTTAAATGATGTTCCCATTATACCAGTTACCTCCCTGCCAGCTGTGATAGCTCTAGGACAGTGATATTCAATTAAACTGCAGGGGGGTGGGTCGGTGATCCTTCTTTCCTATTACCTGGGTGGCAGTTATCACCTGTCCTGGCAATTCGGTGTTCAGGGTGGCTGCTGACATGTCAAAGGACATCCTCAATGGCTCTGCTTGCTTCCTTTTGGAAGAGAAGGGGCCATTGGGGGGCAAGGGGGTCTCTCCTGGGCCTTTCAGGGCTATTCAACAACTTCATTAATGACTTTGATGACTGAATAGAAGACATACTTATCAATGTATTGTCGAAGGCTTTCATGGCCGGAATCACTGGGTTGTTGTAGGTTTTTTTGGGCTATATGACCATGTTCAAGAGGCATTCTCTCCTGATGTTTTGCCTGCATCTATAGCAAGCATCCTCAGAGGCAGTGAGGTCTACAGGCGAAACGTCAGGAGAGAATGCCTCTTGAACATGGCCATATAGCCCCAAAAAACCTACAACAACCCATACTTCTCAAGTTTGCAGATGACCCCAAATTGGGAGGTATAGAGAATACCCAAGAGGAAAGGATCAGGATCCAAATTTATTTATTTATTTATTGTGTCAGAAGCAAACTGAGAATACTGTTATAATGTGTAAAAAACCCACAAAGTTAAAAACTTGGCATTATACTAAATGTCCTCTGACCAGAAGCTGAACACTAGGAGTGCCTCTGGTGTTATGAGAAGGTCCTCCATTACGCATCTGACAGGGCTCAGACCACATTGTAGTCTATGGTTTGCTCTTCACAGCACTTGCATGCCGTGGACTCCACTTTGCAGCCCCATTTCTTAAGATTGGCTCTGTATCTTGCAGTGCCTGAGTGCAATCTGTTACACACCTTCCCAGTCGCCCAGTCTTCTGTGTGCCCAGGAGAGAGTCTTTCATCTGTTATTGGGCACTGGTTGAGGTTCCGGGTTCTAGCCTGCCACTTTTGGACTCTTGCTTGCTGAGATCTTCCTGCAAGTATCTCTGTAGATCTTAGGAAGCTATTTCTTGATTTAATATGTTGGCCTGCTGGATGATATCTGAAGAGAGGATGGGCCGGAGATGTCAATGTCTTGGTCCTTTCATTACTGGCTGCTACTTCCCGAAGCATGTCAGGTGGTGCGATACTGGCTAAACAGTATAATTTTTCCAATGGTTTTGGGTGTAGACAGGGGAGGTTCAACCATTACGCAAAGTAAGCATTTGCAGTATAGTTGATTTTGCCCAAGGGTGCTCTTGAGGCGCTCTTGTGGGGAAATAGACCTTGACATATGTGAGTTGTAGTTACTGGGATGTATAGTTCACCTAAAATCAAAGAGCATTCTGAACTCCACCAAAGATGGAATTGAACCAAATATGGCACACAGAACTCCCACGACAAACAGAAAATATATATCAGTGATTGGTTGGGGGGGGGGGGGTGCACCAAAATACTGTTTGTTTACCGTTGAAAATTACCTAGGGCCGTCTCTGGGTGTAGACATCCTGTGATAATGCGGCATGTTTCATTAAGAGCCACATCCACTGTTTTAACATAGTGAGATGTATTCCACAATGGGCTTGCATAGCAGCACAGTAGCATAGCGTAAGGGCAGATGTCTTCACTGTGTCTGGTTGTGAGCCCCAGGTTGTGCCAATCAGCTTTCCTATAATATTATTTCAGGCACCCACTTTTTGTTTGATAGTCAAATAGTACTTCTTGTAAGTCAGAGCACAATCCAGAGTGACTCACAGGTATTTGGGTGTGATGCAATGCTTCAGTGGGATTCTTTCCCAAGTTTTGGCCTATAAAGCCCTATACGATTCCGGATCAGTTACTTGTTTGAACGTATCTCCCTTTATGTTTTGCCTCGTAGTTTAAGATCCACCAGGGAGGCCCTGCTCTCGGTCCCACCGGCCTCGCAAACGCATCTGGTGGGGACGAAGGACAGGGCCTTCTTGATGGTGACCCCCCGCTTGTGGAATTCGCTCCCCAGCAAGATTAGAGGCGTCCTCCCTCCTTTCCCTTAGGAAAAAAACTGAAAACATGGTTTTGGCACCAGGCTTTTGGCTAGCAGGTACAACAGCACTTTGGACACTGAACTGGACCATATGATGATTGTTATGATAATGGAAACGGCTATATGACTGTATAGTTAATGTTATTGTTTTAATCTATTATGTATTTATGGATTTATATTGTTATATTGTGATATTGCGGCATCGAATTGTTGCCAGTGTTAGCCACTCTGAGTCCCCCCTCAGGGATTGAGAAGGGCGAGGTAGAAATGTTGCAAATAAATAAATAAATAAATAATCCTCAGAGCTCGAGATGCTTGTCTGTTCCTAAGGTGAAAAACACACGTCTGTGATTCAGATGGATTAGGAATCAGCTGATTTCCCCTGTAATAGGCAGTAAGAGCACCTAAAGCTTTGGAGAGCTTCTGTCCAACCATTTCAAAGCTCTCTGCTTGAGTGGTGATGGCATGATCATTAGCATAGATGAAACTCTCTGTCCCTTCTGGCAGTGGCTGGTCATTTCTGTAAATGTTAAACATTGATGGATCCAAAATGACCTGGCAGAAGAGGTTGGGACTGGCTGGCATGGGGTGTCCTCTAATTCTGCGATTCTTTGATTTCTACAATTCCAAGTCTTTCCTCCTCTTTCCTCAGCTTGTGCCATGGCGGAGAGAGCAGACATGGTGTTCCTTGTGGATGAGTCCTGGAGTGTCGGGGAGAGCAACTTCCTGCAGGTCAAAGACTTCATCTACAACGTCATCCGGACCTTTGAAAATGTGATGTTTGGAAAGGCCGGTGTCCGTGTGAGTGTGGTGCTATATGGAGATAAACCAAGGTGAGGAAAGGAGGAATCCATCCCATCCTCTTGGTTGTTCCTGAAATTGTTTTTTAATCTATTCCAGGTGTATAATCGTAGAGTTGGATCATAACCCATCAGCCCAACCTTCTTCTGCCTTGTAGGAAAACACAATCCAAGTCATCCAAGAAGGAGATTCCACTGGTCTCTCAGGCAGCAAAGTATTCCATTGAAGAGTGGTTCTTACTTCATCCTGGAAAGAAGTGACGAGCGGAGTGCCGCAGGGTTCCGTCCTGGGCCAGGTCCTGTTCAACACCTTTATTAATGACTTAGATGAATGGTTAGAAGGCATGATCATCAAGTTTGCAGACAGGACTAAATTGGGAGGGAGAGGCAATACCCCAGAAGACAGGAGCAGAACTTCAAAACGATCTTGACAGATTAGAGAGATGGGCCAAAACTAACAAAATGAAGTTCAACAGTGACAAATGCAAGATACTCCACTTAGGCAGGAAAAACGAAATGCAAAGATACATAATGGGTGACGCCTGGCTCGAGAGCAGTACGTGTGAAAAAGATCTTGGAGTCCTCATGGACAACAAGTTAAACATGAGCCAACGATATGATGTGGCGGCAAAAAAAGCCAATGGGATTTTGGCCCGCATCAATAGGAGCATAGTGTCTAGATCTAGGGAAGTAATGCTACCCCTCTATTCTGCTTTGGTTAGACCACACCTGGAATATTGTGTCCAATTCTGGGCACCACAATTCAAGAGAGATATTGACAAGCTGGAATGTGTCCAGAGGAGGGCAACTAAAATGATCAAGGTCTGGAGAACAAGCCCTATGAGGAGAGGCTTAAGGAGCTGGGCATGTTTAGCCTGAAGAAGAGAAGGCTGAGAGGGATATGATAGCCATGTATAAATATGTGAGAGGAAGCCACAGGGAGGAGGGAGCAAGCTTGTTTTCTGCTTCCCTGGAGACTAGGACGCGGAACAACGGCTTCAAACTACAAGAGAGGAGATTCCATCTGAACATGAGGAAGAACTTCCTGACTGTGAGAGCCGTTCAGCAGTGGAACTCTCTGCCCAGGAGTGTGGTGGAGGCTCCTTCTTTGGAAGCTTTTAAACAGAGGCTGGATGGCCATCTGTCAGGGGTGCTTTGAATGCAATATTCCTGCTTCTTGGCAGGGGGTTGGACTGGATGAGGTCTCTTCCAACTCTTTGATTCTATGATTCTATGATTCTACTATCTGTTGCAACTCAGAATAGATTCACCTTGCTCAGAACACCACACACACCAAGGCTGAATGTTTTGTAGTTTATTGAAGAAAAAGCAAAGTCTTTTAACACAAAAGTAAATTTTCAAAAGTTCAATGGCAAAACCAGAGTCTTAAATGCAAAGGCAGAGTTTCCAAAATCCAATGGCAAATAATATGAAGCATAATCCATAGACATTGATCAAACAAGATTCCATGGCAGAATGACAGAGTCTGAAGGAGCCAAGAACAAGACAAAGTCCCAAGAAGCCAAGAGCATTGCCCAAAAGCCAAGGCAATCCAGAGAAGTTACCAGGGTGTTCGCAGAAGTTGCACTGACAAAGAGTTGACTTCAAACAGCTCATTTAATATACTTTCCCATCATGAACGCATTCCTTTGACCTCTAACCTCTCTCTTGTTAGCAAGCATTGCACTGCGGCGAACCCTGAATTGCAAGCGATCTTCCCTCTCTAAATCTGCAGAGCCTTCAAGGTCGGATAGCTCATTAGAATCATAGAATCATAGAATCAAAAAGTTGGAAGAGACCTCATGGGCCATCCAGTCCAACCCTCCTGCCAAGAAGCAGGAATATTGCATTCAAATCCCCCCACAGATGGCCATCCAGCCTCTGTTTAAAAGCTTCCAAAGAAGGAGCCTCCACCACACTCCGGGGCAGAGAGTTCCACTGCTGAACGGCTCTCACAGTCAGGAAGTTCTTCCTCATGTTCAGATGGAATCTCCTCTCTTGTAGTTTGAAGCCATTGTTCCCTTGCGTCCTATTCTCCAGGGAAGCAGAAAACAAGCTTGTTCCCTCCTCCCTGTGGCTTCCTCTCACATATTTATACATGGCTATCATATCCCCTCTCGTTCGTTAATTTCGTAATTCGTTAAACATTCGTTAATTTTTGCATTTACGAAACGATAACAAACCATATTTTCAAACCTGGAAGGGTTTTTAAATATCGAAACGGCAACCCCCACAGTTTTAACGAGCTTTCGCTCGTTTCGTAAATGGGGCGGGCAGGGGCGAAGGGGCGGCGCGAGCGCGCACCCAGTGAGCCAAGCCCCGCGCCTGCCTGTTGGGCGCGAGCGCGGCTCCCGATTGGCCGGCCCGCGCGCGCTCGCCCTTAGGCTGAGGCCCTCTTTGGCAGGAGCCTCCTCCCCGCCCCTCTGCTGCTCCGTGGCTAAAGGTTCCCTTCCTCCCCGGGCTGGGCTCCCAAGCCTGGCGCCCAGCTTGGGGAAGAAGGAGGACGGAGGAGCAAAGGGGCGAGGGGGAAGCTGCCGCCGCTGAGGCCCCCTTCGCCAGTAGCCTCCTCCTCGCCCTCAGCGGCAGCAGCTTCCCCCTCGCCCCTTTGCTGCTCCGTGCTCCTTCTTCCCCAGGCTGGGCGCCAGGCTTGGGAGCCCAGCCCGGGAAGGAAGGGAATTTTTAGCCACGGAGCAGCAGAAGGGCGAGGAGGAGGCTGCTGGCGAAGAGGGCCTCAGCGGCGGCAGCTTCCCCCTCGCCCTTCTGCTGCTCCGTGGCTAAAAGTTTCCTTCTTCCTCAGGCTGGGCTCCCAAACCTGGCACCCAGCCTGGGGTGGAAGGAGCACGGAGCATCAGAGGGGCGAGGGAGAAGCTGCCACGGCTGAGGCCCTCTTTGGCAGGAGCCTCCTCCCCGCCCCTCTGCTGCTCCGTGGCTAAAGGTTCCCTTCCTCCCCGGGCTGGGCTCCCAAGCCTGGCGCCCAGCTTGGGGAGGAAGGAGGACGGAGGAGCAAAGGGGCGAGGGGGAAGCTGCCGCCGCTGAGGCCTTCTTTGCCAGCAGCCTCCTCCCCGCCCCTCTGCTGCTCCGTGGCTAAAAGGGTCCCTTCCTTCCAGGCATCCTTCTACTAAAAAGAATTTTAACGAATCAATTCGTTATACCCTTAACGGATCGACCCCCGCGCCAATAACGAAGCTTCGGAAGTGTTTTTACGCATGCGCGGGGGTCCGCCATCTTTACAAAATGTTTTGTAAATATTTACGAAATTTCGTAAATACCGAAACTTTTTTTTGGGAAAATTTTGTAATTATTTTAAATATCGAAACAAAAAAACACCCCAATTACAAATCGATTTTAGAACCAAATTTTTTCTTGATCAACCAGGCCTAGCTGAGAGAGTATGGCTTGCCCTAGGTGGTCTTCCGTGAATGAGTAAGGATTTAAGCCGCTCCTCATAGGGCTTGTTCTCCAGACCCTTGATCATTTTAGTCACCACCCTCTGGACACATTCCAGCTTGTCAATATCTCTCTTGAATTGTGGTGCCCAGAATTGGACACAATATTCCAGGTGTGGTCTAACCAAAGCAGACTAGAGGGGTAGCATGACTTCCCTAGATCTAGACACTATGCTCCTATTAGTGCAGGCCAAAATCCCATTGGCTTTTTTTGCTGCCACCCTGAAAATCGGCAGCCTGAGAGCTCGCCTCCTCCACCTGCACCTGTGAAGTTTCACTAAGATCAAAAACATCTTCCAAAACAACATCCCTTGCCATGGGAAACTGAAACTCCTCGTCTTCAGTATCAACATCGTCTGTATCAACAACAGGAACATGTTCAGGAAAGATTTTGACCACGAAAGCCTTCGACACTAGAAGCATAGCATCCTAGAGTTGCAAGAGACCTCGTGGGCCATCCAGTCCAACTCCCTCCCAAGAAGCAGGAAAAATCACATTCAAAGCACCCCCGACAGATGGCCATCCAGACTTTGTTTAAAAGCCTCCAAAGAAGGAGCATCCACCACACTCCAGGGCAGAGAGTTCCACTGCTGAACAGCTCTCATAGTCAGGATGTTCTTCCTAATGTTCAGATAGAATCTCCTTTTTTGTAGTTTGACACCTTTCTGTGTTAATATCCAAGCAGGATAATTTTAAGAGTGTGTGTTTAAATGGCAATCTGTGAGAGAAGCTGTGACTGACACTGAATGTGTTTTTGCACATGTCACCTCTTAGGGTAACTCCGTGAATTTTGTAAGGCTTTCTTATGCAAGAAAAATTCATAGTTGGCTTTGCCAGTTTCTTCTTCTGAAATCAGCACCTGGTATTCAGTAGTGGTCTCCCATCCACAAACCAACCAAGACTGATCCTACTTAGCATCCAAGATCAGATGTGATTTGGTGCCTTTAGGTATTTGAATTGCAAGCGATCTTTATCTCATAGGATAGATGGTGAATATTTATCTTTCTAAGACTGGAGATTAAGTCTTTTCACTCAATTCCTCAGATGAAGAGTTGGCAATGTGAATTAACCCCAATCTATATAAATAAAAATGTAATGTTGATTTGTGGGATTAACAGAACTCAAAAACCAATGGACGAATTGACACGAAATTTGGACACAAAACACCTAACAGTCCAACGAGTGTCCATCACCCATAAACACACACACACGCACACACACACACATACACACACACACACAAAACCCCAGCAGAACAGACTTAAAAACCCAAAAATACACCATATATACATATACACTCATATACATATACACATGCATACATTCATACACACATATACATATGCACAAGAACACACAAATATACACATATACACATATATACATATACAAATGCACACATACATACATATACATACAAATATGCATATAGACAGGCACACACATACGCACACATACACATACGCAATATGCATGTACACATATAAACACACAAATACACAAATATATACACACATATACACACACAAATATATATGCAAACACACATATATATACACACACACACAAAACACAGCTACATAGACTGGGCCACAGCAACGTGTGGCAGCGGACAGCTACTGTGTGTGTGTGTGTGTGTGTGTGTGTGTATATATATAATGTTCATTTGTGGGATTAACGTAATTCAAAAACCACTGGACGAATTGACACCAAATTTGCACACAACACACCAATCAGGCCAATGAGTGACCATCACTCATAAAAAGACTGAAAAACACAGCAGAAGGGACTTAAAAAGCCAAAAAATAAAAAAACACATTACAATGCATGCACAAAACAATATATATATATATGTATATTAGGGCTGGGCAATCATGGAAAAATTTGTTTCTAAACTCGATTCGTTTTTAGGGAGTTTTTGCGTTTCGATTTTTAAAAGAATTCCGAAATTTTTCTTTAAAAAAGTTCGAAATTTACGAAATTTCGGAAATTACGAAACAATTATGAATCGATTCATTAATGGAGGACGCGACGGCGCAATACGCTAAAAAAACCTCCAAATGGGACAGGGGGAACTTCTGAAGCTTCTCTCTCCCTCTGTTGTTGACTGTTGGTGTGATAATTATATATTTTTTTCACTGATAAAACAAACAGCAACTATAAAACTTGCACCAGATATGCGGAAATAATAACGAAACGATTTCGAAACGATTTCAAAACAATTACGAAACAATTACGAAACAATTACGAAACGAATTGAAAAATTCATTTCGATTTTTAGTTGCTCCTGAATGGTTCAATATCGCTTCGTTATAAAAAAAAATAACGAATTAATAACGAATTACGAAATTAACGAACGAAACCGCCCAGCCCTAATGTATATATATTGTTTTGTGCATGCATTGTAATGTATTGTACATACACACACGTATGTATGTATGTATGAAAACACACATATATACACACATGAACAAATATACGAACACACAAAGCACGTATACTGGGCCACAGCAATGCGAGGCAGGCGATGGCTAGTAACAATCTATTCCCTTTTTGTGTTTCCTTGTGTTGGCCCTAGGATAAGCATCGACCTGACAGATTATATCACAATTGAGGAGGTGCTGGTGGCAGTTCGGGACCTGTCTTTCCAAGGTGGCAATGCCAGGACTGGCCATGCGCTCTCCTTCTTGGTTGACACATTGATTACTGCAGGAGCCTTGAGAGGAGATGCAGCAAAGGTGAGCAAACTGGAAGGCAAAGAGAGACAAAAAAAAATAGAGATTGCACAGAGCAATAGTGCCACCTGCAGTCGTCGAAAGAAGTCAACTCAAGCAATCTTGCCATGCAGGCCCGTAGCCAGGATTTCGTTTCGGGGGGGGGGGGGCGAATTTTTTTCAGGGGGGGTTCGGGGGGGCTGAGTTTCGGGGGGGGGGCTGAGTCTGAGTGAAAGAGGGTCTAGCCTAGCAAACCTTTTGTATAATTACCCCAATACCCCCATGCATATGGGATATATTGAGTATGGTGATCAGATCATGATATGAATAAACATAACAGTTTAAATAATGCACCAGTAAGGCCTTTTCGCGAACCACCATGAGAATTTGGGGGGGGGCTGAAGCCCCCCGAGCCCCCCCCCCCCCCCGGCTACATGCCTGTTGCCAAATGCCTGCAAGTCAGCTCTGATTTATGACTACAGTCTGCTCTCCATATTTGCAGGTTTAACTCTTGCAGATTTGATTATTCATGGATTTTATTAATGCATTCTTTCTGGGAAGCTGTAGGTCCCTCTGTGCAACTGGAAGACCTAGCGACTTGATAGAGTAAACACCTTTCTAGGTATTTGTAGGTCTTCCATTGCACATTCATGCTCAATATCTGCTGAAAATCTATCATAAAGTCATGCTGGAATCTATAGCCAGAAACCAGAGATAATTATAATCATGTCTTAGAACAGACATGGGCAAACTTGGACCAGCCAGTTGTTTTGAACTTCAACTCTCACAATGTGTTGTTGTAGGTTTTTCCAGGCTGTATGGCCATGTTCTAGAGCAGTGGTTCTCAACCTTTCTAACACCGGGACCCCTAAATATGGTTCTTCATGTTGTGGTGACCCCCAACCATGTTGTGGTGACCTCCAACCTCACCTGCTTTGGATGACGAGAGCACGAGGCAAGAGAGGCAGGATTTGCACGAGGCCAGGCCTCGTGCGGAGGACCCTTTGCTGGATGACTAGAGTGTGAGGCGGGCTTTGCACGAGGCCAGGCCTCGCATGAAGGAGCCCTCACCTGGCCCACGCCCTTGGGGCGGGGCCAATGGAGGTGGCCTTGCGACCCCTCCGAAGTGGCCAGGCGACCCCCTGGGGGTCGCGACCCCCAGGTTGAGAACCACTGTTCTAGAGGCATTCTCTCCTGACGTTTTGCCTGCATCTATCGCAAGCATCCTCAGAGATAGTGAGGTCTGTTGGAATTAGGAAAATGGGTTTATATATCTGTGGAATGACCAGGGTGGGACAAAGAACTCTTGTCTGCTGGAGCTAGGTGTGAATGTTTCAACTGACCACCTTGATTAGCATTTGATGACCTGGCAGTGCTTGGGGCAATCTTTTGTTGAGAGGTGATTAGATGTCCTTGATTGTTTCCTCTTTGTTGTTTTGCTGTTGTAATTTTAGATGCAGGCAAAACATCAGGAGAGAATGCCTCTAGACCATGGCCATATAGCCCGAAAAAACCTACAACAACCCAGTGATTCTGGCCATGAAAGCCTTCGACAATACACTGAACTCTCACCATTCCTAACAGCCTCAGGCTTAAGTGACTGAGGGGGAAAAGGAAAGGGCCTGAGGCTGTTAGGAATTGTGGGAGTTGAAGTCCAAAACACCTGGACGGCCCATGTTTGCTCATGCCTGTCTTAGAGCATAACAAATACATAAACTCTCAGAGTTGGAAGAGATTCCAAGGGCCATCCAATTCAACCTTGAATGAATGAAACAAAGGGCTTGGAATCTGGAACTGGAGGTTCTCCATATTTATTTTCCCATTTTTAATTCATCTGTGTTTAATTGCAGGTAGTCATTTTAATTACAGGAGGCAAATCTTCCAATTCAGTCGAAGAGCCGGCAGTGCTGCTAAAGGACGCAGGAATAACAGTATTTGCAGTGGGTACGTCTGGTAGAAATCCAAGTGCTTAAATCATGTTATCATGATATTCCAATGAGATTCAATATTTTTGGCACCGTGGGAACATCTGCAAAGTACCATAAGGATGCAATCTCTTGACAGTTTTGCCCTTCCATGCAAAAAGAAAAGATTTGAGCAATTTTATTTATTTATTTATTTATTTATTTATTTACTTCATTTGTATACCGCTCTTCTCAGCCCTTAGGAGACTCAGAGCGGTTAACAACAGTTTCAATATACACAGTACAAATCATTGGACATTTAAAAGCAATAGCATCACAAATCATTAAACATTAACATCAATACATCAATATAGCACATCCATCAGGTCTCATCAATAGAATCAGAATCCAGGCTCGTTATCCACTATTCCGTGTTCCAATAATCAATCAATCAATCACACTGTTTAGTCGAATGCCTGTTCAAACAGCCAGGTCTTCACTTTCCTCCAGAATGCCAGTAAGGAGGGGGCTGATCTAATATCTGCAGGAAGGGCGTTCCACAGCCGAGGGGCCACCACTGAGAAGGCCCTGTCTCTCGTCCCCGCCAGGCGTGCTTGTGAAGCTGGCGGGATCGAGAGCAGGGCCTCCCCAGACGATCTTAATGTCCTAACTGGTTCATAGGAGGAGACGCGTTCGGACAGGTAGGTCGGGCCAGAACCGTTTAGGGCTTAAAGGCTAAAGCCAGCACTTTGAATTGTGCCCGGTAGCAAATTGGCAGCCAGTGGAGCTGGCGCAGCAGAGGAGTTGTATGCTCCCTGAGTGCCGCTCCTGTTAGCATCCTGGCTGCCGATCGTTGGACCATTTGAAGCTTCTGAGCAGTCTTCTCACAAACACAAACATTATGTCGTAAACGAGAGAAGGAACATTCTGACTTAAAGTCCACACCAGCTTGGTAAAATCAGCAAGCAGTTTATTGAAGAATATAAGTAGACAAAGCATTTAAATTAGAAAAAACAGGAAAGTTCCAAAACAAAGGTTAGTCCGTGAGCTTCAAGGCAAAACAAGATCCATGGGTATAACATTCATGAAACAGGCACCAGAATCCATGAAACAAGGCAGCATGAAAAATCCAATACACAAATCAGGAGCTTGGCAAAAACTTGGTACATGAAACTAAGAACACTTGAAAGCAAGACTGTCATATTTCAGTATTGACCCAACTGATGCGACTCTATCCCATGAATCAATATAAAAGTTTTCCAGATCCCAAAACTGAAAGGAAAGTATTTATCTTGACCTTAACCCCAGATAAAGGTTTCTTATCTTTCTTTTCCTCTAAACGAACTGATCTTCTTTGCACTTGAACACTCTGGCTCTGTTTACAAAAGGCTTGCCTTCTATCTACACTCTCATTAACTTCAGCAACTGGCAAATCATCTTCAGACAGTTCCTCTGAGGAAGACTGTGAGGGGCCTCTCCCAGGAATGTGACCTTGTGAACCTTCCTGAGACAATTCGGGCCTCTCGCCTGAGCTTAATTTGTTGTTGTTGGTCATTCGTTCCGTCGTTTCCGACTCTTCATGACCTCATGGATCAGCCCACACCAGAGCTCCCTGTCGGCCGTCACCACCCCCTGCTCCTTCAAGGTCAATCCAGTCACTTCAAAGATCACATCCATCTTGTCCTTGGTTGGCCCCTCTTCCTTTTTCCTTCAATTTTCCTCAGCATAATTTAGGGCCAGGCAAACACTCATCCCCATTGCCAATAGACTCCAGCTCACCATCAGGAACATCATCCCCATTCCCATCAGGAACATCAGGTACAATCACAGGCTGAACAGGCTGGCATACAACACTATGCCTCTCAGTCCTCTCCATGTATCCATCAGGCAGGTCCCAACCCTGGCAGTCTTTAGGAGGAGCTTGAAGACGTGGTTGTTCCAGTGTGCTTTCCCGGAATAATGATCCCATAGCACTTTGTCCTCCAAAGCACTTTACACTTTTAGGTCTGCTCCTATGTCCTTCCACATACGCCACTATCACCTTCTCGTCCATGTCCCAGCATTATTTCCAATTTTAATTTTACATTTGGCCTTCCCACAGTTTTAATTGTATGTTGCATTATTGATAATGTTGTATATTTTTGTCTATGTTTTTTTTTAATTTTAATTGCTTGTATTGTTGTGATTATTGCTTGTATTGTTGTGTTTGGGCTCGGCCTCATGTAAGCCGCACCGAGTCCCTTGGGGAGATGGCAGCGGGGTACAAATAAAGTGTTATTATTATTATTATTATTATTATTATTATTATTATTATTAATACCAACAGTATCCTAAGCTGAAGTTGGCTACAGTTCCCTAGAGACCCCATTCCTTCCTAGCTAAACCTGGAACTTCTTGGTCTTATTATTTTTCTGGACTCCCATCCAAGGACTAACCAGGACCAAGGCTATTTAGCTTTCAAAAGGAGACAACCTTGAACTGTGTCTGTTTTGCTTTGCTCCCTCCTCCTCTTCCTATAAATAAGGAATAAACAATGCAGATCGAAATGAGCTACGGAAAATAGCATCCGACCCTGTTGAGGAGCATGTGCTTTATGCTGAAGACTTCCAGGAGCTCGGCAGCCTTTCCCGAAAGCTCTCCAGACGGCTTTGCGTCACTGCTTCAGAGCCTCCACAACCGGTCAAGCAGAGAGACAATGGTGAGTCCAAAGACCTGTCTTTGACATCTGTTATACAACAGGTAGAAATGTAAGGTACTCCACTTAGGCAGGAAAAACAAAATACCAAATACTTCCCTACTCTCTACACTGCAAATCCCAGAATCCCATAGCATGTTGCCATGGCAGTTAAAGTGGAATTATAGCTGTGTACAGTGGAAATATCCTCCTTGAGTACATCTACATTGCGGGACTAATGCAAGCAACTCTTTCGCTGCCTTGACTCAATGCTATGTATCATGGAAGTTGTAGTTCCAGTGAGGCACCAACACTTTTTGGCAGAGAAGGCTATAACTCCTGGGATTCCATAGCACTGAGCCATGGCAGTTCAAGTAGTGTGAAACTGCATTAATTCTATGTTGTAGATGCACCCCCTGGCTACTACCCTCTTGACCTGAAGTTTCACTCAGCTTCACTTCCCTTATTAATGACATAGATGATGAGTTAGAAGGCAGGATCATCAAGTTTGCAGACGACACCAAATTGGGAGGGAGAGCCAATAGTCCAGAAGACAGGAGCAGGATTCAAAACGATCTTGACAGATTAGAGAGATGGGCCAAAACTAACAAAATGAAGTTCAACAGTGACAAATGCAAGATATTCCAGCTGAATATGGGGAAGAAATGCAAAGATACAGAATGGGGGACGATGCCTGGCTCGAGAGCAGTACGTGTGAAAAAGATCTTGGAGTCCTCGTGGAAAACAAGTTAAACATGAGCCAACAATGTGATGTGGCGGCAAAAAAAGCCAATGGGATTTTGGCCTGCATCAATAGGAGCATAGTGTCTAGATCTAGGGAAGTAATGCTCCCCATGCTCTATTCTGCTTTGGTTAGACCACACCTGGAACATTGTGTCCAATTCTGGGCACCACAATTGAAGAGAGATATTGACAAGCTGGAATGTGTCCAGAGGAGGGCGACTAAAATGATCAAGGGTCTGGAGAACAAGCCCTATGAGGAGCGGCTTAAGGAGCTGGGCATGTTTAGCCTGAAGAAGAGAAGGCTGAGAGGAGACTTCATAGCCATATATAAATATGTGAGAGGAAGCCACAGGAGGAGGGAGCAAGCTTGTTTTCTGCTTCCCTGGAGACTAGGACGCGGAACAGTGGCTTCAAACTACAAGAGAGGAGATTCCATCTGAACATGAGGAAGATTTCCTGACTGTGAGAGCCATTCAGCAGTGGAACTCTCTGCCCCGGAGTGTGGTGGAGGCTCCTTTTTTGGAAGCTTTTAAACAGAGGCTGGATGGCCATCTGTCAGGGGTGCTTTGAATGCAATTTTCCTGCTTCTTGGCAGGGGGTTGGACTGGATGGCCCATGAGGTCTCTTCCAACTCTTTGATTCTATGATTCTATGATTTTCCTTGCAGTGGAGAAGATAACCAAGCCACGGGACCTGACGGTCAGCGAGCAAAGCCACAACTCTCTGAGACTCACCTGGACACCAGCCACAGGGAAAGTGACCGGCTACCAAGTCCTCTTTGATTCACTCTCAGCTCCTGGGCAAGATGTTCCAGTGGATCAGCGACAGGTACGATTGTGCGCAGGAAGTCTATTGCCCCCCTTACCCAGCCCTTTCGCACCACACAAATATGGCACCACGCACTCACTTTTGCTGCCACATTTCCACCTCGTGCAATTTATATAGTTGGAATTCCTTGCCAGAGCTTGCATCTACACTGTAGAATGACACCACTTTGACTGCCATGGCTCAATGCTGTGGAATCCTGGGAATTGTAGTTTTGCAAGTTCTTTTAAAGGTGAAAGTTTTTGCATTCAAGTCAGGAGGTGCTGTGATGAGTTTTCGCTAGGTGCATAGATTTTTCCATTGGATGTAATGGTTACATCTATTTCTTTTTAATAGTATCAATGTTTAACTCTATTTTAATGGTTGTATTTGTTGTTGTTGTTATTTTTATTGTTATTATTATTATTATTATTATTATTATTATTATTATCAACAACATCATCATCATTACGAGTAAAGATTTCCCCCTGACATTAAGTCCAGTCGTGTCCAACTCTGGGGGATGGTGCTCATATCCATTTCTAAGCCGTGTTGTCCATAGACACCTCCAAGGTCATGTGGCCAGCATGACTAGAATTTTTAAAATTTTTACAGTATTTATATTCCACCCTTCTCACCCTGCAAGGGACTCAGGGTGGATTTCAATGTACACATATATGGCAAACATTTAATGCCAAAGACACACAATAGAGATAGACAAACAGTCAGAGGCTATTTAACTTTTTCTGGCCGCGACACTGATGAAGTATTTCTGCATTTCCCGCATGCTTTTGCTGGAGTGCTTTGCTGGAGTCTTTTTATGGCCTCGTAAATTAGTTAAATTAGCCTCCCCACACATAGGTGGTACCTAATTTTCCTACTTGACAGATGCAACTGTCTTTCGGGTTGCAAAGGTCGACAACAAGCTACACAATTGGTCGGAAGCTCACTCCAACCCGGGCTGGTGTCAAACTCATGACCTTGTGGTCAGAAGTGATCTTAATGCAGCTGACACTCAGACAGCTGTGCCACAGTCCCAGTGCGCAGCACAATCCCGGAGCACATGGAGTGCCATTACATTCCTGATGGAGCAGTACCTATTGATCCATTCACATTTGCATGCTTTCAAACTGCTAGGTTGGCAGAAGCTGGGGCTAACAGCGGGAGCTCACTCTGCTCCCGGATTCCAACTGGCAACCTTTCAGTTAGCAATTTCAGCAGTTCAGCGGTTTTATCCACTGTGCCACCGGTGGATAATTAAATATAATTATCATTATATTTATAATAATACATACATACATATCTCTCTCTCCGGGAGAGATAAATTTATTTATTTATCTTTCCCAATGGAAACACAAAGTGGGTTAAGCATTAGCATATCAGTTAAAATATACAAACATACAAACAGAATTAAATATAAACTGTATTGTTTTTATTAATAACCACTATTGGTCTCTTTATGGGAGAAATACAACTGGATAGAAATAATAATAATAATAATAATAATTATTATTATTATTATTATTATTATTATTATTATTATTATTATTATTTTGCCTTCTCTGCATTCATTCTGCAATGTAGATGCGCCATTAGTCTGATGGAGAAAGGAACTGTCTAAGGTGCTGAACCTGCTTTGGAAATAAGTCCTTTACTATGAGTAATTCCCTTAAAGCCTGAATGTTAATAAAATATATATTTAAAATTATTTTAATGAACTCTTACCTGCAATAATGGAATTTAGATATGTCTATGAGTACATTTACACTGTAAAATCAATCCAGTTTGGTACTGTCGTTCGAGGGCATCCCAGACCCCTGCCTTCAAGCTGGTCTGACCAGCAGCAGGGAGTTCCACAGTTCCTGAATGCCAAGTTGGGCCAAACTGATGAAATGTGCCCCAGCAGCAGCCTCAACCAGGGACTCTCTACAGTCGTATGCTCTCTCCTTTCACTCCTTTACTAGCCCCAACTATGTAACCAATCCCCAAATAAAGATTAATCAAATTGCAACTTTTAAACTCTCCAGCTTGATGCTTTGTGTCCCTTCGTGGTCGCCAATTGAAGTCGATAGGAACTTTAGGAGGGCCTACCCCAGGAGGAGAGACCCTGAGACCCCACCAAAGAGGGATCGCTTCTTCAACTTTGGTGAGATTTCTTCTGGATTTCTGTTGTTGTTGTTCATTCGTTCAGTCATCTCCAACTCTTCGTGACCTCATGGACCAGCCCACCCCAGAGCTCCCTGTCGGCCGTCACCACCCCCAGCTCCTTCAAGGTCAGTCCAGTCACTTCAAGGATGCCATCCATCCATCTTGCCCTTGGTCGGCCCCTCTTCCTTTTGCCTTCCACTTTCCCCAGCATCATTCCCTTCTCTAAGCTTTGCTGTCTCCTCATGATGTGGCCAAAGGACTTCAACTTTGTCTCTAGCCTCCAGTAGCAGTCGGGCTTTATTTCCTGGAGGATGGACTGGTTGGATCTTCTCGCAGTCCAAGGCACTCTCAGAACTTTCCTCCAACACCACAGTTCAAAAGCATCTCTTCCTTCGCTCAGCCTTCCCTAAGGTCCAGCTCTCACATCCGTAGGTGACTACGGGGAATACCATGGCTTTGACTAGGCAATGGATCTTTGTTGCCAGTCTGATGTCTCTACTCTTTACTATTTTATCGAGACTGGACATTGCTCTCCTCCCAAGAAGGAAGCGTCTTCTGATTTCCTGGCCACAGTCTGCATCTGCAGTAATCTTTGCACCTAGAAATACAAAGTCTGTCACGGCCTCCACATTTTCTCCCTCTATTTCCCAGTTGTCAATCATTCTTGTTGCCATAATCTTGGTTTTTTTTGATGTTTAGCTGCAACCCAGCTTTTGCGCTTTCTTCTTTCACCTTGATTAGAAGGCTCCTCGGCTCCTCCTCGCTTTCGGCCATCAGAGTGGTGTCATCTGCATATCTGAGGTTGTTAATGTTTCTTCCAGCAATTTTCACCCCAGCTTTGCATTCATCCAGCCCCGCAAATCCTCGCATGATGTGTTCTGCATACAAGTTAAAAAGGTTGGGTGAGAGGATGCAGCCTTGCCGGACGCCTTTCCCAATCTTGAACCAGTCTGTTGTTCCGTGGTCAGTTCTGACTGTTGCTACTTGGTCCTTGTACAGATTCCTCAAGAGAGAGACATGGTGGCTTGGGATGCCCATCCCACCAAGAACTTGCCACAATTTATTATGATTATCTGGATTTCTAGGGAAATAAAATGGCTGAAAATCAGGCTTCTCTTTGCTCGCCAAAGTAGTGATCCCTCTTTGGTGGGGTCTCAGGGTCTCTCCTCCTGGGGTAGACCCTCCTAAACTTCCTATCGACTTCAGCACCAGTTTAGCTGCCATGGCTAAATGTAATGGAATCATGGGAGTTGCAGTTTGGTAAGGCTAAAAATCCATCTCATTGAGTCAAAGTGGTGCCAAACTGCATTAATTCTACAGTGTAGATACACCCTAAGGTGCAATGAAATGTCAGAATTCCACACGGTGTTGCCATGACAGTTAAGATGGAAGCATAGTGCTAGAAAGGCTCCACAAATGGGATTCCATCCACTGCTTTTATTTTGAGACACGCCAGCGAAGGGAAACCTGCAAAGCGTTCATGCGTGTACATATGCTCTCTTCCCTTTTGTGTATGTGTGGGTCGCATATGACAGATTGTTTTGGATGCCAGCGAGAGCACAGTGTTTGTGACAGATCTGAAACCTAACACGAAATATTTCTTCACCGTCTTGGCAGTCTACGCCGACGTTCTCGGAGAGCCAGCAACCGTCAAAGGCAAAACAAGTGAGTTTGCCCTTTTCAAACACATCCTCCTAGGTAGTTCTAGCACACGCACACACACATATATACACACAAACACTCCTGTTGACAAGTAAAGTAAAATAGAGCCCCAGCAAGCAGGATTCCAACTCAGAAGGGTTTGATTTACTTTGACGTATTCCACAAACTTATGTAGATGTGTCATTGCCTTACAAAAATATTACCAGTGTTAAATAGACATCAGTGAATGTGATAAGGGAATCTTAGGATGCATCTACACTGTAGAATGAATGCAGTTTGACATCACTTTAGTGGTATGGATTCCTGGGATTTCTAGTTTGGTGAAGTACCAATACTAAACTGCAACTCCCTTGATTCCATAGCACTATTTCAGCCCTGAGTGGCTGAATTTGGTGATTGAAAGATTGCAGGTTCGAACCCGGGGAGCGGCGTGAGCTCCCGCTGTTAGCCCCAGCTTCTGCTAACCTAGCAGTTCGAAAACATGCAAATGTGAGAAGATCATTAGGTACCACTCCGGTGGGAAGGTAACACCACTCCATATAGTCATACTGGCCACATGACCTTGGAGGTGTCTACGGACAATGCCGGCTCTTCGGCTTAGAAAAGGAGATGAGCACCAACCCCCAGAGTTGGACATGACTGGACTTCGTGTCAGGGGGAAACCTTTACCTTTATTCTGATGTTAGGGCAGTTTAAAGTGGTGTCAAACTGCATTCGTTTCACAGTGTAGATGCATTCTTGATTGAAATAAAAGTTAACACATTATATTAATCATTAATATGAATTGCAAGGGCATACGTTCATTTTAAGTCAGTCTTTAAATTCATGTTGCATTGTTTCTTATTATTTTGAGGGTGGGGAAGGGCATGCATCAGGCTGATAAACACAAAGTTCTCTCAAGTTTTTAAATATAATTATTTTATTTTATTTTAACTTTTACACCCATAATGCATAAAAAGTATATTTATATGTATATGCCTGCTTGTAAATTCTGTTGCATTGTGTCATGTCACTGTTAGCTGTCTTGAGTCCTTATGGAGAAAAAGGTGGAATCAAAATAAAAATGGTGATGATAATGATGATGAATTTATACTGTAGAATGAATGCAATTTGACACCACTTGAACTGCCATGGCTCAGTGCTATGGAATCCTGGGAGCTGTAGTTTGGGTCGGTCTTAGGAGAAGGTTAAACCACTAAGCTGCAGAAAATCCTGCTTACTGAAAAGTTGGCAGTTCAAGCCTGGGTTGGGGTGAGCTTCGCTGTCAGCTCCAGCGAAGCTCACCCCAAAGAGAAATGTGTGTAGATAAATAGGTACCACTTTAAGCGGGGAGATAAGAAAAGGCACTCATAAGGACATGCCGGTGATTCGATCAGGAGGACGTCTACAGACAACAAAGCTCCTCAGTATGGAAGATGGAGTGACAGCACCTTCAAGTGGCTGGAGTCGAGCATAGCCTCCAGATGCCAAAAATGGAAAAAGATAGGAAAGCCTATACAGTGTTCCCTCGCTGTTTTGTTATTCGCTTTCTGCAGACTCTCTGTTTTGCGGTTAGGGTTGAGAATATATTTTTTTTGGCTCTACTTTCCGAATATAATCATAGAGTTGGAAGAGACCTCATGGGCCATCCAGTCCAACCCCATTCTGCCAAGAAGCAGGAATATTGCATTCAAAGCACCCCTGTCAGATGGCCATCCAGCCTCTGTTCAAAAGCTTCCAAAGAAGGAGCCTCCACCACACTCCGGGGCAGAGAGTTCCACTGCTGAACGGCTCTCACAGTCAGGAAGTTCTTCCTCATGTTCAGATGGAATCTCCTCTCTGTAGTTTGAAGCAGAGGTCCTAGTCTCCAGGGAAGCAGAAAACAATCTTGCTCCCTCCTCCCTGTGGCTTCCTCTCACATATTTATACATGGCTATCATATCTCCTCTCAGCCTTCTCTTCTTCAGGCTAAACATGCCCAGCTCCTTAAGCCGCTCCTCATAGGGCTTGTTCTCCAGACCCTTGATCATTTTAGTCTCCCTCCTCTGGACACATTCCTTGTTAATTGTATAATGGGAGATCGAGTGGAATATAAATAAAGTATATTATTATTGACACAAAAGCACAGTATGTCACAGCAAACGAGATCTCCATGCTGGATTTTGTATCACAAAATCACAAGTCGAATACTGCCCAAGTGTCTAGGTCTGTGTGATGCATTCTCGAATGATGCACGCAGATCCAAGTCAGGTGGCCTTTTGCAGTTGACAGATCGTAATTTTGTCGATGTTTATTGTTTCCAAATGCCGACTGAGATCTTTTGGCACAGCAACCAGTGTGCCAATGACCACTGGAACCACCTGTATTATTATTATTATGGCTGGCGGGAGGTGCCCACCACTACAATGGAGGCCTATGACCACACCTGGGCACCACAATTCAAGAGAGATATTGACAAGCTGGAATGTGTCCAGAGGAGGGTGACTAAAATGATCAAGGGTCTGGAGAACAAGCCCTATGAGGAGTGGCTTAAGGAGCTGGGCATGTTTAGCCTGAAGAAGAGAAGGCTGAGAGGAGACGTGATAGCCATGTATAAATATGTGAGAGGAAGCCACAGGGAGGAGGAGGGAGCAAGCTTATTTTCTGCTTCCCTGGAGACTAGGATGCATTTGGAACAATGGCTTCAAACTACAAGAAAGAAGATTCCATCTGAACATGAGGAAGAACTTCCTGACTGTGAGAGCCGTTCAGCAGTGGAATTTTCTGCCCCGGAGTGTGGTGGAGGCTCCTTCTTTGGAAGTTTTTAAACAGAGGCTGGTTGGCCATCTGTCAGGGGTGATTTAAATGCAATATTCCTGCTTCTTGGCAGGGGGTTGGACTGGATGGCCTATGAGGTCTCTTTGATTCTATGATATTATTATTATTATTATTATTATTATTATTAAGCCTTCTCTGTCAAAGAGGACTGGTGCCTTGCCAAACTACAGCTTCCAAGACTCAATAGCATTGAACTAGAGTAGCACAAGTGGTGTCAAACTCAATTAATTCTACAGTTCAAATGCACCATCAGATAACAGGATGCCAATTGCTCTTTTGGGGGCAGGAGGTACGATTTCTCAAATTCTCCAGCCAGTAGTGTCAGCATTGTTGCTGGGATTGGAAGAAATCTAGGAAATGTATTAAAAAAACTCACCTTCCCAAACAAAGGCTCTGGGATTTCAAGTTAATGCATTGCTTAGGAAATTTCTTTGCACCGTCCAGCAGCTGCAGGCTAGTTTGGAAGCGTTGCTTTGCACCTCAGAGGTAGATGCTTACAGTGAGCCGATGTGTCAGGAGAGGTGTGGATTTCCACACATCTTAAGCGGCTTTGCCGAGGGGAAGCTTTGGAGCAAATTGTTCTTCCTTGACTTGTCCATTTGATTTATAATCCGGCCTGGAGATATTCCCCTGAATGGAAGGCTCAGCCAATGTTTACATGAGGCTTTGTTTTCACAGCGTGGGTTTTATGGCATGGGCATGGGATTTGGGATTATTGTGATCATCCCATAGAATTGTGGATGCGCAATGTTGGAAGGGATCCTGAGAGTCTGGTTCCCTGTTCTTGCAGGAAATCCACCAACAAGAGACATCCAACTGCTGTTTAAAAGCCACTAAAAAGTAGGGTCTGACATCTTCTCAGGGAATCTCTTCTACTGTTGAACAGTTTTTGCCATCACAGCATCTTCAAAATGGCATCGACAGGTTGGAGAACTGCGTCAAAATTAACTAAACAATTTCCAACAGGGAGAAAATAAAAGAAACAACACATAGTGCAGAATAAAATGAAAAGCACAGTTATAGGATGAGTTAAACATGAGCCAACAATGTGATGCGGCGGCAAAAAAAGCCAATGGGATTTTGGGCTGCATCAATATGAGTCTAGTGTCTCGATCCAAGGAATCATAGAATCATAGAATCCAAGAGTTGGAAGAGACCTCATGGGCCATCCAGTCCAACCCCCTGCCAAGAAGCAGGAATATTGCATTCAAACCACCCCTGACAGATGGCCATCCAGCCTCTGTTTAAAAGCTTCCAAAGAAGGAGCCTCCACCACACTCCGGGGCAGAGAGTTCCACTGCTGAACGGCTCTCACAGTCAGGAAGTTCTTCCTCATGTTCAGATGGAATCTCCTTTCTTGTAGTTTGAAGTCATGCTCCCCATGCTCTATTCCGCCTTGCTTAGACCACACCTGGAATATTGTGTCCAATTCTGGGCGCCACAATTGAAGAGAGATATTGACAAGCTGGAATATGTCCAGAGGAGGGCAACTCAAATGATCAAGGGTCTGGAGAACAAGCCCTATGAGGAGCAGCTTAAAGAGCTGGGCATATTTAACCTGAAGAAGAGATGGCTGAGAGGAGACATTATAGCCATCTATAAATATGTGAGAAGAAGTCATAGGGAGGAGGGAGCGAACTTGTTTTCTGCTGCCCTGGAGACTAGAATGCGGAAAAAATGGCTTCAAACTACAAAGAAAGGAGATTCCATCTGAACATGAGGAAGAACTTCCTGACTGTGAGAGCCATTCAGCAGTGGAACTCTCTGCTCCGGCATGTGGTGGAGGCTCCTTCTTTGGAAGTTTTTAAACAGAGGTTGGATGGCCATCTGTCAGGGGTGCTTTGAATGCAATTTTCCTGCTTCTTGGCAGAATGGGGTTGGACTGGATGGCCTTTGAGGTCTCTTCCAACTATATCATTCTGTGATTCTAGGATGGGTCGAAAAGAGTCCATGTGAAAGAAATTTAGGAGTCTTAGTAGACCACAAGATGAACATGAGCCAACAGTGCGATGCAGTAGCTAAAAAAAGCCAATGCGATTCTAAGCTGCATCAAGAGGAATGTAGTGTCCAGATCAAGGGAAGCCTAATCTCTTTTGCTTTGGTCAGACTTCACCTAGTATAACCTTGTGTCCAGTTCTGGGCAAAGCAATTCAAAAAGGGGGAAAGTGTCCAGAGAATGGCAGCCAATATGATTAAAGATATGGCAAGTTTGAATCCTTCAAAGAAGCAGTTTAGGGTGTTGGCCACAAAGATTTATAGTTTCCAAATCACGACCTCCCTGAATTGCTGCAAGCTGGATAGCAGGTGTCCCAGAAGGAAGCAAAATATAGTAGAGTCCTATCACCCCATTGTGGGAATTGAAGGGAGTTGAAGTCCAAAACACCTGGAGGGGCAAATTTGGCCCATGCCATGAAACTGGGAGAAAGTTCTTTCTTGAGGATCTCAAAACTCTGGCTGGTTCATATATGCCTGTGTATTCTTGTCTTAAAGCATCCATTCCCCCGGTGACCAATTTCCGGGTCATTGAAGAAGGACTTTCAAGCCTCAAGGTCGCCTGGACTCCACCGTTAGGGAAACTGGAGGGCTATAAGATCTACATCCCCAAATGTAAGTCAGCCAGCCGAAGCTTAGCTGGGTTTTTGTGAACGTTGGGTCCAGAAAATGGGGCTTTATATGGCTAGAGAGAGAACATGATGGAGGATTTTAAAGACCTCTTCAAACAAGGAAGCTGATCCTTAGGTAAGTTTCCTATTCTTCTCCTTCAGTTTGTAACCCACTTTGTTCTTTCAATGTGGGGACAGTTATCAACAACAACTCCCATGACCAACAGAAAATACTTTGGTTGTTTGTAGGTTTTTTTCGGGCTGTATGGCCATGTTCTAGAGGCATTCTCTCCTGACGTTTTGCCTGCATCTATGGCAAGCATCCTCAGAGGTAGTGAGGTCTGTTGGAACTAGGCAAAAGGGTTTATATATCTGTGGAATGACCAGGGTGAGACAAAGGACTCTTGTCTGCTGGAGCTAGGTGTGAATGTTTCAACTGACCACCTTGATTAGCATTTGATGGCCTGGCAGTGCCTGGAGCAATCTTTTGTTGAGAGGTGATTAGATGTCCCTGATTGTTTTCCTCTCTGTTGTTTTGCTGCTGTAATTTTAGAGTTTTTTTAAAATACTGGTAGCCAGATTTTGTTCATTTTCATGGTTTCCTCCTTTCTGTAATCATATATATCTATCTATATCTATGGCTGGATGGCTCTTCATCAGGAAGGCTTTGATTACATTTTCTTGCCCTGGTGAAGGGAGTTGGACTGGATGGCCTTAAGTATGGTGGTTCTGTGTGGGAAGTTTGCCCCAATTCTGTCACTGGTGGGATTCAGCATGCTCTTTGATGGTAGGTGAACTATAAATCCCGGAAACTACAACTCCCAAATGTCAGGGTCTATTTTCCCCAAACTCCACCAGTATTCACATTTGGGCAAATTGAAGATTCGTGCCAAGTTTGGTCCAGATTCATAGTTGTTTGAGTCCAAAGTGCCCTCTGGATGTAGGTGAACTACAACTCCCAAACTCAAGGCCAATGTTCACCAAACTCTTCTAGTATTTTCTGTTGGTCATGGGAGTTCTGTGCCCCAAGACTGGTTCAATTCCATCATTGGTGGAGTTCAGAATGCTGTTTGATTGTAGGTGTACTATAAATCCCAGCAACTACAACTCCCAAATGACAAAATTATTTTTTAAGTGAAGGACATACATTGAGTTGTTAGGTGTCTTGTGTCCAAATTTGGTGTCAATTCCCCCAGTGGTTTTTGAATTCTTTTAATCCCACAAACGAACATTACATTTTTATTTATATAGATTATTATTATTATTACAGCAGATAATCTGGATTCAGAAAGTGGATTATATGGTGGTGTCAATGGGGCCCTCTCTTTTAGTAGTCCAACCCTCTCCCAGTACAAAACTTCCCAGCTTTGCATGGGATAAAATGAATCCACCAACAATATTTTGAGAGCCTTTCGAGATCCATCTTATGTGGTTTGTGGCATTTGCTGCTTTCCATCCCACAGCCAACAAGACTGGGATGACCTCCGAGAAGATTCTAGGAAGCGGTATCTCCTCACACCTTCTGGAAAACTTGGAAGAGGATAAAGACTACACGGTCAGCATATACGCAGTCTACCCAGAAGGCCCAAGCCAGCCAGTGTCAACAATGGGCAGAACTTGTAAGTCCTCTCCTGTATGCTATTCTTCAGGCATGCTTCAGAAATACATGCAATCAGCAGAGCTTAAAGAAATTCCTTTTTGGGGGCTGCAACTAACCAAATCTCCAGGCAGTATAGCTACAAACTATGTTGAACTGGAAATTATTATAAGTAAGCAAATGTTATATTATGTCGTGAGGGTAATGTAAACACATATGTCACCTCTGCTACGTATGAATGTGACTAAACCCTCTCACATCCTCCTCAAGCTGCGCATAGGATGGAACTGTCTCAAGGCAAGCAGTTAGGTCCGATCCAAAACACTGCAGAGTCCTTATCGCAGTTAGCAGAGATTTATTGATGGCCTGCATCAGTAGGAGCATAGTGTCTAGATCTAGGGAAGTCATGCTCCCCATGCTCTATTCCACTTTGGTTAGACCACACCTGGAATATTGTGTCCAATTCTGGGCACCACAATTCAAGAGAGATATTGACAAGCTGGAATGTGTCCAGAGGAGGGCGACTAAAATGATCAAGGGCCTGGAGAACAAGCCCTATGAGGAGAGACTTAAGGAGCTGGGCATGTTTAGCTTGAAGAAGAGAAGGATGAGAGGAGACATGATAGCCATGAATAAATATGTGAGAGGAAGTCACAGGGAGGAGGGAGCAAGTTTGTTTACTGCTTCCATGGAGATTAGGACGCAATGGAATAATGGCTTCAAACTACAAGAAAGGAGATTCCATTTGAACATGAGGAAGAACTTCCTGACTGTGAGAGCCATTCAGCAGTGGAACGCTCTGCCCTGGAGTGTGGTGGAGGCTCCTTCTTTGGAAGGTTTTAAACAGTGGCTGGATGGCCATCTGTCAGGGGTGATTTGAATGCAGTATTCCTGCTTCTTGGCACAATGGGGTTGGACTGGATGGCCCAGGAGGTCTCTTCCAACTCTATGATTCTATGAATTACTGGACTTTGGTGTGGTGTTGGGTGAAGAGGTGGTTCAGTGCTAGACTACAACAATTTTAATAGTTGTTGTTATAACCAGAGCTTTGAAAATCAGGTTGTCTTGGATTACCAAAGTCAAATTCTTCCAGCCAGCATGAGGATACTGAGAGCTGCAATCCATAAAAACCATAACTTTTATAAAGTTGTATTGACTTTGCCCAGATTTATGTAGTGTTTCCCTCTCCTATAAGGATGAACTAATATGGTTCGGTTCATTTCAGGTTAATATACAAGTGATTGCAGTCAGTAGAGAGATCTCCAACAGTGTCCTTTGCTGTCTTTTGCAGTGAAGCTATTGCCTGTAAAAAGCATCTGTCTCCAGAACGAGACAACCAATACCATCCAGGCCAGATGGATGCAAGTCAGGGGAGCATCCGGATACAGACTGACATGGGTGTCTTCAGGTGGGAAAAGCCAACCTGTATTTCCAGGAGTGTCTGTTTATATATCTAGTATCTATCTACCCATCTAACTAGATCAATCATCTATCATTAAAGAGGGACCCGTAAAGCAGCCAGGAAATGTGACTGTTGAAGGATGGTATGGAAAAACATTGAGAAATAGATGGAGGAAGACAGATGTGATGGAGTCTCTGTTCTGTTGCATGCTGGGCCTGTAAATAATTGTCTTTAGAACAGGACGTGCAACCTTTGCCCAGCGGGAGAAGTTCTCAGAGGTTTTCCACCACAAATGACCTTTACATGGCTTGTGAAGTATAACAAAGTCTTTTATTAATGAACAATCAAACAGAAACTTCTCTTGTCTTCAATAAAGCTAAACAAATGCTTCCAAGCTTTATGCAACTGGTGACTTCCTAATCTTGCCCACGAAGGACAGGCAACTGTCTTCAATAATTTCTTCTTTACTTTAAATGGAAAATACCCTTTTTAACTACTCCCAGGCTGACTGTAATCTAACCCTTACTGATGTGGGCTCCGCTACCGGGTCGAACTGTGTCTCGAAGCACCGAGTGGACCTACCAGTAAAGGTCTAGATATTCTCCAGTTGGAGTTCTTTGGTCTTTAGGGCTGTTTTTCTGGAAATCTTTGGAGACTCTTAAGACTGTTTCCTCCCGAAAAGTCTTGATGCTCTTAAGCCTGTTTCCCCCCAGAAAGTCTTAAGGGTTGAAGCTTTTGTTTAGGAAGCTTGCACATGTCCTGTACATTAGCTTTCCTTGCTGAGACTAACTAAAAATGGCTCCCTTCCCTTCCCAATTGCCCTGAGCAAGGGGCGGAACCAAAACTTAACGATGATGGACAGGTGACTTGCCCTATGACTGCAACCAAGGAAGCCACCTATCTGCAGAGTCCCTGAAACCTAGGACTGCAAGCAAACATTTAATACAAAGCAAATAAAGTTGGAGCTCCTGGTACAGCACAGTCTCCTTCTCTGGAGGTTTTTGAGCAGAGACTGGATGGCTCTCTGTTGGGAGAGCTTGGATTGTGTCTTCTTGCATGGAAGAATGTGGTTGGACTGGATAGCCCTTGGGGTCTCTTCCAACTCTACAATTCAATGACCTAGGCCTTTGTATTTGCCTTTGGTGTTATCTTCCAGGGTGCAGCTACACTGTGGAATGAAACAGTGTTTTGTACCTATGCAATTGCTCTTGATAGGATGATGAATACAACAGTCAAGACTTTGCAAGATCCCGAACCCACATCATGGTGTTGTCATGGTGCAACACAACACACAGGTTGAATACCTGGATTTTGCAATGGACCTTGTTGTTCCATTGTGTTACAAAAAAGGTGTGCAGCAGCAAGGACTACATACCACCATGGGGAAATACACAATTTTGTAAGGAGAGGGAGTTTGTTACCTGAGATATCACCTGAATTTTCAAATGACTCCAAGAGCATTAAACAATTCACTTCTCCCTCCCCTGAATGCCCAAATACCTCTCAGCAAGGATTGCTCCTTCTGGGACTCAGAAAAAGAACAAATGAGCTATACACATCATTATAAATGGTTGCAATAGCACAATTCCCTTACAAAGAATGCATGTTGTTTGCTTAACCTCTGTGCCCCAGAGACACCAGGTGCATTTGAGTTTCAAACAAGAAAAGAGGCTTTGTTTGGTTTTGTTAAAAAATAAACTAGGATGGGAGGGGAGGATAAATAATACCAACATTGCAGCATCTTTGAAGGGCTGAGCAAAGAGAGAGTGTAGCCAGAAACATGAGGATATACTCCCATCTAGTGGTAGGAGTAAATTTGTCCGGCTTCGCTACATACATTGAGCATCCCTTCTCCAGGATCAGAAGTGTTTTGGAGTTTGGATTTTTTTAAATTTTAGAATGCCTTTATTTGCATGTATGTACATAATGACATATTTTGGAAATTAAAGTCTAAACACAGAAGCTATTTATATATTATGTACAACATTTTTCATAATTTTCGTGCAAGAAACAAAATTTGTCCCCATTGAACCACCAAAAAGCCTGCCATGTGGACAATTTTGCAGTATTTCCGATTTCAGAATTCCCAATAAGAGATGGTGAATCTATATTAAAAACTACAGCCCAAGCCATCCAGCCTCTATAATAATAGTACTAGTGGTAATAATAATAATAATAATAATAATAATACTTGGCACAGTTTAGCACATCCACAAATCTACAATGAAATCAGAACTATCTCTAAATTTAGATTATCTCAGACCACAGTCATTCTACAGATGAACTTTCTGGAATATATATATTGTGCTGGTACGGCTGTACCAGGAGCTCCAACTTTATTTTCTTTCTGTTATCTGTTTGCAGTCATAGGGCAGGCCACCTGTCCATCATAATTAAGCTTTGGTTCTGCCCCTTGTTCAGGGCTCTGGGAGGGAAAGGAGCCATTTTTTGGTCAGTCTCACATAAGGAAGCTAAACTATAGGACGTAGACCAGCTCGTCCCGTAGAAAAGCTTCTTTTCTCAAGAACATTCGGGGAAACAGAAACAGAAAGGGAAAGGGTCCCAAGGCTCTGGCTGAGAGCTCATAGCCTCTCAGCTTCACAACAATCAGAGGGAAAACAACCCTAAACTTTTCAAAGAATTCTCTGAGGGAGGACAGCACTACAGATCTATGGAACTCCATCTGAAATATCTACAAGCTGGTAGGTCTACTCGATGCCCAGATGCATTTGGAATCGGTAGTAGGACCCACACCGATGAGGCATAGATAGTAAACAGCCTGGGAGAGGTTAAAAAGGTTTTTTCCTACAGAGAAAGTTCAGTTAATCAAAGTCAGGTACCAGTCCATTAAGAACTAGACTAAGAAAGCCTTGAAGTGTTGTTTGAACAATTGAAGATTTGTTGTTTGTTCCATAATAAAGACTTTGTTATATCATTAAAGACTCTAAAGACCATCACTTCAGAAAAATCCCTAAGAACCTCTCTTTGAGGCGCCCTGGCTTCCCGCTGGGCTTAAAGTATACGTCCTATACAAAAGACAGCTGTTACAGGCCCAGTGCGCGACAGAACATATATAGTATTTGCCACTTCATGTCTCTTTTTAGAGAGATAAAGAGGGATAGAAATAATAATAATAATAATAATAATAATAATAATAATAATAATAATAATAATAGCAAGCCATCAGAACAAAGACCATTAAGGCCAGGATTAAAAATCAGCTGATGACCCAAAATGCAAACTGTGCAAGGAAGCTGATGAAACCATTGATCATATCCTCAGCTGCTGCTAGAAAATTGCACAGACAGACTACAAACAGAGGCACAACTCTGTGGCCCAAATGATTCATTGGAACTTATGTCACAAATACCACCTACCAGTAGTCAAGAACTGGTGGGATCATAAACCTGCAAAGGTAGTGGAAAATGAACATGCAAAAATACTGTGGGACTTTCGAATCCAGACTGACAAAGTTTTAGAACACAATACACCAGACATCACGATTGTGGAAAAGAAAAAAGTCTGGATTATTGATGTCGCCATACTGGGTGACAGTTGCATTGAGGAAAAACAACAGGAAAAACTCAGCCGCTATCAAGACCTCAAAATCGAACTGCAAAGGCTCTGGCAAAAACCAGTACAGGTGGTCCCAGTGGTCATTGGCGCACTGGGTGCCGTGCCAAAAGATCTCAGCCGGCATTTGGAAACAATAAACATTGACAAAATCACGATATATCAACTGCCACCTGACTTGGATCTGCGCGCATCATTCGAAAATACATCTTTACTTACTTACTTACTTACTTAGGCGATCCCTCGTAGTCCGAGGATGATGGTCCTCCAAGTTCGGTGTCCTGGGGGTGGGTCCATAGGTGGCAGTGGAGCCCTATTCTTGACCTGCATCTTCTCCCACAGTGAGGGCATTGGTTTCCAGGTGGGAGGCGGTCTCGGTTGGGGTTGGCTTGATGCGCCTTCCTCTTGACACGTTTCTCTCTTTCACCCTCCATTCGTGCCTCTTCAAATTCTGCAGCACTGCTGGTCACAGCTGACTTCCAGCTGGAGCGCTCAAGGGCCAGGGCTTCCCAGTTCTCAGTGTCTATGCCAGAGTTTTTAAGCTTGGCTTTGAACCCACCTTTAAATCTCTTTTCCTGTCCTCCAACATTCCGTTTTCCATTCTTGAATTCGGAGTAGAGAAACTGCTTTGGGAGACGGTGGTTGGGCATCCGGACAACGTGGCCGGTCCAGCAGAGTTGATGGCGGAGGACCATTGCTTCAATGCTGGTGGTCTTTGCTTCTTCCAGCACATTGACGTTTGTCCGCCTGTCTTCCCAAGAGATTTGCAGGATTTTCTGGAGGCAGCGCTGATGGAATCGTTCCAGGAGTTGCACACACATCACACATCATACAGTCCTAGATGCTTGAGAAGTGTTTGACTTGTGATTTTGTGAGACAAAATCCAGCTTAGATATCTTGTTTGTATGACATATTGTGTTTTTGTGTCAGTAAAATAATAATAATAATAATAATAATAATAATAATAATAATAATAATAATGGCTGATGGGGATTCAAATCCTAGACTCAGCATTACATTCCTGACCAGATGTAATGCTGACTATTCAACTGCTTTATCTAATTGTAATTGTCTTGCTTTAGCTTGTTAAACTGTTTCATGTGCTTTTGAATTATCATTTCTATTGTTTTCTATGGTTTTAAATTGATTCCATGCATTGAGAGACCCTTCATGTCTTTAAAAGGGGGGATGGCATGAAGTTTTTCCATTGATGTCATTTCCCTCTGGGTTACAGAAGGCAGTGTTCAGAACGTGAATTTGGGTGAAACGTACAGCTACTACATGATCCAAGGTCTGCAACCTGGGGCCGAATACACCGTCACGGTTAACCCCATCTTCGGTGCCACTGAAGGTCCCATAGTAACTGCTAAAGCAACAACTTGTAAGTAACTCTCCACCTGGAGCACTGTTACTGCATCAACGACGTACATTTACATGTGCTGCAGAGGTCTGATGCACCTTTCCTGCCACTAACCTCTTTGTTTTTTACAGTATCGTCAAGTGCTGTGCAGATTTTGAAAGCAACAGATATCACAACCAATTCCGCCTTGGTTTTCTGGAATTCAGTCCCAGGAGCAGCGGGATACCGAGTGACATGGGGCCCGACTCCAGGTAATTAAGGGCAGTTAGGAATATGCAGCGGAATTGGGCGATACGTAAAGTGATTGATAGTTTCCAAATCATGACCTTCCTGAACTGCTGCAAGTTGGATAGCAATTGTCCCAAAAGCAAGCAAAAATACAGAAGAGTCTTTTTACAGCAAACACAGAAGAGTCCTTCTACATTAAACACACGTGCTTCAGCCCATCTATCAGCAGAGTCCAACTCCTAGATTCTGACCTTTCTACACACTGTTTTAGTGAATTCATGGATTCAGGTTTTATTTATTATTATTTATTTATTTCAAAGTTTTCTATACCGAGCTTCTCACCTCTTAGAGGGACTCAGCCCGGTTTACAACCATAAAAACATACAATCAGTAAAATATCATAGTTCATAATTACAATAACACATTTAAAATAGCAACTATATTTAAAACTACGGTGGTCAGTCGTCATATTCAAAGTGATGGTACTCACCTTTAAGGCCTTGCATGGTCTGGGGCCAATGTATCTGAGGGATCGTCTCACCCCCTACCAACCCCAGAGATCCCTCCGTTCTGAGGACCAAGATCTATTGGAAGTCCCCAGTGTCAAGACCTTGCGTCTAACAGCAACCAGACGCAGAGCCTTCACAGCAGTGGCACCATCACTCTGGAATACTCTGCCACCTGAAGTCCGTGCCTTGCGGGACTTACCAGCTTTCCGCAGGGCATGTAAGACATACCTGTTTCGACAGGCTTTTAATGTTTGATAGTGTTGTTTTTAAATTGTTTTAAATTGCTTTTAAATTTTGTTAGATTTTAGCCATTCTTGTAAGCCGCCCCGAGCCCCAGGGGAGTGGCGGCATATAAGTTTAAATAATAAATAAATAAATAAATAAAATAAATAAATATTAAAAACAAGTATACCTCATCTTCCATCCACAATACTAGGGTGCTGTCTCATTCATCGAAAGCCTGTCTCCACAACCACGTCTTCACCCATTTCCTGAATGTCAGGATAGACGGGGCGGTTCTGACCTCCAGTGGGAGAGAGTTCCAGAGTCGCGGGGCCACCACTGAGAAGGCCCTGTCCCTCGTCCCCACCAGGCGCGCTTGTGAGGCCGGTGGGACCGAGAGCAGGGCCTCTCCAGACGATCTTAGTAATCTTGATGGTACGTAGGGGAGAATACGTTCGGAGAGGTAAACAGGGCCGGAGTCGTTTAGGGCTTTATAGGTTAACACCAGCACTTTTAATTGTGCTCGGAAGCTAATTGGCAGCCAGTGGAGCTGGTGTAACAGCGGAGTGGTGTGCTCCCTGTACCCAGCACCCGTTAGTAGTCTGGCTGCCAAGCGTTGGACTTGCTGCAGCTTCCGGGCAGTCTTCAGAGGCAACCCCACCCAGGTTTTCACCCAAAATATCCAGACAGGATATGCAGTTCCACTTTCATTGTACTTGCAAACAACCAGAGTCATCAAATAGTCACAAACATTATAGGCAGATACTCACACTGAGTCACATAGGAGAGAGAAAGATGGATTCTTTCTAATGTTGCTAATGTTGTTGTTGTTCATTCATTCAGTCATTTCCGACTCTTCGTGACTTCATGGACCAGCCAACACCAGAGCTCCCTGTCGGTCGTCACCACCCCCAGCTCCTTCAAGGTCAATCCAGTCACTTCAAGGATACCATTCATCCTTGGCGATCCTGTCGACACCCTGGTTGACCGCTATAATAGCGAGATGTCCAGGGTTATAGATACGATCGCTCCAGAATGGGCCATCTCGTTGCGTCAAGACACACTGTCTCTTTGGTTCACTGGGGAGCTGGCTGTGATGAAGCATACGAGAAGGAGGCTAGAGTGCAAATGGAGGAAATCTTAGGATGCCTCTGACCAAAAACAGGCTAGAGCCTCACTTAAGGCTTAATCCGTGGCTATACAGGTAGCCAGAGAATCTTTCACGACTGCCCATATAGCATCTACATCCAATAGATCTTCAGAGTTGTTTTGGGATGTCAGGGAACTCCTTCACCCCACTGAGTTGGAGGAGACTTCCGATGACCCGACAACTCGGTGTTGTGAGTTTGCGCACCATTTTGCAGATAAAGTTGCTCAGATTCGTCTTGAGTTGGACTCCAGTTTGAATACAGTGCCAGGGGAGGTGACCGAGGGATCTGCTTGTCCGGTTTTGTGGGATTCTTTCTGGCTTGTTCTTCCTGAGTACGTGGAGGAGGTCCTTGGGACTGTGAGGGCGACCACATCAGCTCTGGACCCTTGCCCTTCTATGAAACTTCATACTATGCACATATTTCTCAACTTATTTTCTCAACTCTCTAAATCATCTTGTAATATTGAAATGCCTCTACACATTCTGGAGCATTTGAACATCTGAAAGAGAACAGCGCCTGGGTTTGGACACTGTGGATTTGGTCGCTTGGCTTCGAAATGTGGACAGAATGGAATCCTGGCAATATTTCTAGTGTCCATAGTGTCTCCTCCCATTGTTCATTTTGACTTATTTCATGTCTTTTCAAGGGACTGGTGATCATCCCTAAGCATTGAGAGGGAAGCGCAGCAGGGGAAATGGTGCTGCTAAACGAGAGATAAGCAGAGATAAACAGATGGATATATGGAGTACAGACAAGCCAGGTCTGCTGTGTTTCAGTATGTTTGCTTTTGCTGTTATCTCCCATTATCTGGGGAAACAGCGGCATATGGAGTGGCCCACACTTTCGTTACTTGTCTTAACCTTGCAATTGATATATTGGCTTGCAGGGTTGAAATAATCTACACTTGCCCTCCATATGCATAGATTCAACCATCTACTGCTTATATATATATATATATATATATATATATATATATATATTAGCTTGGGTGCTTTTTAATTGTACAAAATGTATAAGGTTGTGGGTGAACTATGTTACACAGCGCGTGTTTTATTCCAGCATCCTAACGCCCAAAAACCCAGATGCAAAATAGTCTCAGACCCATAGCCAAGGTAAACAGAAAATCTTTACTTTCTTTACTTTGCAGAGTTGAAACAAAACTGGCAATGCTACACAAAAAATCAGCAGTGCAACATATTTACATAGTCTTGGTAATCATCATAAAATAAAGCATCTTCTAAGCAGCAAATGGGAAATCAAAACAACCTGAAGTAAATAGCTATTTCACCATCAGCATCTCCTGCTGATACTACACACTGTTAAAAAAAGAACTCCAGCAGCAGCCCACCAGACATCCAGCACCTCTTGGGGTTCAGCCTGTGTGTGAACCTGAACCTGATTCTCTGATTGTATTCCCTGATGCCAATGTAGATGTCAATGTGAATTCTGAGGCCAATTTAGATGATGATGGTTTGAGTAGTGAAAATCCTACAGCCTTGGAAAGTGAAAGTCAGAATTCCCATGAGAACATGCATTCCGAGCCAAGCGGAGAAGTTTCACTCCTTTTTCCTGCCAGCCTTAGTTCTCCAGAGACTCTGACACCTGGTCTGCCTAATGAGGATAGGCGGGGGCAGATTTGGCAGAGCTGGGGTGAAGCACAAAGTTTACGTAGGTCAACCAGATTGAGAAAAATGCAAATAGGCGTGTCTCACAATGGATTTCTCGGCCTTAAGTATGCCTGGCCTGAATGCAGCTTCAGACCAGGCATCATTCCAGATTCATGTGCAAGCATTTGCCGGTCTCCTGATTCCAGTGGCCTTGTTCCTCGGAGGTTTTCTAGTTGTTCCAAGTACGATTAGTGGATTGCTAACAGGTTCCAGGATTCAGCAGTTTTGCTGTGGGTTTTATGATCTTGTTTATGGACATTTCTTGTTGCTGATTTTTACTGTGTCTTTTTACCTTTGCATTTTTCCTCTATTTTGTATTCATCTTTCATAAGAAAAGGATTGTTTTCCTGAAGTCAAGTGTGGTGGATGGTTGTCTGAGGGTCCAGTTTCCTGCACTGGGTTGCAACAGCACCCACCACAATGTATTTAAAAAACACATACAGTTGTAGCCCCTTGGGCGTGGCACAAGATTGGTCCTTGACCTACTTAGTCAGCTGAACAAGATAATTACAAACAATAAGGTTTTTCTTCACACATATACTTGTGTCCTACAACCCACATCATGCCAGGTTAACCCCAACAAACTCCATCAGTACTTAAAGTTTGTTATTTTGGGCAGGTTTGCTTTGGATGCACCATGAATGGGATTCAGTGTGCTCTCTGGTGGTAGGGTAAACTACAACTCCCATTATGGTGAGTCAGTCCCCTCAAACCCCTCCAGTAGTTAGAATTAGTCATGGGGGTTCTGTGTGCTAAGTTTGGTTCAGGTCCATCATCAGTGGAGGTCACCGTTTCCTTAGTTGTGGGTGAACTACGACTCCCAGAAAAGATCAGATTGCCCAAATCCCTCCAGTAATCAAATTTTGGCATATCAGGTATGTATGCCAAGTTTGGTCCAGATCCATCAGTGTTTGGGTTCACAGTGATCTCTGGGTGTAGGTGAACTACAATTCCCCTAAATCAACATGAATTTGGTGAATTTTCCCTAAAGACCATGAGTATTTTTTGCTGGTCATGGGGGCTCTGAGTGCCAAGTTTGGTCCAATTCTATCTTTAGTGGAGTTCAGATCCCTCATTCATTGCAGGTGAACTATAAATCCCAGTACCCACAACTCCAAAATGTCCAGGCCAATTTCCCTCAAAACCCATCAATATTCAAATTTGGGTATATCAGGTATGCAGGCCAAGTTTGGTCCGGATCCATCTTTGTCTGGGTTCATAGTGCACTCTGGACGTAGGTGAACTACCACTCCTATAAATCCCTCCAAAGACCTCTAATATTTTCTGTTGGTCATGAGGGTCCTGTGTGCCAAGTTAGTTCCAAGTCCATCGTTGGTGGAGTTCCTGAGCAAGCTTTTGAAGCCTCATTGTAACCAGATAAACTCAGTATTGTGAACAAATATGGAACGGCTTAACGATGCAAATGGACATAGATTTAAACCCAGAAGTAATTGATTTTATAGTTTTAAATTGTTTTTATATTGATTTTATTATGTGATTTAACCTGTTTTAAATGATGTATTTATGTGTGTTCGGCATCTAATTGTTGCCAGTTTGTACACCGCCCTGAGTCGCTTTCGGACTGAAAAGGGCGGGATAAAAGTGTGGTAAATAAATAATAAATAATACTGAGAAGGCTCTGTTTCCCACTCAGAAAAAAGATGTTTCCTATGCATAGAATGTGCATCTCTGCCCAAAACAACAACGTGCACATTTTGCACAGAATAAAGGCAGAATACTTAAATGCTCCAAAATAGTGTCATTTTCCAAGACTTCCTTTGCAATGGGGAGAAAGATGTCAAGAAAAATGCACCAGAAAAGTGTTTGCAGCATTTCCTTTACTTCTTGCTTGACTTTTTCTCTTTGTCCCAAGAGTTCTTCGGCAGAGACCGTCCTCGGCAGCTTGCTCTGAACAGCTCCACCACCTCTTTCCACTTGCAAAACTTGGCCCATGACACCGAATATGTGATTTCCCTCTACGTTCTTTTTGGTGCGGTGGAAGGTCCCGGGATCACTATTACTGCGAGGACATGTAAGTATGTGTTGTCGAAGGCTTTCGTGGCAGGAATCACTGGGTTGCTGTGAGTTTTCTGGGCTGTATGGTCATGGTCCAGAAGCATTCTCTCCTGGCGTTTCACCTGCATCTATGTCAGGCATCCTCAGAGGTTGAGAGGTCTGTTGGAAACTAGGCAAGTGCGGTTTACATATCTGTGGAAAGTCCAGGGTGGGAGAAAGAACTCTTGTCTGTTTGAGGCAAGTGTGAATGTAGCAATTGGCCACCTTGATTAGCACTGAATAACCTTGCAGATAATATTATTAACACTTGTCTCCAACAGACAAGAGTTTTTTCTCCCACCCTGGACATCATTTCACAGATATATAAATATTTTCTGTTGGTCTTGGGGGTTTTTTGTGGGAAGTTTGGCCCAATTCTATCATTGATGAGGTTCAGAATGCGCTTTGATTGTAGGTGAACTATAAATCCCAGCAACTAACTCCCAAATGTCAAGGTCTATTTCTCCCAAACTCCACCAGTGTTCATATTTGGACATATGGAGTATTCGTGCCAAGTTTGGTCTAGATCCATCGTTGTTTGAGTCCACAGTGTTCTCTGGATGTAGATGAAATACAACTCCAAAACTCAAGGTCAATGTCCATCACATCCTTCCAGAGTTTTCTGTTGGTCATGGGAGTTGTGTGTGCCAAGTTTGCCCCAATTCCATCGTTGGTGGAGTTTGGAATGCTCTTTTATTATAGGTGAACTATAAATCCCAGTAACTACACTCCCAAATGTCAAGGTCTATTTCTCTCAAACTCCACCAGTGTTCATATTTGGGCATATTGAGTATTCGTGCCAAGTTTGGTCCAGATCCATCATTGTTTGAGTCCACAGTGCTCTCTGGATGTAGGTGAACTACAACTCCAAAACTCAAGGTCAATGCCCACCAAACCCTTCCAGTATTTTCTGTTGATCATGGGAGTTCTGTGTGCCAAGTTTGGTTCAATTCCATCGTTGGTGGAGTTCAGAATGCTCTTTGATTATAGGTGAACTATAAATCCCAGCAACTACAACTCCCAAATGACAACATCAATTTTTTGAGTGATGGTCACTCCTTGGGTTAGTAGGTGTCTTGTGGCCAAATTTGTTGGCAATTTGTCCAGTGGATTTTGAGTTATGATGTCACTCAAAATGAACAGAGCATTTATAGAGAGAGGGAGAGAGAGAGAGAGAGAGAGAGAGAGAGACAGAAATATTGTATTGTCGAAGGCTTTCATGGCCGGAATCACTGGGTTGTTGTAGGTTTTTTCGGGCTATATGGCCATGTTCTAGAGGCATTCTCTCCTGACGTTTCGCCTGCATCTATGGCAAGCATCCTCAGAGGTAGTGAGGTCTGTTGGAACTAGGGAAAAGGGTTTATATATCTGTGGAATGACCAGGGTGGGACAAAGGACTCTTGTCTGCTGGAGCTAGGTGTGAATGTTTCAACTGACCACCTTGATTGTTGTTGTTCCACAGATATATAAACCCTTTTTCTAGTTCCAACAGCCCTCACTACCTCTGAGGATGCTTGCCATAGATGCAGGCGAAATGTCAGGAGAGAATGCCTCTAGACCATGGCCATATAGCCCAAAAAAACCTACAACAACCCAGATTGGAATATTATTTTAACAATTTGGGGGGTGGTGTGGGTGGGTTCAATTTTATTGTCTTGAAATGTCAACTTTTGCAAGGAAATCCAGATTTGACTTATCTTCTGTTACAGGTGTGAAAACTTGTCACTGCAGGTTCAAAGAAAGTTGGGAAAAGTATATTTCATTAACATTGGCCTCAATTCATTGAGATGTTGATTTTTCTTTGCAGCTCCTCTGGGTTATGTCTCTGCTTTCAAGGTAACGTCTTACACAAGTACTTCCATCTCTCTGTCTTGGAGCGCGGTTCCTGGGGCCACCAGATACAAAATCACCTGGAAACCAGATGACAAAGAGGAAGGTAAGTAAGGAGGAGTCACTGCCATTGTCTCAGGCCCAGACATAGAAAGGAATTTCAGAAATATTCCAAAAATGGTAAAAAATGTTTTTTGTCAAGAATTCTGGACAGTCACCAATCGTTGCAGTTCAGAATTTATGCTGCACAAAGTCCACATTTGGCTGGTTTCACCTAACAGCTAAATATGTCAGCCAGGCTCCTAACCGGAGCAAATTATGGGGAGTATACAACGCCCCTATTAAAACAACTTCATTGGTTGCCAGTAATTTGCTGAGCCAAATTCAAGGTGCAGGTTATGACCTATAAAACCCTAAATGGTTCGGGCTGCGCCTATCTTTGCAATTGTATCTGCCTTTACGAACCAGCGCTAACTTTGAGATCTTCCGGGGAGGCTCTTCTCTCGCTTCCACCACCATCATTAGTATGGCTGGTGAGGATGAGGGCCTTCTTGGGGGTGGCCCCTCATCTCTGGAACATCCTCCCCAAGGAAATAAGACAGGCCCCATCCCTCTCCTTTTTCCGTAAGAGCTTGAAGACTTGGTGGTTTCACCAGACCTTTGAGAACAATGACTAGTTCGAGCTCAAGTCCTTGGCCACTAGTTAGAATCTGGCTCTTTACTCCCACCAATTACCCCAGTCAGTTCCTCAATAGGCTCAGGTAATGAGCAGTCACTGGCCCCTCCATGACCATTGTTGGGTCTGGTTATTGCACTTTGCCCACTCCCCTGCCCCCCAGGTCCAACTTGTACTAGCCCGGCCAAGTCATTTTAAACTGCTGATGTTCTTTATGAAATTTCAGCCATAACCAGCTAACCTTGACACGAAATATCATCACAAACTGACTCCAATAATGTGTAAATTTAAATCCTGTAACTTGAACATGAGGAAGAACTTCCTGACTGTGAGAACTGTTCACCAGTGGAACTCTCTGCCCCGGAGTGTGGTGGAGGCTCCTTCTTTGGAAGCTTTTAAGCAGAGGCTGGATGGCCATCTGTCAGGGGTGATTTGAATGCAATTTTCCTGCTTCTTGGCAGAATGGGGTTGGACTGGATGGCCCATGAGGTCTCTTCCAACTGTTTGATTCTATGATTCTATGAAAGAATAAGGTGATATTATATGGCAACTTCTGGTGGAGATGATTAGTTTAAATAGAAGAGCCGTAGAATCTCACTGGAGGACCTAGAGGTTTCTAGAGATGTGTAATCTCTAGGGCCTCCAGAATGACTGGAGGATGTTGGCTATAGGGTCACAATGGAGGATTCAGAGAACGTATTCAATCAAATCCATGAATAATCAAATCCACAAAAGTCAAAATGGTGAATGTGCTGGAACAACTGTAGCTTGTTGTCTTTAACATGTGAACCAAATAAAATAATTCCTTTTCATCTTTAGCTCTCTCTCTTTTTTCAGTGGGAGATACTGTTAAGAATGTGCTCCTCGGTGGCCATGTACGAGCTCATCAATTGGAGAATCTGCTGCCTGGCATCCAATACACCATTGGCATCTGTGCCATGTTTGGAAGCTCTGAGGGGAAAGTAGTAACACTTACTCAAAACACTGGTGAGATTTGCATAGTTTACAAACTAAGGTGCACCGTGATGTTTGGAGTTCTTCCCCTATTGCAGCATTACTGGGTAGTAGGCTTGGGCGGTTTCGTTCTTAATTTCGTAATTCGTTATTAATTCGTATTTAAATTAGCTTACGATCCAATATTGAGCCATGCAGAAATAGTGTGAGGAGTAAATTAGATTCGAAACAATTTTTTCAATTTATTTCGTAATTATTTTGTTATTATTTCGTAATTATTTCGAAAATTATTTCGTAATTATTTTCGCATGTCTGGTGCAAGTTTTATAGTTGTTGTTTGTTTTATCACACCAACAGTCAACAACAGAGGGAGAGGGAAGCTTCAGAAGTTCCTCCTGTCCCATTTGGAGGTTTTTTTTAGCATATTGCGCAATCGCGTCCGCCATTAACGAATCGATTCGTAATTTTACGAAATTTCGTAAATTTTGAAATTTTTTAAAGGAAAATTTCGGAATTATTAAAAAAAACGAAACGCAAGGGCCCCCCTAAAACAAAACGAGTTTAGAACCAAATTTTTCCGTGGTTACCCAAGCCTACCTGGGTAGAGATTGCCTCTGGTCGTTAAGTAATATTATGATATAAGTTGTGTTATTCCTGGCCTGAAAACAGTACATCTAAAAGGATCTAGGAATTTTCATAAACCACAAACTGAATATAAGTCAACAAGATGATGCAGCAGCAAAAAAGCCAATAGGTTGCATAAACAGAAGTACAGTGTCTAGGGAAGTAATGGTGCCCCTCTATTCTGCTTTGGTTGGACCTTACCTGGAAGAATAACCTGGTGTCCAGTTGTAGGCAAAGCAATTCAAGAAGGACATTGACCAAATGGAAAATGTCCAGAGAAGGGCAACCAAAATGGTCAAAGTTCTGGAAGCCAAGTCTATTAAGGATGCAGATGTATTTATCTTGGAGAAGGAAAGGAAGTTTGCAGAGAGTCTTAAAATATTTGGAAGGCTGGCATATAAAACATAGAGCAATGTTTCTCAACCTTCCTAATGCCGTGACCTCTTAATACAGTTCCTCATGTTTTGGTGACCCTCAACCATAAAATTATTTTTGTTGTTACTTCATACCTGTCATTTTGCTACTGTTATGAATCGTAATACAAATATCTAATATGCAGGGTTCGTTTTCATTAACTGCACAAAATTTGGCACTAATATCCAATATGCCCAAATTTGAATACTGGTGGGGTTGGGGGGGATTGATTTTGTTATTTGGGAGTTGTAGCTGCTGGGATTTATAGTTATCCTACAAATAAAGAGCATTCTGAACTCCACCAATGAGAGAATTGAACCAAACTTGGCACACAGAACTCCCATGACCAACAGAAAATACTGGAATGTTTTGGTGGGCATTGACCTTGAGTTTTGGAGTTGTAGTTTACCTAGATCCAAAGAGCACTGTGGAATCAAACAATGATGGATCTGGACCAAACTTGGTACAAACACCCAATATGCCCAAATGTGAACACTGGTGGAGTTTGGGGGAAATAGACCTTGACATTGGGAGTTGTCATTGCTGGAATTTATAGTTCACCTACAATCAAAGAGCATTCTGAACCCCACCGATTGAATTGGACCACATTTCCAAACAGAACCCCCATGTCCAACAGAAAATACTGTGTTTTCTGATGGTCTTTGTAGACCCCTTTGACACCCCCTCATGACCCACCCAGGGGTCCTGACCCCCAAGTTGAGAAACACTGACATAGAGTTTGCCCACTTTCTGCTGCTCCAGAGACAACAATGCAGAACAATGGCTTCAAATGACTTTGGTAATGGGGTTATGTTATGATATAGCATCATTTCCTGGAGTATTTGCGACCACAAGGAGACAGTCATCTAAATTTACCCCAGCTTTTGAAATTTCTTCCTTCCTTGATGATTTTCATGATAGTCTTTCTTGATGTCTGTTGGGGGTACTTTTCTTATTAAGGGTGAGAAAATGTACAGGTATTTTGGTTGTCACTGTATCCTGCTCATCCTTCTTTTCTTGTGGAAGGTCCTCCTGCGAATCTATCCATCCCTCTTATGACTGCTATGCCAGAAAAAACCATCACAACAAAACGTCAGCCGATGCGTTCCAGTCCATTTACTCTTCCTACAGCCACTTCCCTCGGGCCAAGATTCACTGCTGCACACACACAGAGAGTCACTAAGATGTCTGTCTCCTCGGTGACCACTCCTGCCCCAAGTATGTTCATCTTCTCAAACAGGGTTAACTCCTCAGGCATTTGTGAACTTCAGCTCTGAGAATTCCTAATTCCCATGCTGGCTGTAGCTTCTGGGAACTGAAGACCCAATTGATTTGGTGGATCCAAGTTAGAGAGCTGCGCCACAATGCAGATGTTGTTAAATTGTCACTCCCAGCATCCTTAACCAACATAACCAAGGACAAGGAACATTGCCAGTTATTGTTTAATGCCTCTGTTTAAGAGATTATGCTGTCTCACTCATTTTCAGCATGTGCCACCGGATCCAGAATCCTCGTGGTGATCTTAAATATACTATCATAACAGAAAGAATCAGAATACCATAAATGACTTGTAAATCCATAATTACAGTAGAGTCTCGTTTATCCGACCTTCACTTATCCGACATTCTGTCTTATCCGACAATCTGATGGCCCCCTTTTCCTCCAGCATTTCCCCTTCAATTAAAGGAGCGCTCCCCAACTCTCTCTCCATTCCCAATAAGTGAAAATGGCAAGATAAGGAGAAGGAGGAGGGAGGAAAGGGGGAATAGGGGCAGAACCAGAAGCTAAAGCACCCTCCTTCTTTTCCTTTGTGATTTCCACACTCCTCTTCCACATCCGGGCACTTCCTGCTGGGCTACTTAGCCCAGAGGCATTGTCTTTCCTTAATCCTTTGAGTCCCTGTTGTTAGTATTCTAGGTGTCTAGCACTGCGTCGGACAGGTAACAGTACGAGACTCTGTATTATCTCACATTTTTGGAGTGGGATATCAAGAGCACACAATGCCCTTGTTACACCAGTTCCACTGGCTGCCTATTAGCTTCTGAGCACAATTCAAAGTGCTGGCTTTGGCCTATAAAGCCCTTAATGGTTCTGTCCCAGTTTACCTGTCCGAACGTATCTCCCACTACGAATCACCTAGGACCTTAAGATGGTCCAGGGAGGCCCTGCTCGCTGTCCTCCCACCATCGCAATCGCGTTTCATGGGGACAAGAGACAGGGCCTCCTCTGTGGTGGCCCCTCAGCTATGTAATTTCCTCGCAAGTGAAATCATACCCGCTCCTTCCCTCCTGACCTTACAGAAAAAGGTGAAATCCTGGCTATGAGATCAGGCCTTTGCAGACTAGACTGACGTGATGGTAGAGCTATGGTTCAGTGAACTCTGATGGACTCGAATGGACTGTGTGTTGTATGACGATTTAATTGTGTCGATTGTTCTAATGTTTTACTGGTTTTATTTTGTTACCTAAGATGTATATTTATGCTTTTGTTGTCAGCCGCCCTGAGTCCCTCTGCGGAGGTCAAGATAGGATGGGATATAAATGTCCAAAATAAATAAATAAATAAATAAATAAATAAATAAATCTGCTGGCCCATTTATGTCAAATAAGTGAGAGTCTACTGTATAATAAAGCACTGAATTGATATGGAAGCAGGTATCCCAAAAGACTTTATGAAAACTATGTACGGATAGGTATTTCTAGGAAATTTGTTGTCAACTCATTTCTGACCTATGTCAGGGTTTTCTTGAAAATATTTATACACTGATTTTCTCTGAAGCTAAGAGAGTGTGGTTCCAGGACCCACTTTATAGTAAAATATCATCTCCTATATACAATGAAAAAAATCAAGGTTTGCTTTGGGGAAATTAGTTTGAATATTTTCAACCATTGATGGTTTTGAGTGGAGGATCTATGGATATGGAGGGCTGCCTCTTATGGAGAGACGTCAGCACCTTCTTCTTTCCCCCTTCTAGTCTGCAGCAAATTCAAAGCAGACATTGCCTTCCTGGTGGATGAATCTTCAAGCATCGGACAAAGCAACTTCATCAAAGTCAAGGACTTCCTCTTCCGCATTGTCTCCTATTTCCCCAAAATTGGGCCTGAAGGGACACAGGTAAAAATGTGGGCATACATGGGGTGTGATGTGTGGTCATCCCAGCTCTTTTATCATTTATTTTACTTCTTGTGGTGTGTCTTTATCATTGGGTTTCCTCCAAGGAAATCTTCCTCTAAGATGCAAGAGACCAACACTTTCCCAAGGACACCCAGTTGGTTTCTATAGTTGATCAGGAATTTCAATCCAGGTTTCCCTTAGTCCAATATTGAAGCCACTAAACCAGGTATGGGCAAACTTGGGCCTTCCAGTTGTTTTGGATTTCAACTCCCATCATTCCTAACAGCTGGTAGTTGAAGTCCAAAACACTTGGAGGGCCAAAATTTGCCCATGTGTGCACTATACCATGTGACAAACCTATGCTAGTCTTTCAGAAGAAGTTTAACCCTGCCTTTCTCCAAGACTGAGAGAATATGACTTATTGAAGAACATCCAGTATGACTATGTGGTCAAGTGGAGACTTGAACCTTGGTCTCTGAGTTCTAGTTCAGCTCTCAACACCTTGTTCTTGTTTTACTTCTTAGTTATCTTTCCGCCTCACCTTTCCTCCAGTGAATGTGCAGTTTTTTGAACCCGGACTGATGAATACCAAAAAATGCTTCAATCCGCAATAGATCCATTTATTTCATGATGCATCTGTGCTTGGGACTCTTGATATTATATAATTTTTGTATAATATCTGAAAACCCCCAAGCCAGCATGCTGCTGACAGCTGAAAATACTCATAATACTCATTTGAAGTATTCCTCACTCTTTTCACTTGTTGCTCTATGGAGAAGAGATAAACTGAAGTGAAGACTCATGTATTGGGACATGGTCTGTCCATACAGAGTTTCTGAAAGTAGCTCTCTCCTCCAGCTCCAAATCAAGTTGGAAGACTTTGCTGAGAAAGGGGTTGATCTCTTTCCTCTGAAAAGACAAGCAACTGGCTGAGTTTCTGTCCACTAAGTATAGTGTCCAACTCTTTCCTCTGCAGAAAGAAATGATAGGCATCTGGTTGTGCTTCTATTGACTGAGAAGTACAACCTTGCCTTTCTTAGTAGATAGAAATGCAGTCAAGTTTCAGTTCCTTTTCTCCACTGAGAGAAAGGCTCTCTTCTTGGTAGACAGAAGCCCAGCCAGACTTCCATTACTTCTCTCTGTAGAGGAAACAGTCTGACTCCATTCTCATGGAATCCATCTCTTTCCTTTGCACCAAGTCACCTGAAATACTGTGTCCAATTCTGGGCACCACAATTAAAGAGAGATATTGACAAGCTGGAAGGTGTCCAGAGGAGGGTGACTAAAATGATCAAGGGTCTGGAGAACAAGCCCTATGAGGAGCGGCTTAAGGAACTGGGCATGTTTAACCTGAAGAAGGGAAGGCTGAGAGGAGACATGATAGCCATATATAAATATGTGAGAGGAAGTCTCAGGGAGGAGGGAGCAAGGTTGTTTTCTGTTTCCCTGGAGACTAGGACGCAGAACAATGGCTTCAAACTACAACAAAGGAGATTCCATCTGAACATGAGGAAGAACTTCCTGACTGTGAGAGCTGTTCAGCAGTGGAACTCTCTGCCCCGGAGTGTGGTGGAGGCTCCTTCTTTGGAAGCTTTTAAACAGAGGCTGGATGGCCATCTGTCAGGGGTCCTTTGAATACAGTATTCCTGCTTCTTGGCAGAATGGGGTTAGACTGGATGGCCCATGAGGTCTCTTCCAACTCCATGATTCTATGATTCTAAGACACAGTTTGTACACAACCAGCTTTCTTGCCAGATTTGGCACCCAGGAAAGCACTGCTCTTTGGGATCTTATCAAAGACTACTAGTCCCCCACTGCCCTTTTCTCCATCCATGGAGGGGATCTTTGCATATAACAAAAACCACATAACATGAATTTACACAGGTCTTCTGTAGTCCATTGCAGCCTTTTTGACCATATTTTCTATCTCTCAGATTGCTGTCACCCAGTACAGCGAAGAACCCAGAATGGAATTCCACTTTAACCGGTATAAAGACCGGAATGGTGTGCTGAAAGCTCTCAAGAGACTTCGTTATGTTGGGGGAAACACAAAAACAGGTAAATACAACCTATGAGTCTGGCTTCAAAGGAGCTATCCAAGGTTCTGAATCATAGTCCCATAATCACATCAGCACCTTGGACAGTTCCTTTAAAGCAATCCAAAACCTGGAGTGCTGCCCAATTGACATGGAATTCATTAATTGCTGCTCCCTTTTATTGCCTGAGTATTTCTGGATAAACTAGTCCAACAAAGTAACCTTTCAATGCTCTTCCTTTATTCCCCTTTGTGCTTTGATGCTGGTGTCCTTCTGTCATATTTCTCTGTGATTTCATGCAGGAAGAGGCCTTCGCTATATGCTGAAGGAGGTATTTCAAGCTTCCAAAGGGATGAGGCCTTCAGTGCCACACACATTGGTTCTGCTGACAGATGGTCCCTCTCAGGACGATGTGTTGCCCCCAGCCCAAGTGGCCCATGTTCTAGGTAAAGCTATGGTTCTCAGGCTCTCAGGAGCATGTGCTTCACAGAATTGTGATCTTCCTTATCTGGAGGAAAGGAGTGTTTAGAGACTGACTGATTTAAATTTTCTGCCCCAGGGATTCGTCTCATCATTATAGGTGTTTCAGGAGCTGACCCTCAGGAACTGAAGAAGATCTTGATGAACCACAACTTGGAAAATCTCTTCTATGTCAGCACTTTTGATGATCTCCCACAGATCATAAGGGAACTCATAGAAACTATTTGCTTTGGCTCCCAGCAAGGCACTATTGTGACAAAACATAGCAAGGTGAGGATCTTGTCTGATCATTCCATTGGTCATAAATGGACAAAAGGTGCTCTCAGGTCATCTCTGTTTCTGGTGACCTTATGATGACCTATTATTCAGGAGGTTTGCAACTGGCATCTCCTGAGGCTGAGAGAATATGATTTGCTTGAGGTCACCCAGTAGGTCCTCATGATTGAATGGGGACATGAAGGCTGGACTTATGTAAAATTAATCCAGCACTCAAACAATGACACCATGCTAGTTATTGGTTTGCCATTGCCTTCCTTTAAGATGTGCACCGGGACTGTGGCACAGCTGGCTGGGAGTCAGCTGCATTAAGATCACTACTGACCGAAAAGTCATGAGTTCGAAGCTAACCCAGGTTGGAGTGAGCTTCCAACCAAAATTATGTAGCTTGTTGTCGACCTTTGCAACCCAAAAGACAGTTGCATCTGTCAAGTAGGAAATTTAGGTACCACTTATGTGAGGAGGCTAATTTAACAGATTTACAAGGCCATAAAAATATCCAAGAAGTATGCAAAGAATGAGGAAGTACTTCATCAGTGTCACAAACGTATGGTGAAGCGACAGCTCCCCTGGTGGCCAGAAAATGGAATGTTAATTAGCTCTTGAGTGTCTGTCTTTATATGTTGTGTGTCTATGGCATTGAATGTTTGCCATGTATATGTACATCCGCCCTGAGTCCCCTGCGGGGTGAGAAGGGCAGAATATAAATAATGTAAATAAATATATAAATAAAGTGTGACTTGCCAATGGATTTTCATGGCTGATCAAGGATTCAAATTTAATTCAGCTCTAAAAAAACTTGACCTATACCATGCTATTGTTGTTACATGCCTTCAGGTTGACTCCAGCTCATGGTGAGCTTCTCCTAGGATTTTCTTGGAGAGAGAAATTCAAAGGAGATCTTATCATTGCTGCTTACCTATGAGACTGAGAGACTGCGACTTGCCAAAATTCAACCAGAAGAGTTTTACATAGTAAAGAAGAATGTGAATCCTTACCTCCAATTCCAATACTCAGACCACCATGTTCCACATCCATAGGCCACCAGGAATGGCAGGTGGAATGATCTTCAACCCTTCCAACAGGATAGTGTCGATTGTCATATCTGAGGCAGTGATCTAATCTGGAGGGGTGTTTTGGCATCCATATTTCTATCCTCCAAGAGGGAAGAACAAATAGGATGCCTCCATGGAGTGTGGGGAAGCTTCCTCCATTTGGACTAGAACTCTCAGAATTCACCAGCCAGCATGATACGTCTTAGGTTGAATCAATGGTTGTTGAATTTCCTCATGTTTGGATCCACTTTGGATTTTAGCATGAACTTTTCACATGAATTTTAAAGGAATAGAACATTGGATGCTTCCTTTAGCATGTTTGATAGCATCTTAAAATGTAGATCAAAACCAAGAGTAGATGCACCACATATGGAAGCTGCCACCTGCCATGGGACAGAATACCTTAATTCATTTTTTTTGTTCCCAGCTTGATGACAAGGAAGAAAAGATGGACAAGTCGCTGCTTGGTGAAAAAGGAGACCTGCCCATCTCTGTTCCATCTTCTGTCCCACTGGTGGTCCAGCCCCCAGAAGGACCATGTGGCCTCAGATGCCCCAAGGTAAGTTGGACACCGAAGAACCATATTATTTGAAGAACATACATGGGCTTAAGGGCAAGAAAGAACAATCACAAACTTTGCAACAAAAGTTGCAGCTAGGTTATGTTAGCAAGTGTTGTCCAGTATTGAATGTTACTTTATGTACATCTATATCAGGCATGAGCAAACTTGGGCCCTCCAGGTGTTTTGGACTTCAACTCCTACAATTCCTAACAGCCCTTCTCTGAAAATCTGAAATACTTTTTTAAAAACCACATACGTCCTCCACATCAGGTGTAAGATAAGATGTTGGCTATTCCCACAAAAGCATGTTGCCAATTTGTTTTCTCTCCTTTGTTGACAGGCCCAGAAAGGAGAGAAGGTAAGGGTTCCAACTTACTTTGACTGTAGGATTTATTTATTTATTTACTTACAATATACTCATTAGGATTCATAGCTTCCAGGCCTTTACCATTTTGGTTGCCCTTCTTATGAGATGTTCCAGCGTGTCAATATTCTTATTGGTCTGTGACTTAATTGAATCCTCCTGTTTAGAAATGCCCTCTGCTCTAATGATCTCCCCATTTCTTTGTTCAGGGAGACCAAGGTCCACCTGGAGATGCGGTAAGTGATCCGGAGGTAGATGAAGAAGGTGACATTTTTAAAAGACCTAGGAGAGCTAGTTCTCTTTCCCAGGCTTTTTTTAAAACTAGCTTGTGTGATTGACAAGCATTTGTTTTTGTTAACAACTTATTCTGATACATTGCCAGTAGTGGAGACTATTTTGAATAGTATCACGTTATATGTAGACAAAGGGTTATTTTATATATGTATGTATGCTTTTAATAAAAAAGTTACAACCCGAGGGCAGTACTTACTATATGACTTTTGTATCTGAACATTTTCATCCTTATACTATACTATAGATTTCTTTCCTGACCAACTTGCATATATTTGCTTTTTAAATTTCATTTTTCTTGGACTTCCATTTCCAGAGCTTTGCTGGTCTACAAACAGGAGGGGGATATGACCCATTCAGTTTTGCCACCAAAGGAGAGAAAGGAGAGCGGGTGAGTAGCCTCTTCTGAGGTGCCCAGGGATGCCTCTTATTATGGAATGGCTATACCAAGTAACCAAGGAAGTCAATAAACAAATGGATCCATATTTTGACAAATCAGTGACTTTCTAGTGCTGTTGGTCAATCCCAAATCCTCTGTTATCAAAGGCACAGGACTATACCCTATGGCTAGTTCCTATTAGAGCAAACCCACTGAGAATGACATTGAACAGTGAGTTGATTCAATGGGTCTACTCTAATAGGAACTAGCCATAGGGTATAGTCCTGTGCCTTTGATAACAGAGGATGGAGGACCTCAACTGCAGTTTCACATTTTTGCATCCATTCCCGTAAGGTTCTCTAGAACCTGACCTTTGCTATTTCCATCATTGTTTAGGGACTTCCAGGGAAAGATGGCATTCCTGGACTGCCTGGCAGGCCTGGGCGAACGGGCTCCCCTGGCTCTCCTGGACTGATGGTAGGACCCCAAAGACTCACTTGCCAGTAATGTTCAAAAGTCTGGTGGACAGCATTGATAACATCTACCTTTCTTTCTCTCTGCTGATTGACAGGGCCTCCCTGGCATTCAAGGGGATCATGTAAGTTGGAATCACATCATCCAATCTTCTCCTTTGGTGGATCATGAAAGATCTCCTCTAATAGCATTGAGTGTGGTGGATATTTGGGTCAAATTGGGAATTCATAGAGGGTTGATGATGACAAGGCACCCCACGTTTCACAAAATGATGAAGAACCATTGTTGCTAGTGCTGTTATGATACTAACAAAGGTGATGCAGGCTTTTAACCCCCAAATCTGAGCAGATAGGAATGCAATAGCTTCTCTGACCTTTTCCCTACAGGTGTTGGCTATTTGTTTGAATTATTCTTTGGTGATTTCTCCCTTTTTCCACTTCTTGTGCATGTCTCTTTTGTGTTTTAGCACAGTTAGAAGTTCTTTGGACATCCATTCTGGCTGGATGGCCATCTGTCAGGGGTGATTTGAATGCAATATTCCTGCTTCTTGGCAGGGGGTTGGACTGGATGGCCCATGAGGTCTCTTCCAACTCTTTGATTCTTTGATTCTATGATTCTAATGTCATGTAAATAGAGGCCAATAAATGGTTTTGGATTTGGGTCAATGAAGTCTCTGACCGGCTGCGTTAGTCTGTACTGTATTGTGTACTAAAGTGATGCTACTGATAATACTTGACACAGATTGTATAGCACTGAAGGTTCAGTTTGGGCAAAGAAATGCAAAATAGGCAACCAATCCTGTAGCCCAAGAACTCTCATCCATCCCTTTCAACCACAAATTTGTAGAGGTCATCCTAGAACAATGACAACAAAACCAACTTGAAGTTAATCCAACACAATGTCAGTTTATTTATTTGCTATACTTGTATATTGCTTTTCTCAGCCTTAACAGCGACTCAAGGCGGTTTACAAGTCAGTTCACATAACAACAAAATACAAATTAAACATTAAAACGATATAAAATAACAATAGAAGCAATAAAACAATAAAAAACATCATTATCATCAGCGTCTCCTAGTTAAATAAAGTTGTCCAAGTTCTATTGTTGAGTGATTCCGTTTCCTATGTCAGTTACTCTGCATTTGTGAATGCTTGCTCATATAACCATGTTTTGACTTGTCTCCAAACGTTAGGAGTGAAGGAGCTGATCTAATCTCCTTAGGGAGGACGTTCCATAGCCAAGGGGCCACCACAGTTCCTCCTGTCTTTCTCCATATCCCATTTTTTTATTGTACTCCTTTAGTTTGTGGACCAAAGGAACTGTCAAAACTTGGCACCTGCCTAAATATGAGTGCCTATGAATCCCTAAACATTGGAAATGCTGATGACAGTCATTGTGCTTCAAGTTATGCAAAGATAGAGGGAACCATTAGTTCTCTAGATTTTCTTGGATTCCCATCAGTGCAAGCTTACATGACCAGAGATGGTGGAAGTTGTAGTCCACGAACATCTGGAAGAAACCACCAGTTCCCTTCCAGGTCTGACATAAATCGGCTTTTAGATCTGGCTTTTCTATTCATACATGTTTTTTAAAAATATTCTGCTTGCCTGTTTCCATGGTGGGCTGAGTCTCATACTTTGTTTTGCATTGTAGGGTCCACCTGGATTTCCTGGCTCACCAGGGCCAAAGGGGGACAGAGTGAGTTTACCTATTGTGAATGCTTTTATGTATCTATGTGGACACAACAGGATGAGTTCTTAACATGCATTGACTCCTGTGGAAGAATTCATAGTTTGAAAACATTGTTTTGGAAATCCTCCCCCATAGAACTTCCCCAAGATCTGGGGGACGTCCATAGCTCAGGTATAGCATGTAAGTTTTTCATGCCAAATGTCTCATCTTCAGTCTTCTATAAAGGAGGCAAATCTACATCACCTGATGTAGATATGGAACAGTAGGGTCAGATCCTTGGAAAGCTGACTGCCCTTGAAGTTCTTGATTTGCTTTCAGGACCATGGCTAGCAACTCTGCATCTCAGAAGCAAGCCATTCCAGCACTGACCTGAATTATTAAAGGCCATTTAATCCCTCCTCGTGCCGTGTAGGAAAACAACACTAAAGCACTCCTGGAAGGTCTCCATCCAGGTTCTGTTTAAAGACCTCCAAAGACCACCATCTCCCAAGGGAGCCTATTTCACCGATGAACAGTTCTGACAATTTAAGAAGTTATTCCTAATTTTTAGGTGGAATTGCTTGTAATGTAAACGCATTGGTTTGTGTGCTTGTCCCTGGAGAGCCAGAAAAGAAGCTGGCTCTATCTTTTGCAGGACACATCTTCAGATATTTAAATGGCTTCCATTTAAACATCACCAGCTTCCTAATCAAAGGAGCCCCCAGTGGTGCAGTGGGTTAAACCGCTGAGTTGCTAAACTTGCTAATCAAAAGGTCACATGTTCGAATCCGGAGAGCAGGGTGAGCTCCTGCTGTTAGCCCCAGCTTCTGCCAACCTAGCAGTTCGAAAGCATGCAAATGTGAGTAGATCAATAGGTACCGCTCCGTCGGGAAGGTAACAGCACTCCATGCAGTCATGCTGTCCACATGACCTTGGAGGTGTCTACGGACAATGCCAGCTCTTTGGCTTAGAAATGGAGATGAGCACCAACCCCCAGAGTCGGACACCACTGGACTTAATGTCAGGGGAAAACTCCTAACTTTACCTTAGCTTCTTTATCTGTTTTTCATAAGGTTTGGTTTCAAGACCTTTTATCATTTTGGTTACCCTTCTCTGGACATAGTCTGATTTTGCAATATCCTTCTTGAATTTAATACTCTTGTTTTAAACAACTTTGTTATTTTAGATATTTGTGTATTTTGGCATAGATATATAAAAAAAGAAATGCATCAGATGAATTGTTCCTGAATGCAGTCTTTTCCTTTTCCGCAGGGGGAGCCGGGATACATGTTAGGAAGCATGGAAGTAATCCCAGGGCAAGGCGGACAACCTGGCCCACCGGTAACTGAAATCAAACCATTGTGTCTCTGTGTTGTTGAGGGCTTTCATGGCTGGAATCACTGGGTTGCTGTGGGTTTTCCGGGTTGTATGGCTGTGTTCCAGAAGCATTCTCTCCTAACATTTTGCTCACATCTATGGCAGGCAACCTCACAACTTCAATACCTCACTTCTGGACACCACAATTGAAGAGAGATATTGAAGCTGGAATGTGTCCAGAGGAGGGCGACTAAAATGATCAAGGGTCTGGAGAACAAGCCCTATGAGGAGCGGCTTAAGGAGCTGGGCATGTTTAGCCTGAAGAAGAGAAGGCTGAGAGGAGATATGATAGCCATGTATAAATATGTGAGAGGAAGCCACAGGGAGGAGGGAGCAAGCTTGTTTTCTGCTTCCCTGGAGACTAGGATGCGAAACAATGGCTTCAAACTACAAGAAAGGAGATTCCATCTGAACATGAGGAAGAACTTCCTGACTGTGAGAGCCGTTCACCAGTGGAACTCTCTGCCCCGGAGTGTGGTGGAGGCTCCTTCTTTGGAAGCTTTTAAACAGAGGCTGGATGGCCATCTGTCAGGTGTGCTTTGAATGCAATATTCCTGCTTCTTGGCAAAATGGGGTTGGTCTGGATGGCCCAGGAGGTCTCTTCCAACTCTTTGATTCTATGATTCTATGCCAGCCATAGATGTGGGTGAAACATCAGGAGAGAATGCTTCTGGAACATGGCCATACAGCCTGGAAACCCTAACCCTAACCCATTGTGTATCTGTTTCCCATGCTCAAATTGTCCCATCTCATTGTGTATTCTCTAACAGTGGCAGTCAGTGGTTTTCACGCTTTGGAGTGTTGAATCTCTTCTAGATTTCATTCAGAATGAGAAAAGAGCTGTTCAAGGTGCTGAACCTACTTCAGGGATTGGTCTTTTACCATGGATAGCTCCTTTAAAGTTTGGACTAAATCCCTCAGAGTGGAAGTCACTTCCTGCTGCTCTTCTTTTCTCTAGAGTCATATTGAAGTTCCCTCTTCCCAAAACATGAAATTTAACAAATATATAGAACTTTGGAACATTCAGAACCTAATGACCTTCTTGGGAAAACAAAGGCATGAGACATGAATGAAATAACCTGAAATGCATCAAGACCTCACCCCAATTTTCTAATTGGTAATGGGATCCGTTCCAAAAAAATTTTTTAGTAGTTCATAGAAAAATATATTGACCTAATTCAGGTTAGATAAATTGAGGGGGAATTTCACCCCAACTCTTCTCCCCTATGGGCTGCAGTTCCTATACCAAATCAATATCTTTATTTATTTATTCATTCATTTCACGCATTTCTACCCCGCCCTTCTCAAACCCCAAGGGGGGACTCAGGGCAGCTTACAAAAGGCACAATTTGATGCCAGCACTACAGATAATAAGATAAAATATATATCAGCAACAATTATAACACAATTAAAACAATCCAATTATACATCATAGCTAATAAAAACCAACCTAATGATAAATGTTCACCAAGCTCAAAATCCGTAAGTTCATTCCTCATTGTCATAATCCTATCCAATTCTAGTCGTCATTGTCCTTTGTCTGTTTGCCAGATTACTCAAAGGCCTGGTCCCATACCCATGTTTTTAGTTTCCTTCTAAAAGAGAGGAGGGATGTCGATGACCTAATTTCCCCAGGAAGCGAGTTCCACAGGCGAGGGACCACCACCGAGAAGGCCCTGCTCCTCGTCCCCACCAATCTCACTTGTGATATTGCATTCCTCTGCAGTGCTTGGCAACAAAAAGTTCTGTTGTGTCACTTCCTACCACCATTTTGAGAGGGACAGTAGAGGGAAATGTAACCATTTGGGATAAGGGAGGTTGTCCTGGGATATTTATGGTGTGGAGAAAGGGATATACTTGCATGTTTTTGACAGAAACCGCTGGATAAATGCATGATTTATAGTTTTCTCCATCACGATCACGCCATCCCTAAATACGCTACACACTCACAGATTGTCTCAAAGGCAAGCTTTAAAAATCAACCCAAACATAGCAGAGTCCTTTATCAGTTGTCAGCAGCATGACCTTGTGCCACTCACTGTTTATGAAAACTCTTTGACACTGGTTTTCATCCAAATTCACAGTGAAGGCTTTTAATCTTGACACGTTACTTTAGGTACAGCTATATACACATGTCAGGATCCCCTCATCTCCTATCGGTCAATGGCATATACAGAGATATACTCAGGACACAGATAACAGCAACAGATGTACAGTGAGAAGTAAGAGAATCATGGCAAGAGAAAGAACACATGCTTGCTGCCATCTTTTGCTTCTAGTCATCAACCAGGGACAACAGTGAATCATAGAATCAAAGAGTTGGAGGAGACCTCATGGGCCATCCTGTCCAACCCCCTGCCAAGAAGCAGGAATATTGCATTCAAATCACCCCTGACAGATGGCCATCCAGCCTCTGTTTAAAAGCTTCCAAAGAAGGAGCCTCCACCACACTCCGGGGCAGAGAGTTCCACTGATGAATGGCTCTCACAGTCAGGAAGTTCTTCCTCGTGTTCAGATGGAATCTCCTCTCTTGTAGTTTGAAGCCATTGTTCCGCTGTCCTAGTCTCCAAGGAAGCAGAAAACAAGCTTGCTCCCTCCTCCCTGTGACTTCCTCTCATATTTATACATGGCTATCATATCTCCTCTCAGCCTTCTCTTCTTCAGGCTAAACATGCCCAGCTCCTTAAGCCGCTCCTCATAGGGCTTGTTCTCCAGACCCTTTATCATTTGAGTCGCCCTCCTCTGGACACATTCCAGCTTGTCAATATCTCTCTTGAATTGTGGTGCCCAGAATTGGACACAATATTCCAGGTGTGGTCTAACCAAAGCAGAATAGAGGGGTAGCATTACTTCCCTAGATCTAGACACTATGCTCCTATTGATGCAGGCCAAAATCTCATTGGCTTTTTTTGCCACCACATCACATTGTTGGCTCATGTTTAACTTGTTGTCCACGAGGACTCCAAGATCTTTTTCACACGTACTGCTCTCGAGCCAGGCGTCCTCCATTCTATATCTTTGCATTTCGTTTTTTCTGCCTAAGTGGAGTATCTTGCATTTGTCCTGTTGAACTTCATTTTGTTAGTTTTGGCCAATCATCTCTCTAATCTGTCAAGATCGTTTTGAATTCTGCTCCTGTCCTCTGGAGTATTGGCTATCCTTCCCAATTTGGTGTCGTCTGCAAACTTGATGATCCTGCCTTCTAGCCCTTCAATGATACAATCCTCGTCATGCTTGTCACATGGTCATGACTCTGCTTCTTTTGCCTCTCCCTTCAGTTGCACACCCTCTAGTAGTGTCACAATGACAGGGCTCTGTTGTTATTCAGGTAGAGGTGAATCAAACAAACACCCAGGTTGTTATGAAACAGTTTAATTGAAACAGCACTTATTTTCTGGCTGTTTTAATAGTCCAAAGCATAAAACATAAAGATATTACTCAGCCACAGAATATAAACACTACACTGTAGTCAAAGGATCCAGTCCAGTGGTCAAATGCTGAAAGTTCAATGAGCAAAGTCCAGGGATCAAGAGTCTACACCGTAGTCAAAAGCCAGTCCAAAGATTCAAGGTTCCAGGGTTTCAAGAATATTTTTTTTATTTACTGTATTTCTATCCCGTCACTTCTCAACCCCTGAAGGGGGACTCAGTATGGCTTACAATGGGCACACGGCTTACAATGAGTACAGGAGACAGGTCAGGATACTGAAAATCCACAAACCTGGGGGGGGAAACCAGCAGTATCTACCACCAAAATAAGACAAATACTTTTCTCCCAAAGATCAATCCCAAGGTTAGCTCCTTATATTCATGCCTCCACCCTTTATTGCTTTCACCGATAAACACTGACTTAGAGATTACTCAACTCCTTAGAACTAAGACTTACATTAACCCTTCCATCACCAACTGCTGGGTCTGCCACCCCCAGCCACCATCAACTGCGGAACATGATACATGACAATTAGGTGTGTGACCACATGCCCATTAGAACTGTATTTTAAACCATTTTACACAATGGGGTTACAGCCAATGTAATCCTGTCTAACAGTGTATTATCTATTTAACAGTTTCCACATGTTTGGAGAGCTTTCTCCCTGATTTGGGGGCAAAAATTTTCCTTGTAATTGCAATAATTTTTTAAAAATGTGGATACCGATTTGAGAGTGAGGAGGAGGGATCTCAGGGCCACAGGATTTGCTATGTCCATCTCTAGTGTGATATCTGCTCTGAATCTTTCCAGGGTTACAAGGGACAACCAGGAGTGCCAGGAGTGCCAGGCCCCCCAGGTTTGCCCGGTTTACCTGGACCTCAAGGACCGCCTGGTTTGTCAGTCAAGGTATGTATGGGATGGTGAGTCTCTAAGGCAGGCATGGACAAACTTGGCCCCTCCAGGTGTTTTGGACTTCAATGCCCACAATTTCTAACAGCTGCTAGGCTGTTAGGAATTGTGGGAGATGAAGTCAAAAACACCTGGAGGGCCCAAGTTGGCCCATGCCTGCTCTAAGGTGAACTTGTTGTTGGTGTGTTGCCTGGATTCATAGAAATGGTATTCAGTGTGGAAAACATGGAAAATCCCCACTGAACTTGATGGGTTTGTCTCAAGACTCATATCAAATTAAGGCCCACAGTCCAAATCTGGCCCACTATGTCATTTTATGTGGCTCTCCAGATGTTGGACTACAATTCCTGTGTTCCTGATCATTACACATTATGTCTAGAGCTGATGGGAGTTGGGTACAGTAACATCTGGAAGGGTGCAGTCTGTTCAGTTTAATCAGGATGATGGAGTTTGCTTTGAGATACAAGGCTCATGGATATGACACCTGACTTTTCAATGTTCTTTAACCTTTCTTCAGTATCAGAAACACAATTGTTGGTGACTTGCAATTCCCATTATCCCCATCTACATGGAGGGTAATCCAAAGTTATGGGAGTTGTCGTTCAATAGCATCTGGGGAGCCAAACTGGTTAAATACTAAAATACCTGACCACTATGAATGAATACACACACACACACACACACACACTGTGTGTGTGTGTGTGTGTATGGATAAAATCCATGGATACTGAAGGCATGTGTGTGTGTGTGTGTGTGTGTGTACGTATATGCCCTCTGTATCCATGGATTTTCCATTAATGGTATTTGTAGGGCTTTCTTAGACAAGGATTAAACTTTTGTGAACTCCTTCAAACTTTAGGCATTCTGTAATATTCTTCTTTTTCTCTATTCCAGGGTGACTCAGGAGATCCTGGGATCAGAGTAAGTGGTCATCCATTTTACTTCTGTTTTCCTCTATAATATTATACATGCCTCTTTCATCATATGAGGGTTGAATGAAAAGTAATGCCTCCACCTACATAACTCCTCAGCAGATGGCAGTACTAGTATGCAGCAGGTACTGGCTTGTTCAGTAGGCTCTTCTGTACAGTTCCATTTTGGCAGGAAGCCTTAGCATTGAACAGTTGTGTTGTTAAAGTGCGAAGTATGGGCCCTGCACAGACGGTTGGTCAATCTGACTTAAGCAACGTGCAGTCATTGAATTCTTGACAGCAGAATGTGTCACCTCAACATCTTTGAACTTACCCACCCAACAACGCACAGTACTCACATCAACACAATTACCATAAACAGCTTGTATTCTCTGATGAATCTCCTTTGGAGTGACACCTTCTGCTGCCAAGAATTCAATTACTGCATGTTGCTTAAGTCGCATTGACTGACCGTCTGTGAAAGGTTCCATACTTCGCACTTTAACAACACAACTGTTCAATGCTAAGGTTTCCTGCAAAATGGAACTGTAGAAGAGAGTCTACTGAACAAGCCAGTACCTACTGCATACCAGTACTGCCATCTGTTAAGGAGTTACGAAGGTGGAGGCATTACTTTTCATTCAACTTTTGTAGTTGATATTCCTTCATCCCCAAGACTGGCCAGAGCTTTAATGGTCTGAAGAAGAAAGACAAATGAGTGTCCAAACTCGGCAGAGTTTGAAAATGTTCCCTTTTTGGGCCACAAATTCCAGAAACCTCTATGGTTAGCCACTTTGAGTCTCTCATGAGAGAGAGAAAATGAGGGATATGAATATTAATACTACTAAAATGTGATGGTTCTGGGAGTTGTCAACCCACCTAAAGGAATTTGCCATAGATTTGTGCTTGATCCTCCATAATTATCCACTCTATGTGTCTCTTGAGAGATAAAAAGAAGGATATAGCTTGTTCAGTAGACTCTTCTCTACAGTTCCATTTTGGCAGGAAGCCTTAGCATTGAACAGTTGTGTTGTTAAAGTGCGAAGTATGGGCCCTGCACAGATGGTTGGTCAATCTGACTTAAGCAACGTGCAGTCATTGAATTCTTGACAGCAGAATGTGTCACCTCAACATCTTTGAACTTACCCACCCAACAACCCACCCTCCTCCTTCTTGGAGGAGGATTCTAGGAGTTGTCAGTCACAAAAAAAGGAACTTGTCCTATCTTTCTGCTTGATGAAGTTCCTATAAGGTCTAATGAAGAAGAAGCAAATGTCTCATCCATGAAATAATTGGTTGGCTCTGAAGAAGAAGAGAAAGAAAAGAGAAGATACAAATTATGTGTACTTTAATACACAGCTAGCAAGAATGAGTAAATCTGTACTGTTAAATTAATGCAGTTTTGCACCGCTTTAATTACCATGGTTCAACATGATGGCACCATGGCAGTTAGTGATGTTAACCTGCATTCATTTGACAGTGTAGACATATCCTTAGACTGAAGGTTATTTTGAAATATAGGGTTAACCTTTTAACTAAATAATTCCTTGTGTTATGCAGGGACCTCGAGGAAAAGGTGGGACCAAGGGAGAGAAAGGAGAACCTGGAGAAATGGTAAGTGTGTCCCAGACAGTCCAGGTGAAGGGAAGTTGCTGTAGGAATCCTGATGGAAAATGGCTTTGGTAACATAATAATGATGTAATCATTATCCTATCTGTTTAACTTGTATGCTATGGAGCCGAGGTGGTGCAATAGGTTAAATCCTTGTGCCGGCTGAACTGCTGACCTGAAGGTCAGCAGTTTGAATCTGTGAGACAGGGTGAGCTCTCATCTGTCAGCTCAAGCTTCTCAGACAGAGACATGAGAGAAGCCTCCCACAGGATGGTAATACATCCGGGCATCCCCTAAGCAATGTCTCTGCAGATGGCCAATTCTCTCACACCAGAAGCAACTTGGAGTTTCCGAAGTCACTTCTGACATGATAAAAAACTAGTATGATGAACATATGATGCATCAAGCAAGGTTAGACTTGGGGGAAGGAGGCTTGAACATTGGAAGAAGGACTATCAACTATTCAACATATGTAGATGACACCACACTACTGGCAAAAAATGGCAGACTTCATAAATGATGACTGAAGAAACTCAAGAAAGTACAAAGACAGTTTTACAGTTGAACATTAAAGAGCTCAAATAATAACTATATAAGAGTAAGATAACCTTAAAGGAGAAAAAGAAGACTTTGAAATTATTCAAAAATTTCAATACATTGGATCATTCATCAATCAGAGTGGAGACTTGAGTCAGTGTTAGAAGATGAGGGCTTGGAAAGTCAGGTATGAAGGATCTAGACGAGACCCTGAAGTATAAAGAAAGATGTATAATTGAAAAGTAAAATTAGGATTGTCCATGCCAGATTGTCCCCGTAGTCACCTACGGATGTGTGAGCTGGACCATAAGGAAGGCTGAGCGAAGGAAGATAGATGCTTTTGAACTGTGGTGCTGGAGGAAAGTTCTGAGAGTACCTTGGACTGCGAGAAGATCCAGCCAGTCCATACTTAAAGAAATAAAGACCAACTACTCATTGGAGGGAAGGATAGTAGAGGCCAAGATGAAGTACTTTGGCCACATCATGAGAAGAAAGGAAAGCTTAGAGAAGACAATGATGCTGGGGAAAATGGAAGGAAAAAGGAAGAGGGTCCGACCAAGGGCAAGATGGATGGAATTTGATTATTTTATTTATTTACAGCTTTTATATTCCACCCTTCTCACCCCGCAGGGGACTCAGGGCGGATTACAGTGTACACATATATGGCAAACATTCAATGCTAATTTTTGACATACAAACATATACAGACATACACAGAGGCTATTTAACTTTTTCTGGCCGCCAGGGGAGCTGTCGCTTTCATCGTCCATCTGCGACGCTGATGAATCACTTCCGCATTCCCCGCATGCTTCCCCGCTGGAATGCTTTGCTGGAGTCATCTTTATGGCCTCATAAATCAGTTAATTTAGCCTCCCCACACTTTTAGGTGGTACCTTATTTTCCTACTTGACAGATGCAACTGTCTTTCGGGTTGCAAAGGTTGACAACAGGCTACACACAATTGGTTGGAAACCCACTCCAACCTGGGCTGGCTTCGAACTCATGACCTTTTGGTCAGAGTGATCTTAATGTAGCTGACACTCAGCCAGCTGTGCCACAATCCCAGTGGATGGGATCCTTGACGTGACTGGACTGACCTTGAAGGAGCTGGGGGTGGTGACGGCCGACAGGGAGCTCTGGTCCATGAAGTCACAAAGTCGGAAATGACTGAACGAATGAACAACAAACAACATGCCAGCACACAATTTCCTATTTCTGTGTGTGATTGTATCATAAAGTGAAGAAAGCAGATAGGAAGAAAACCAGATGAGAAGAAATTAGGTCTAATTTTATTCCTTTTTCAAGTTAACATGCTGTGCCAATATAGAACCACTCAAATCTTTTCTGAGAGCAGACTTTCTCCTTCTTTTGCAGGGAAAGGCTGGCTTACCTGGACCAATAGGGCTGGATGGGACTCCGGGAGCGTCTGGACCAAAGGGTGAAAAGGTACATCGTCTTAAGGGACATTAGGATAAACCTCCTCCCCAAAAGAACTATGGAATAGATCTTAAGGAACCTTCAACATTTTTCTCATCAGCAATCTTTCTCATCCTCCAATCTCTGCCCCCTTCAACATGAAAACCCAAACTATAAGAGTGCTCTGCAAAAAAAGATCCTCTGACCCAATTAAACATATGTGGAACATTTATACATTTCTATATATTCTCAGAACTGCTCTCTATATTGACAGGATGGTCGTTGTAAAATCTGCTGCTTCTTTCACGGGACATAGTCTGAATGGCATGCTCTGGTTTAGCATTCAGCTCTTCTGTAAAGTAGATATTCATCCTGTGTACATACAAAAGAGGGTGCAAGGATGTTGGAGTTCAGCCTGTGATTGTGTTTCCGGATCAGGGTGCTTTGGGTGTGGGGAATGATGTTAATGAGGTTCAAGATGAGTTTCAAGACGGCAATGGTTTGCTCAATGATATTGATGCAGAGAATGACCAGGAGATCCCTCTAGTTTCCCATGAGAATGTCCCTGAAAGGTGTGGGGATGATGAAGACATCACAAATTCTCTCTGTGACATCCTGAGTGAATCATCCTGGCTGCCTCAGTTTTCTCTCTGTAACATTTTGAAGCCAGTAGAGGGTGCTGGAAACCTTGTATTGGAACTTGTGAAGCAACAAGCTCTAATAAGGAAACTGAGAAGAGGGGGGAGATGGGCAGGAAAGGTGTATAAAAGGAAGTGGTGGTGGGAAAAAGTCAGTAGTGTCTTTCTTTACTGCAGAGATACAAGCAATATATTCATTTCCAAGCAAAATCGGCTTGTGAGTGATCATTTAATATTGCTATATAAAACCTACAGTCTTACAGCTTTCTGAATTGTTACCAGAGAGTTCTCATGAGAGAGAACATGAAAATAGCTCGGCACCTGGCCCAGCTGCAAAAGTTAATGAGCAAGTAGATAACGAGCCCAGAGATAGACGAGAAGAGATTAGTCAAAACAGGAGAGCTGAGCAATGGCTTCGGTGCTCTGCTAGGCTTCGACAGAAAACAATAACAAAGCCTCAATGAAAGAGAAACCAATTTCTGACTGCTAGTGACCTAGCTAATGAGAGGATAAAAGTCTCAAGTTTGGGATGTGTAGTCAGATGAAGCATCGTTTAGAACAGGGGTCCTCAAACTAAGGCCCGGGGGCCGAATACGGTCCTCCAAGGTCATTTACCCGGCCCTCGCTCAGGGTCAACCTAAGTCTAAAACGACTTGAAAGCACACAACAACAACAACAACAACCCTATCTCATCAGCCAAAAGCAGGCCCATACTTCCCATTGAAATACTATATTTGTTTAAATTGTTTGTTAAAATTTGTTAAACTTGTTCACTTTAATTATTTTTTAATTATTGTATTGTTTTTAAGTGTTTTTTGCACTACAAATAAGATATGTACATTGTGTATAGGAATTCAAGGGTTTTTTTCCAAATTATAATCTGGCCCTCCAACAGTTTGAGGGAATGTGGCCTGGCCCTCTGTTTAAAAAGTTTGAGGACCCCTGGTTCAGAATCATGACAAGTTCTTATCCTTGTTCATGGAAACCTTGCTTTAAAGATTCATGCTAAGACATTTCTTGTTTCATGGTTTTGATTCCTGGATTTCATGATTGCTTACCCAAGCCTAGGATCAATGAATTCCTGATTTTCTGGATTGTTTTAGAGTTGTGTGGACTTTGCTTTTATGGACTTTGCTGAACTTTGCCTTGGGCTAATTTGCTCCTGCTTATCTTCTTTCCTAATTGGATTTACCAATTTCTTTAAAGTGCTTTTTGCTTTACTGTTTTTTTTTACTTATCTTCAATGAAAGGATTGTTTTTTCCTATTCAATGTGTGGTGTTTAAAGTCAGAGGATTATTCCTGTCCTGGAGTGCAACAAAGGAGTGGTTGAGCTAGTGAATATAATATCCCCTTTCCTGGGGATATTATATGTGGCAGTAGTTTTTACTACATTGCATTGCATTGCACTGCACTGCACTGCATTGCATTGTATGAGATGACATAAAGGGGAGCATTCACATTTATTCAGCATTTACTCCACATGCATACTATTCATCCATACTCACCATCCCTCATCATTCAATTTATTTATTTTATTTATTTACTATATTTTTATACTGTCCCTCTCAGCCCGCAGGCGACTTGGGGTGGTTTACAATTGATGCTAAGACCATAAAATACAATTTCAATACAATAAAAACAATCAGATAATAAAACCATAACAAAATCAATAAAAACATAAACATTAGGGTCTCTCATGAAAACATTGTCCAATCATCATTCAACCATTCCATTTTCCTATGTCTATTACACTGTATTTGGAAATGCCTGCTCAAAGAGCCAAGTCTTGACTCTCTTTTGAAATATTAAAAGGGAGGGGGCCCATCTGATATCATTAGAGAAGGCGTTCCATAGCCGAGGGGCCACCACTGAGAAGGCCCTGTCTCTCATCCCTGCCATCCGTACTTGTGACGAAGGCGGGACCGAGAGCCATTTTGGAAGGAGACATGTGGACAGGCTGTATTCCTCAGAGATCTGCCACACTTTTGGAAGTGAAAAGTGTCTCTTTATGTAGCAACTTCTTTCTGTTGTTGTTCTGGATTGTTTTTCAACCTGTCATTCAGCTAAACCTCGCTGATGCTCCATCAATTTTGGGCAGATGTTGTTTTTCTTCCTTAAAATAAGGAACCATTATTTTGGACTGCCTTAAATTAAAAAAAATATTGTCTCTGACCATGTAAACATGTGCTATTTACACCAGAAGTTCCCAGATCAGTTATGTCAGCAGTTCAGCACTTTTCTTCACCTTCTTTGTTTCTCCATAATGCAGTTTTTCAGGTTCCATATATCTTAGGATGGTGTCTTCAGCCTTGGCAAGCCTTAATAGGCCCTTAGCCAGACCCCATTATACAATTTCATTCAACGTACTCATGACATCTACACTGCCATAAAACCCAGTTTTAAATCCAGATTATCCACTTTGAGCTGGATTATATGAGTCTATACTGCCATATTGTGTCCAATTCTGGGCACCACAATTCAAGAGAGATATTGACAAGCTGGAATGTGTCCAGAGGAGGGCAACTCAAATGATCAAGGGTGGAGAACAAGCCCTATGAGGAGCGGCTTAAGGAGCTGGGCATGTTTAGCCTGAAGAAGAGAAGGCTGAGAGGAGATATGATAGCCATGTATAAATATGTGAGAGGAAGCCACAGGGAGGAGGGAGCAAGCTTGTTTTCTGCTTCCATGGAGATTAGGACAAGGAACAATGGCTTCAAACTACAAGAGAGGAGATTCCATGTGAACATGAGGAAGAACTTCCTGACTGTGAGAGCCGTTCAGCAGTGGAACTCTCTGCCCTGGAGTGTGGTGGAGGCTCCTTCTTTGGAAGCTTTTAAACAGAGGCTGGATGGCCATCTGTCAGGGGTGCTTTGAATGCAATATTCCTGCTTCTTGGCAGAATGGGGTTGGACTGGATGGCCCAGGAGGTCTCTTCCAACTCTTTGATTCTATGATTCTATGATTCTATATAATCCAGTTCAAATCAGATAATTTGGATTCTAAAACTGAATTATGCAGCAATGTAGATGGGGTTATCATGCTCCTCGTATAACCTTTCTTTGCTTGTGTTTCAGGGTGAAGCAGGGATTGGTGTTCCAGGGATCCCTGGTCTCAAAGGAGCCGAAGGAGACAAGGTAGGCTTCACCTTTGCCATTGAGATTTCTGGACAAAGGGATGCATGTGGAACTAATACACACTGCATGATTCTAGCACTTCAGTAGCAGTTTCACTGCCATGCTTCCATTGTATGGCATTCTAGATTCCAGCTAGAAGTTGTTGAGAGTTTCAGACCCACAAAATCCAAATTTTGTAATGACCAGGTTGAACTCCCTTTGTTTCATTTGCAGGGGACGATGGGACCTTCCGGACCTCAAGGACAGAAGGTGAGTTTTGAAATGAATGAATGTTGCATGTCAGACCTGGGTGAATGCAGTTGCGATGCTGAAATTCAAACTGTTTCCTCTTACATAATCCAGGGTGAGCAAATTTCACAGTTTGATTTGGACCTTTATTCCTTTTTAAAGAGGCAAAGTCACTTTCTTACCAACAGTGTTGATCAACAGGTCAATTGAGTTGCAGATCACATCCTGTTGAATAAATGGCCCAGATGGCAACTGGACTTCATGACCAGTTGCTGTCTATATTTTCTGTGAGATCACATCATCCAGCCACATTATCACAGGGTGCCTGCGCCCTACACCAATGGAGAAATTACACTGTCTAGCCGGTATTGCACCACCTGACATCTGCCAGGAAGTAGCAGCCAATAGTGAAAGGACCAAGGCAGAGACATCTCCGGCCCATCCTCTGTTTGGATATCAGCCAGCACACCAATACCTTAAATCAAGAAATAGTTTTCTAAGATCTACAGAGATACTCGGAACACCTCAGCAAGCGAGAGTCCAAAAGTGGCAGGCTCAAACCCAGAACCTCAACCAATGGCTGATACCAAATGAGAGACTCCCCCTGGGCACACAGAGGACTGGGCGACTTGGAAGGCGCTGAACAGACTGCGCTCTGGCACCACGAGATGCAGAGCCAACCTCAAGAAATGGGGCCACAAAGTGGAATCCTCGACATGCGAGTGTGGAGAAGAGCAAACCACTGACCACCTGCTGCAATGCAACCTGAGCCCTGCCACATGCACAATGGAGGACCTTCTTGCAGCAACACCAGAGGCACTCCAAGTGGCCAGATACTGGTCAAAGGACATTTAATCAACTACCAAACTCACAAATTTTGTATTTCGTCTGTTTGTTTGTTTTGATCTGTTAGAAATGTAATAAAATTGACTTGTTGCCCTGACACGACAAATAAAAATATCCAACTTTAAAGTCATTTGGACCAGTAGACGTCACTACATACTCTGAAATCCAAATTTATACACATGGGTGACTGAGATAGTGACCCGTGGCTTAAAACTGCCAGTTTGGGAGGAAAGGATGGTATCAATAGGTTGTTGTAAGTTTTTTGAGCTGTATCACCATGTTCCAGAAGCATTCTCTCCTGATGTTTTGCCTCCTCATAACCTCTGAGGATGCCTGCCATAGATGCAGGTGAAATGTCAGGAGAGAATGCTTCTGGAACATAGCCATACAGCCCGAAAAACCTACAACAACCTATTGATTCAGGCCATGAAAGTCTTCGACAATATGATTAGGAACATTAGGAAGAACTTCCTGATTGTGAGAGCCGTTCAGCAGTGGAACTCTCTGCCTTGGAGTGTGGTGGAGGCTCCTTCTTTGGAAGCTTTTAAACAGAGGCTGGATGGCCATCTGTCAGGGGTGCTTTGAATGCAATATTCCTGCTTCTTGGCAAAATGGGGTTGGACTGGATGGCCCAGGAGGTCTCTTCTAACTCTATGATTCTATGATAGTATCAATACATTTAATAAACATACCATTAATAGTAGAAAACAATCCACTCATTCATTATTATTTATTTCTGTTTAGGGTGAACGAGGAATGCCAGGGCCTGAAGGACCAACTGGTTTGAGGGTAAGCAAATGAATGACTTGGAGGTCCATAAGTACGGCAATAAGATTCAGATCTCTACTGGAGAATCCACACAGATATTTACAAGTTAAATCATATCTGCAATTGGGGTTATTGGCTATGAATACTCTCTAATTATGCCTTATTTGTGTTTTAAATATAGGGTAAAAAAGGCCAAGATGGTGTGAAGGGGGAAAAGGTGAGGAGTCTGTTTATGAGACGGGTTCTACGTGGTCATTTGCCTTCTCACACCAGAAGCGATTTGCAGTTTCTCATTGCTCCTGATGCAGACATAAAATTGCCTTCTGATTGCATAATTGTGGGGGTTAATATTCTGTCCTTTTCCAGGGAGAACGTGGAGAGACCGGGCCAAAGGGTCTCCAGGGAATTGCGGTAAGACGACCATGATGCTTGGGGGGAAGTGGGGGAAGTTACCAATTTGGGGTCATATATACAATTACATATGCATATACATATACAGTCCAATATGTAATTGTAATTGTAATTGTATTACAATTACATATGAACTTATGTACTCCAGCAAAGGATCACCGCCTTGTCGGGGCGCTGGAGCTTGAGCACCTCAATGATGTCATGAGCGAAACCGTGAAGGGCCACCCACGACGGGACGGTTGTGGCAGAGAGGTCAGACCAAGCGTGATCCCTGGGGAAGGCAATGGCAAACCACTCCAGTATCCTTGCCAAGAAAACTAAATGGACCAGTACAACCAGAGATATGTCGGTATGCCATTGGAAGATGGGACTCCCAGGTCGGAATATGGCCAAAATGCTACTGGGGAGGAGCAGAGGATAAGTTCAACTAGCCCCAGATGTGATGACGCAGCTAGCTCAAAGCCGAAAGGAAGGCTAGCGGCCGACGGTACTGGAGGTGAACGACGAATCCAATGCTCTAAAGATCAACACACCATAGGAACCTGGAATGTAAGATCTATGAGCCAGGGCAAATTGGATGTTGTTATTGGTGAGATGTCAAGACTAAAGATAGACATTCTGGGGGTCAGCGAACTGAAATGGACTGGAATGGGCCACTTCACATCAGATGACCACCAGATCTACTACTGCGGACAAGAGGAACATCGAAGAAATGGAGTAGCCTTCATAATTAATAAGAAATTCGCTAAAGCGGTGCTTGGATACAACCCAAAAAATGACAGAATGATCTCAATTCGAGTGCAAGGAAAGCCTTTCACATTACAGTGATCCAAATATATGCCCCAACCACAGCTGCTGAAGAAGCAGAAGTAGATCAGTTCTATGAGGATCTGCAGGAACTACTGGATAATACACCAAAAAGAGACATTATTTTCATTACAGGAGACTGGAATGCCAAGGTGGGAAGTAAAATGACAACAGGGATCACAGGCAAGCATGGTCTGGGAGAACAAAATGAAGCGGGACGCAGGCTGATAGAATTTTGCCAGGAAAACTCGCTGTGTATAACGAATACTCTCTTCCAACAACCTAAAAGACGGCTTTATACATGGACCTCTCCAGATGGTCAACACCGAAATCAGATTGACTACATCCTTTGCAGCCAAAGGTGGCGGACATCCATCCAGTCGGTGAAAACAAGACCTGGGGCTGACTGTAGCTCAGATCACAAACTTCTTATTGCCCAATTTAGAATAAAACTAAAGAGATCAGGGAAAATACACAGACCAGTTAGATATGATCTCACTAACATTCCTAGCGAATATACAGTGGAAGTGAAGAACAGATTTGAAGGACTAGATTTAGTACACAGAGTCCCAGAAGAACTATGGACAGAAGTCCGCGACATTGTTCAGGAGGCGGCAACAAAGTACGTCCCAAAGAAAAAGAAAACCAAGAAGGCAAAATGTTTGTCTGCTGAGACACTGGAAGTAGCCCAAGAAAGGAGGAAAGCAAAAGGAAACAGGGATAAGGGGAGATATGCCCAGTTAAATGCGCAATTCCAGAGGTTAGCCAGAAGAGATAAGGAACTATTTTTAAATAAGCAATGCATGGAAGTGGAAGAAGACAACAGAATAGGAAGGACAAGAGACCTCTTCCAGAAAATTAGAAACTTGGAGGTAAATTTCAGGCAAAAATTGGTATGATAAGAAACAAAGATGGCAGGGACCTAACAGAAGCTGAAGAGATCAAGAGAAGGTGGCGAGACTATACAGAAGATCTGTATAGGAAGGATAATAATATTGAGGATAGTTATGACGGTGTGGTGAATGAATTAGAACCAGACATCCTGAGGAGTGAAGTTGAATGGGCCTTAAGAAGCATTGCTAACAACAAGGCAGCAGGAGACGACGGGATCCCAGCTGAACTGTTTAAAATCTTAAAAATGATGCTGTCAAGGTGATGCATGCCATATGCCAGCAAATATGGAAAACACAAGAATGGCCATCAGACTGGAAAAAATCAACTTATATCCCCATACCAAAAAAGGGAAATGTGAAAGACTGCTCAAACTTCCGTACAGTGGCCCTTATTTCTCATGCCAGTAAGGTAATGCTCAAGATCCTGTACTATAGGGAATACCATTGCTTTAACATGGAGAGAGAGTTGCCAGATGTACAAGCTGGGTTTAGAAAAGGTAGAGGAAAGAGAGACCAAATTGCCAATATCCGCTGAATAATGGAGAAATGCAGGGAGTTTCAGAAAAACATCTATTTCTGTTTTATTGACTATTCTAAAGCTTTTGACTGTGTGGATCATAATAAACTGTGGCAAGTTCTTGGTGGTATGGGCATACCAAGCCACCTTGTCTCTCTCCTGAGGAATCTGTACAGGACCAAGTAGCAACAGTCAGAACTGACCACGGAACAACAGATTGGGTCAAGATTGGGAAAGGTGTACGGCAAGGCTGCATACTCTCACCCAACCTTTTTAACTTGTATGCAGAACACATCATGCGATGTGCGGGGCTGGATGAATGCAAAGCTGGGGTGAAAATTGCTGGAAGAAACATTACCAACCTCAGATATGCAGATGACACCACTCTGATGGCCGAAAGCGAGGAGGAGCTGAGGAGCCTTCTAATCAAGGTGAAAGAAGAAAGCGCAAAAGCCGGGTTGCAGCTAAACATAAAAACAAGATTATGACAACCGGACTGATTGATAACTGGCAAACAGAGGGAGAAAACATGGAGGTAGTGACAGACTTTGTATTTCTAGGTGCAAAGATTACTGCCGACGCAGACTGCAGCCAGGAAATCAGAAGACGCTTACTTCTTGGGAGGAGAGCAATGTCCAATCTCGATAAAATAGTAAAGAGTAGAGACATCAGACTGGCAACAAAGAGCCGCCTAGTCAAAGCCATGGTATTCCCTGTAGTAACCTACGGATGTGAGAGCTGGACCTTAGGGAAGGCTGAGCGAAGGAAGATCGATGCTTTTGAACTGTGGTGTTGGAGGAAAGTGCTGAGAGTGCCTTGGACTGCGAGAAGATCCAACCAGTCCATCCTCCAGGAAATAAAGCCCGACTGCTCACTGGAGGGAAAGATACTAGAGACAAAGTTGAAGTACTTTGGCCACATCATGAGGACAGGAAAGCCTAGAGAAGACAATTATGCTGGGGAAAGTGGAAGGCAAAAGGAAGAGGGGCCGACCAAGGGCAAGATGGATGGATGGCATCCTTGAAGTGACTGGACTGCCCTTGAGGGAGCTGGGGGTGGTAACGGCCGACAGGGAGCTCTGGCGTGGGCTGGTCCATGAGGTCACGAAGAGTCGGAGACGACTGAACGAATGAACAACAACAACATACAGTCCAAAGTGTATACATTGCAATTAATCTGCCAAATTAATTTAATAACATCAACTAAGCATTAGCTAGTTTTCCAAATGAGTGCTAACAAGACCACATTTCCTTTATTTATTACTAGCTTGGGAACCCGGTGCTGCCCGGGTTATTTGAGAAAGGAATTGTGTGTCAAGGTTGGTCTTTATCAGTTATTTATATGACTCGCAGTGGTCTCAGGAAGTTAGTGAAGGTACTGCGAGTCCCATCATCTGTGGTATGTCCTCCTTACAAGTGCACCAGGATGTAGAGTGGGTCATGGGGACTCTGTGTGCCAAGTTTGGTCTTGATCAGTCATTGGCGAGGGTCTCAGTGGTCTCAGGAAGTGAGTGAAGTGACTGCAAGTCCCATCATCCATTGCCAAAGTCTTCCAAACCGCACCAGGATGTAGAGTGGGTCATGCGGGCTCTCTGTGTAAATTGTGGTCCTGATCCATCATTGTTGGCAGTTGTAATGGTCTTAGAAAGGGAGTGCAGATATTGCAAGTCCCATCGTCCATGGTGCATCCTCCTTCAAAACTCAGCAGGATGTAGAGTGCGTCATGGAGACTCAGTGTGCCAAGTTTTGTCTTTGGATGAGGGTCGTAGTGGTCTCAGAAAGTGAGTGATGGAACTGCAAGTCCCATCATCCATGGTCCATCCTACTCCAAACTGCAGTAGGGTGTAGAGTGGGTCTTGTGGGCTCTGTGTACCAAGTTTGGTCTGTATTGGCAATTTTCTGACACAGCCTCAGGCCTTTTCTCCTCTTTGCCACCTCAGAGTCTTGGAATTTTCAGACTGGCCAATCAGAGACCATATGCAAATTGTACCTCAGTGGCAACCAATCAGAAAGCTGCCACAAACACCTCCGCCCTACGTCCACCGCACTTCCTCCGCATACAAACAATGACTTTTATTATATACATAGATTTTATTTATTTACGACATTAATATGCCGCCCTTCTCACCCCAAAGGGGACTTTACTGCTAACATTTCCAATCCCTGGTGATTCCAATATCGAAGTGGCTTGTGATGCCTTCCAAGTTAGTGGTGCAATCAATCAGCATTACCTTTAAGTCTGAGCTTCTCAAGGTGCTGAACATTACCCTTAAAATAACTTCAGTAGATTGGACAGTGGCATGCAGGATGAGCAAGACAAACCCCCCTTCTGAGCAAGATAGGCATGCATAAGGAATTTGGGGAAGGAATCCCTCATTCTAATCTATCTAGGCTAACTACTCATTGAGGGCTAGAGACTTGTGCAGTCAGGGATGAAACCCAACAATATCCGCAAAAGCTCATGTTAAAATAAAAACCAGATGGTCTTAAAATTGCTTTACATTGTATTGTCAAAGGATTTCATGGCCAGAATCACTGGGTTGTTGTAGGTTTTTTCGGGCTATATGGCCATGGTCTAGAGGCATTCTCTCCTGACGTTTCACCTGTGTCTATGCCAAGCATCCTCAGAGGTAGTGAGGTCTGTTGGAACTAGGAAAAAGGGTTTATATATCTGTGGAATATATGTGAGAGCTGGACCTTAGGGAAGGCTGAGCGAAGGAAGATAGATGCTTTTGAACTGTGGTGTTGGAGGAAAGTTTTGAGAGTGCCTTGGACTGCGAGAAGATCCAACCAGTCCATCCTCCAGGAAATAAAGCCCGACTGCTCATTGGAGGGAAGGATACTAGAGACAAAGTTGAAGTACTTTGGCCACATCATGAGGAGACAGCAAAGCCTAGAGAAGACAATTATGCTGGGGAAAGTGGAAGGTAAAAGGAAGAGGGGCCGACCAAGGGCAAGATGGATGGATGGCATCCTTGAAGTGACTGGACTGACCTTGAAGGAGCTGGGGGTGGTGATGGCCGACAGGGAGCTCTGGCGTGGGCTGGTCCATGAGGTCACGAAGAGTCGGAGACGACTGAACGAATGAACAACACATCTAATGAAGATAGCAACTGACCACCTTCACACCTAGCTCCAGCAGACAAGAGTCCTTTGTCCCACCCTGGTCATTCCACAGATATATAAACCCATTTTCCTAGTTCCAACAGATCTCACTACCTCTGAGGATGCTTGCCATAGATGCAGGTAAAACGTCAGGAGAGAATGCCTCTAGACCATGGCCATATAGCCCGAAAAAACCTACAACAACCCACTTGCTTTACATTCTTCCCTTTTCCTCCTCCTTCTTCCCTCTCTCCTTTGTAAAGATTATAATGAAAACCTAATCGTTTTCTTCTGTTTTTTAAAATAATTGCCATAATTGATATATACAGTTTTATTCATTTAGCATTTTCTGGGTGTCTTTTTAGGGTCTTCCTGGCCCTGTTGGACCAAAAGGAGACCAAGTAAGTAAGAACCGTTGACCTTACACTCAAGGATGGGAATGACAATAAATTGGATTCATACATAGGTGGGCAACATGGATATAAGATGCCCTGGTTGCTGTGTAAGGAGAACGGCTGAACGATTGATTGATCAATTGATTGATTGATTGATTACCAACCTCTGCAGCCTGCTTCTGGTCTTATGGAACAGCCTCTGAGGATCTCTGCATAGTTTATAGGTTTTCATGGAGAAAGAGAGGATTACAAAAGAGACTCAGTACTCAGTTTTGCAAAATACTGGTAATGACAGCAAATGCGGAGATCCATCCGGGTTCTCTAAAGGTCTCCGTACTGATGTAGTTATTCAATATCTGTGGGGAATAACTAAATACTTCTGTAAAGGAAACTTCTGAGACTAAGTCCATGTAAGCCTATATGGCTCAACCCACTCCAGGTTGAGCATCCTTACTCAGAATTATGAACTACTCCGCGGTCTAAGATAGCAACAACTTTGCTTTCTGATGGTGTCCACTGTATACAAACATTGTTTTGCACACAGAATTATTAAAAATATTGTATGGAATTACTTTCAGCCTATATGTACATGTTAATTATAAATGAATGTTATATTTAGATGTCTTGTCGAAGGCTTACACTGGGTTATTGTAGGTTTTTTGGACTGTATTGCCATGTTCTAGAAGCATTATCTCCTGACATTTCACCTGCTTCTATGGCAGGCATCCTCAGAGGTTGTGAGGTTGGTTGGAAACTAGGAAAATTGGGTTTATATATCTGTGGAAAGTCGAGGGTGGGAGAAAGAACTCTTGTCTTTCTGTTGGAGCTAGGTGTGAATGTTTCAATTGACCATCTTGATTAGCATTTGATGGCCTGACAGTTTTTAGGCGTGGCTTGTTACTGCCTGGGGGGATCTTTTCCCCATCCATAACAAATTTCTAAATGGAACACTTTGAAAAACAAGCCCTGGAAACAGCAACAATAAAGCCCATGATGTGGTTCAGATATGTGGATGACACCTTCACATTTGGAGCCATGGAAAAGACCACCTGGACCACCTCAACAGCATCCACCCAAACATCCAATTCACCATGGAAAATGAAAATGATGGAAAACTGCCTTTTCTAGATGTTCTAGTCATCCACAAACCAGAACAACAATTGGGTCATACAGTTTACAGAAAACCTACACACACGGATAGATACCTAGATAAAAACTCCAACCATCACCCAAGTCAAAAAAGAAGCACCATGAAAGCCCTGGCAAACCGTGCAAAAAGAATCTGCGAAGCCCACCTCCTCCAAGGGGAACGGAACCACCTAAACTGGGTTTTACATGCCAATGGAGATTCCACCACGGACATCAGAAGAGCTGCAAGATCGAGAGCAAGATCGAGAACAAACCACGAGAGTCAAGACAAAGATCCACCCAGAGGAAAAGTGTTCTTGCCAGACATCAAGGGAACCACTTACCGCAGAGGGAAGCTGATGAGGAAACACAACATACAAACTATCTACAGACCCACCAAGAAAACCCAACCAATGCTACGTTCAGCAAAGGACAACAGGGATCCTCTCACTCCTGAAGGAGTCTACCATATACCATTCAGCTGTGGACAAGTCTACATAGGGACCACCAAATGCAGCTTTGCCCAAACATGAATCAAGGAACATGAAAGGCACTGCAGACTCCTTCAACCAGAGAAATCAACCATAGCAGAGCATCTGATGAACCAACCTGGACACAGCATTTTATTTGAGAACACAAAAACCCTGGACCACACTCTCACAACCACCATGTCAGACTACACAGAGAAGCCACTGAAATACACAAGCATGTGGACAATTTCAACAGAAAGGAGGAAACCATGAAAAGGAACAAAATCTGGCTACAGTATTTAAAAAACTCTAAAATTATAACAGTAAATAAAGAACAACACTCAAACACAGGGGAACTCCAGACAAGAAACAGTTGGGGACAGCTAATCACCTCTCAACAAAGGATTCCCCCAAGCAGTATCATATAGCCTGCAAAACCTACAACAACCCAATTATGTTTAGACTTGGGTCCCATTTCCAAGGTATCTCATTGCATATGTATATGCAAATACAGGCATACCAGGATATATATTTTTTTGGTTGTGTCAGGAGCGACTTGAAAAACTGCAAGTCGCTTCCGGTGTGAAATAATTGGCCGTCTGCAAGGATGTTGCCCAGGAGACGCCTGGATATTTTGATGTTTTATCATCCTTGTGGGAGGCTTCTCTCGTGTCCCTGCATGAGGAGCTGGAGCTGATAGAGGGAGCTCATCCGCGCTCTCCCCAGATTCGAACCTGCGACCTATCGGTCTTCAGTCCTGCTGGCACAGGGGTTTAACCCACTGCGCCACTGGGGGCTCCAGGATAAAAATCCAAAACACATCTGGTCCCAAGCATTTTGGATACGTGGTACTCAAACTGTTAAGATCCACATGCAGGCCTATTATGCAATACTGTGCTGTACTGTTATGGCCAATACTATGTGACTCAATGAGACTAATCTCTCTTTGTCAGGGTATCCAAGGATTTCCTGGGGCTCCAGCAATGGGAGTAAGTCTAATTTTGTACCTCTAGAGAAGGAGACTCCACTACATTTGTTCCAGGTGGTCAATATCCTCTTTGAATTGTGAAAAGCAAGAGTTTCGTCCCATGTTTTGACAGCACTGAGTCATAGAAGTTAAAGGGATGTCAAACTGCATTCATTCAACTGCATAGATGGGTAATGAAAGCCCAGTCTAAATAAAAAAAGGCTGAAAGAAAGTAAAGAGAGAACTAGTTGCAGCATGGAAGAGCAATAGTCATTTGAATGCAGAAATCCCATTATTTCTATCTGGGACTGATTTGCAAGTCTCTTACATGGGCTCTTAATCCACAGGTGGTGGGACCCACAGGCAAGAAAGGTTCCAGGGTAAGTACATGGAAATATATGGATTGCCAAGTGCAAAAAATGAGGGTCATGCCAACGATGTGGGATCTATTGCTACTATTATACACTTGTTTCCCTCTCCAGACTAGATATAAATTAAGTGGATTAATAAAGCAACCCATCTCTCTTCCTCCACTAGGGATGGCGGGGAAATTAATTGAGATGGCATTATAATGAGAACTTACCCAATACATTCTCCCATATTAAACTGGGATGCATTTAAAATTTGAAGTATGTGTATATTTTTGCAAATTGTACACATAAACATTATATGTAATCTGGAAAAAAATGCACCCCAGTGTGGAAATGGCAATGAAGCCACTCTGGATTTTAGTGTGAACTTTAAAGGAGCCATGCAAATAATTGGATGTATTTGAACGACATGCATTTAGCCTTACACACAGCCCTATATCCCAGAATATCATGGCAGAAAATATCACAATATCTGCTTTGAACTGGGTTATCTGAGTCCACACTCAGATAATGTGGGATTTCCTGCCTTGATATTCTGGGATATAGGGCTGTGTGGAAGGGCCTTAAATCTCCCAAAGGCACCAGATTCCCATCTGATCTTGGAAGCTAAGCAGGGTCACCCCCAGTTAATACTTGGGTGGGAGACTGCCAATGAATCCTAGGTACTATGGGCTATATAAACAGGAAGGAATTCCCAAAGCAATCTCTGAATCTTTCTTGCCTAAGAAAACCCTACAGAATTCATGGGATCATTCTAAATCAACAGGCTCTTAAAAACACACAAACATACCCACACACAGTGTTTTGTATCTTGAAATGCTCTTAATGGTGGCTACGTTCAACATCAACTCAAGACTCTGATGTTAGATCAGATATTTGGGAGCTATCCAGCATGCTGAATTCTCTCTCCAATGCCCAATGCCTTGAATGGTTTCACAAATCATGAGTTTTAGGGGACACTTCAAACTTTCTGGACCAAAGACAAGAGTTATTCCTAAAGACGGTGTCCTAATGGCACTTTGGGTAGCTCCTTTCAAGTTCAAACCAAAATCCAGAGTGGATTGATGGTCCTCAATGACATCAAAGCTACTATATGTGTCAGAGCACACTCTTTTGTCCTGAAATCTGTTTTTATATATGGGTGTTTTAATGGTCTATGTTTTATCTATGTATCTTACTGTGTTGTACATTAAAAATAAACAGAGAAGTATATCTCCCTTTTCTCCTTCTCTTTCTTCTCATTCCTCCTCTTTCTCCTGCTCCTCCTACTCCTCCTCCTTGTCTTTTTTCCCTTTTTTTTCTTCTTTATCCTCTCCTCCTTTCTTTTCCCCCCTTTCCTCTTCTCCTCCTCTCTTCTTTTCTCCTCCTCCTTCTCCTCCTTCCCCTTTCCTCTTTTTCCTCCCTCTCCTCCTCCCTTCTCTCTCTTCTTCTCCTTCCTCCTTCTCCTCCTTTCCTTTTCTTCCTCCTCCTTCCTCTTCTCCTCCTCTCTTCCTCCTTCTCTCCTCTTTCCTCTTCCTTTTCCTCCTCCCTTCTTCCCTCTCTCCTTTTTTCTCCTCTCCTCTCCTTCCTTTCTTTTCTTCTCCTTCTCCTTTTTCTTCTCTTCCTCCCTCTTCCCTCTCTTCTCCTTCTCCTCCTTTTTTTCTCCTCTTCTCCTCCTTCTCCCCTCTTCTCCTCCTCTTCCTCCCTTTCCTCCTTCCCCTTCTCCTTCCTCTCCTCTCCTCCTCCTTTTTTCCTCCTCCTCCCCTCCTCCTCCCCCTTCTCCTCTTTTTCTCCTCTTCTCCTCCTCCTTCTTCTCACTTTTCTCCTCCTCCTCCTTCTTCTCCTTTTCTTCTCCTCCTCCTCCCTCCTCCTTCTCCTCTGCCTCTTCCTCCCTCTCCTCTTTCTTCTCCTCCTGCCCTTCTCCTCCTCTTTTTTCTCCTTCTCCTCCATCACCTTTTCCTCCTCCTCCTCCTCCTCCTCCTCCTCCGCCTCATTTCTTTGGGCATTGTTCAAGTTTCAATGTGCCCCCCCCCCTTTTGATCTTTTCTCCAGGGAGATATTGGGCCAGTGGGTCCTTCAGGTCCAAAAGGAGAACAAGGAAAACAAGGAGAAAAAGGAGAGAAGGTATTTTCATTGCATGATTCCATGTCTCTCACAAGTTGAATGTGAGTCACGGGTGGGCTGTAACAGCTAAAAAGGCAATGCGATACTCGGTTGCAACCATAGGAGTACAGTCAGCTCTCCACCTTTGTAGATTTGATTTTTGAGTATTTGATTCTCCACAGATTTGCTTACAATGTTCCTTCTAGGGATGCCTAGGCCCTTCAGTATCACTCTGCTTAACTTCTGTTAAGCCGTAGAGTTGCATCTGAACTTTGATCAGACTACAACCCAGAACTGCTTCAGTCTGCCAGTAATACAGAAGCCATCAGCCATAAGTTCCCTCTTAAACATCGTTCAGTCTAGGCTGAAAAATCCTTAAACCAGGCTCTCTTTTGTCTTGACCTTTACAGGGAAGTCCCGGGTTTGGCATTCCAGGTCAACTGGGATTGAAAGGGGAACCAGGAGAGAGGGTGAGTTGGACCAAGTTCCACCTCAGAGGTGTTTTTATTATGTATTTATCACAAGCTTTTTCTTACTTACTTAGGCGATCCCTCATTGTTTGAGTAGGATGGTCTTCCAATATCGGTGAATTGGCAGTGGGTCCTTAGGTGACTGTGGAGCCCTATTCTTGATCTGCATGTTCTCCTGCAGTGAGGGCATTGGTTTCCAGGTAGAAGGCAGTCCCAGTCGGGGTTGGCTTGATGCGCCTTCCACTTGGCACATTTGTGTCTTTTACCCTCTGTTCATGCCTCTTCAAATTCTACAGCACTGCTGGTCACAGCTGACCTCCAGCTGGAGTGCTCAAGGGCCAGGGCTTCCCAGTTCTCAGTGTCTATGCCAGTGTTTTTAAGGTTTTTACCTTGAGCCCATCTTTAAATCTGTTTTTCTGCCCACCAACATTCTGTTTTCTGTTCTTGAGTTCAGAGTAGAGCAACTGCTTTGGGAAATGGTGGTCGGGCATCTGGACAATGTGGCTGGTCCAGCGGAGTTGATGGTGGAGGACCATCACTTCAATGCTGGTGGTCTTTGCTTCTTCCAGCGTGCTGACATTTGTCCGCCTGTCTTCCCAAGAGATTTGCAGGATTTTTCAGAGGCAATGTTGATGGAATCGTTCCAGGAATTGCATGTGACGTCTGTAGATAGTCCACATCTTGCAGGCGTATAGCAGGCTGGGAGGACAATAGCTTTATAAACAAGCATCTTGGTATCCCTACGGATGTCCTGGTCCTCAAACACACTTTGCTTTGTTTGGAAAAATGCTGCACTTGCAGAGCTCAGGCGTTTTCTAGGCAGAGTTTGTTCAGAGGGAGTTTGCCATTGCCTTCCTCTGAGGCTGGGAGAATATGACTTGCCCAAGCCTGAGGTTTGCAACCTCAACAAATGCATGTTTGGGCTTCAACATTGGTGAATTTCCATGACCAAGTTAGATTTAAACCCTGATCTTCAGATTCGTAGTCCAAAGATCAAACTATTACACTGTGCTGGCTCTTGACATAATCATTTTGGAATAGCTAACCTTTATGTTTCTAATTTAAACAGGGCAATGTTGGTTTATCTGGGAAACCTGGGCAAAAGGTGAGCATGAAAGCAAGCAGTGCAATGTTCTAAAATGCCAGAAAGTTATGTGTGTCAACAGGGTTTAAGAGATCTCTCAAGGAGAATTCAGGCTTGGTTTGCTCTGGGACCCCTAGATTTATATTTTTAGTGGTTTCTGGTATCCACACAATTCTCTTCCAGCTCCATGTCTCAAACGAATTTATTTTCTTCCTATCAACTTGCTTTCCTCTCCAGCTTTCAAGAACATATGATTATGCAACATTCATAGAATCATAGAATCAAAGAGGTGGAAGAGACCTCATGGGCCATCCAGTCCAACCCCTTCTGCCAAGAAGCAGGAATATTGCATTCAAATCACCCCTGACAGATGGCCATCCAGCCTCTGTTTAAAAGCTTCCAAAGAAGGAGCCTCCACCACACTCCGGGGCAGAGAGTTCCACTGCTGAACGGCTCTCACAGTCAGGAAGTTCTTCCTCATGTTGGAATCTCCTCTCTTGTAGTTTGAAGCCATTGCTCCATTGCATCCTAGTCTCCATGGAAGCAGTAAACAAGCTTGCTCCCTCCTCCCTGTGGCTTCCTCTCACATATTTATACATGGCTATCATATCTCCTCTCAGCCTTCTCTTCTTCAGGCTAAACATGCCCAGCTCCTTAAGCCGCTCCTCATAGGGCTTGTTCTCCAGACCATTCAAGCATTCAAGCATCAACCAGACCAGACCATTTAGCATTCAATGATATATCTTGACACTACACCCTCTTGTGTGGCTATTTCATTGGTACCCTTCCAAGTCCTAGTCACCTACTGATTATTTTTTTACCGCACCTATATTTTGATTAATAACTAAGCATATTGAACTAAGTGACTGATAAAGAATACTCACTGTTTCAATAGAGTACTTGTAAATCAGAAAACTGGGAATCAGATAAACTGGGAGGCAATGATCACAACAGAATAAGCTCCTGCCAAGGAAGACATGATATAGCCTGCTAGTGGCACACACAAGTTTCAGACCAATATATTATGATTATTATTATTTTACTGGCACAAAAGCACAGTATGTCACAGCAAACGAGATCTATATGCTGGATTTCGTATCACAAAATCACAAGTCGAACCCTTCCCAAGCGTCTAGGACTGTGTGATGTATTTTCGAATGATGCACGCAGATCCAAGTCAGGTGGCCTTTTGCAGTTGACAGATCGTGATTTTGTCAATGTGTGTTGTTTCCAAATGCCGGGTGAGATCATTTGGTACAGCACCCAGTGTGCTGATGACCACTGGGACCACCTGTACTGGTTTATGCCAGAGCCTTTTATTATTTATTATTTATTATAATTAATAATTATGTATTATTTATTTATTTATTATAGCCCTGAGTGGCTCAGGGAATCATAGAATCATAGAATCAAAGAGTTTGAAGAGACCTCCTGGGCCATCCAGTCCAACCCCATTCTGCCAAGAAGCAGGAATATTGCATTCAAATCACCCCTGACAGATGGCCATCCAGCCTCTGTTTAAAAGCTTCCAAAGAAGGAGCCTCCACCACACTCCAGGGCAGAGAGTTCCACTGCTGAACGGCTCTCTCAGTCAGGAAGTTCTTCCTCATGTTCAGATGGAATCTCCTCTCTTGTAGTTTGAAGCCATTGTTCCATTGCGTCCTAGTCTCCAGGGAAGCAGAAAACAAGCTTGCTCCCTCCTCCCTGTGCTTCCTCTCACATATTTATACATGGCTATCATATCTCCTCTCAGCCTTCTCTTCTTCAGGCTAAACATGCCCAGCTCCTTAAGCCGCTCCTCATAGGGCTTGTTCTCCAGACCCTCGATCATTTTAGTCGCCCTCCTCTGGACACATTCCAGTTTGTCAATATCTCTCTTCAATTGTGGTGCCCAGAATTGGACACAATATTCCAATGTGTATTGTTTCCAAATGACGGGTGAGATCTTTTGGTACAGCACCCAATGACCACTGGGACCACCTGTACTGGTTTATGCCAGAGCCTTTTATTATTCATTATTTATTATAATTAATAATTATGATTTATTTATTTATTTATTGTAGCCCTGAGTCACCTTTGGGCTGAAAGGGGTGGGATAAAAGTGTGGTAAATAAATGATATTTCTATCTCTCCTTTCTCAGCCTGAAGGAAACTCAAGGCAGTTTACAAGTTGACAGCAATTCGATGCCATAACAATCCACAGTGTACAATTAAAAACATTTAAAGCAACATTATAAAATCCATACAAAACTATTAAAAACCTAAAATAACCCATGTCTTCCTGTTAATCAAATTTTCCGGTAGCATCATCTAAGCCGTTCCATAATTCCATATTTGTCTATTGCCCTGCATTTCCAAAAGCTTGTTCAAAGAGCCAGATTTTAATGTTTTTCCAAAAGGTCAGGAGGGAGGGGGCTGATCTAATATCCCTAGGGAGGGAGTTCCACATCTGAGGAGCCACCACTGAGAAGGCCCTGTCTCTCATCCGTGCCAGATGTGCCTGTGAAGAAGGTGGAATTGAGAGCAGGGCCTCCCCAGACAATCTTAAATTCCTAGATTTCATTTATTATTTATTTAGAACTTTTGTATACCGGTCTTCTCACCTCCGAGGAGGGACTCAGGCCAGTTTCCAACAATAATATCACAAGCAATCATTTAAAAACATCACATTCCATAATACACTAACACATTAAAATACCAAAAATACAATCATATAATTACAATGGCCAAGTCGTCACAATAAAATCGTTGTCCATCACCATCCATCCATATAGCCACGAGTTATTGACACTCGTCAAATGCCAGTTTCCAGAGCCAGGTTTTCACCTGTTTTCTAAAAGTCAGGAGAGAAGGGGCAGTTCTAATCTCCAGTGGGAGGGAGTTCCAGAGCCAAGGGGCCACCACCGAAAAGGCCCTGTTCCTCGTCCCCACCAGGCGTGCTTGCAAGGCTGGTGGGACCGAGAGCAGGGCCCCTCCAGACGATCTTAACAATCTTGATGGTTCATAGGGGAGAATCTGTTTGGACACGTAAACTGGGCCAGAGTCATTTAGGGATTTATAGTTGACACCAGCATTTTGAATTGTGCTCGGAAGCTAATTGGCAGCCAGTGGAGCTGGCGCAACAGAGGAGTAGTATGCTCCCTGTACCCCACTCCTGTTAGCAATCTGGCTGCCGCTCGTTGGACCATTTGAAGCTTCCGAACAGTCTTCAAAGGCAACCCCATGCAGAGCACATTGCAGTAGTCTATATGGGTTGTAACCAGAGTGTGGACCACCATGGCCAAGTCAGGCTTCCCAAGGTATGGGCACGCCTGGCACACAAGCTTTAATTGTGCGAAAGCTCCCCTGGTCACCGTCGAAACCTGGGGTTCCAGGCTCAACGATGAATCCAGGTTCACCCCCAAGGTGTGAACCTGAGTCTTCAGTGGGAGTATAACTCCATTCAACACAGGCTGTAACTCTATGCCCTGTTTGGCCTTTCAACTGACTAAGAGTACCTCTGTCTTGTCTGGATTCAGTTTCAATTTGTTCGCCCTCATCCAGACCGTCACAGTGGCCAAGTACCGATTCAGGAGCTGAACAGCCTCCTTAGTAGCAGGTGGAAAGGAGTGACAGAGTTGGTCTTCATGTGCATATTGGTGACACTGCACCCTGAAACTCCAGATGATCTCCTCCAGTGGCTTCATGTAGATGTTAAACAACATGGGGGACAATATTGATCCCTGTGGGACCCCACAGGACAATGGCTGCAGGGTTGAGCAGATGTCCCCCAACAACACCTTCTGTTGCAAACTTTTCATTGCAGGGTGAAATTGGTCCTAAGGGCGATAAAGGAGATCCAGGACAACCAGGAAAACCAGGAGAGCCTGGCCTAAGAGGTAAAGATGTAAGTAGAAACATGTAGCAGGGGAGGGGTCTCTGTGATTTCTAAACCAAGGACAGAGGGGGCAAATGGGCCAAAGTTCCATATGGCATTTTTGTATTTGGGAATATTTGGGATTTCGGAATTCCACATAGGGATACTCAACCTGTCATGCAAAACTTTTAGGAGAGCTTTCCAATAGGCATGGGTAATCCGTGGTTCGAAATGTTTCTAAAGTACTTACAAAATTAGGGGGCGCTGGTGCTTTGCTTCTTTAGTGTTGCTAAAGTTCTGGTGGTGAAAATTTCAGAACTCTAACAAAACTTGCAAAATTTCATTATAAATGGCAGTTCCTAATTGGTTATGTCATAAAAATTGCCAATAATGAAATAATTATGAAATTTTGAAAGTTTTGTTAGAGTTCTGAAACTTTCACCACCAGAACTTTAGCAAGACAGCGTCCCCTAGTTTTGTAAGTACTTTAGAACCATTTAGAACCATGGATTGCCCATGCCTACTTTCCAAACTTTTCATGTTGGTGGAAAAAGTTTTTAGACGCACATCCTTTCACAACACAGTAATTCAGTTTTGTTTGCAAAACTGAATTACTTATATGAAATGTAAGTGTGTGTGTGTCTATATCTATCTATCTATCTCTATCTATCAATCTATGCATACTCTATATGCGCACACACACACACACATATAGATGTGCGCACGCACACACTTACATTTCATATAATCTTTATTGTATAAAGTAGGTTTGGAATTTTTTCTTTTACACTTATGAACTACAGTTGATTCTTGTGGAGATTCCTCTATGGCCACTCCGTATGGTTAATCACAAACATAATAGTCAAGGAGATTAGGTTCTTGTGGGGTTTTTTGGGCTATAGGGCCATGATCTAGAGGCATTTCTCCTGACATTTTGCCTGCATCTATGGCAAGCATCCTCAGAGGTAGTGAGGTCACTACCTCCCTACCTCTGAGGATGCTTGCCATAGATGCAGGCGAAACGTCAGGAGAAATGCCTCTAGAACATGGCCATATCGCCCGAAAAAACCCACAAGAACCTAGTGATTCCAGCCATGAAAGCCTTCGACAATACAGTCAAGGAGATTCTTTTAATTAGAAACTTATCCATTGTAATGCCTATCCTGGTATTACACTGATGACCCTCGATATTTTAGCCAGAGATAAATTGGCATTGACATTTGGAACAGTAAGTAATAACCAAGACACCCAAAGGGGTAACAGCGATGCGCATCTGTAATTTAGATAGGACACCGCAAACATAGTGTAAACAGAAACTTTGCATTTGTTCCAGGGAGAACCAGGAAACAAGGGAGAACCTGGAGATCAGGTAAAGCCCAGAGAAACTAGCTTGCTTCTTTTGATTCCGTTGCAGCACAGTGGATTGGGTTCTACATAAATCTCAGATCAGCCAAATTTGAAAAGAGATGTGTTGTGATGTCATATCTAATTGCATCAAGCACACTGATGCATCCCATGGAGGGGACGCAAGAGCCAAAATGCATTTGCCCATCCCCTTTCTGCAAAATTTATGTTGTAAAAATAGCATTGTAATGACTGTGGATTCGTTTGTATTTTTAGGGAGAAGGAGGTGTTCCTGGAGAGCAAGGAGAGAGAGGAGCCCGGGTAAGGAATCTCTCTGGGACCCATATTGCTGGGTATAAATTGATGCATTTCCCTGAATGTTCCAGTTCCCAGTCCTCATTTTCTATGGAAACTTAGGCAAAACACCTCTCGAAGGATCAAAGCTACTGCAGAAGGGGGAATTTGGCATGTGCAGGTTGTCCTTTAGCAGTAGTAAGAAAGAGTATCCCAACCCCCAGGTTGAGAAACGCTGGACTAAGATGATGAACCAGTATGTAGGATGCAAGCTTCACATTGCAGTGACTGGTGCACTGTTGTCTTGCAAATGAGATCTCTGTTGCCCATGGTCCCCTCTTTCTTTCTGCAGGGTCCAACCGGTCTTCCAGGGCGTCCTGGAGAACGCGGGATGAAAGGAGATGCAGGGGATCCTGGAAAGGATGTAAGCTGCTTGCTAAGGACGTGGTGCCAAGGAATCGTGGTGGCTTCTGTGCCAGTAATGCTTCTGGGCTTCAGTCTTCATTGAATAGGAAACATTAGAACCTGTCAGATGCCTTGTGTTGGAAAGAGGGATTGATAACACTATGTAACAAAATTTGGAAAATGTTCTGTTCTGAAAGTGTTATTTCCTGTTTACTTGTGTGGTGCTTATTTTGAAAGTAGTTGTTCTACTCCAGAAACTTTGTTGTTGTGGCTGCCACAAACTAGGTTGAATTGGTTGAGACTTGATGAAAATTAGTTGTGATTGGGTTGTTGTAGGTTTTTTCGGGCTATATGGCCATGGTCTAGAGGCATTCCCTCCTGACGTTTCGCCTGCATCTATGGCAAGCATCCTCAGAGGTAGTGAGGTCTGTTGGAACTAGGAAAAAGGGTTTATATATCTGTGGAATGACCAGGGTGGGGCAAAGGACTCTTGTCTGTTGGAGCTAGGTGTGAATTTCAACTGACCACCTTGATTAGCATGTAATGGCCTGACAGTGCCTGGAGCAAACCTTTGTTGAGAGGTGATTAGATGTCCTTGTTTTCCTAGTTCCACCAGACCTCGCTACCTCTGAGGATGCTTGCAAAACATCAGGAGAGAATGCCTCTAGACCATGGCCATATACCCCGAAAAAACCTACAACAACCCAGTGATTCTGGCCATGAAAGCCTTCGACAATACATTAGTTGTGATTCATTGAAAAACTATAGCAAAATCTGCTGCAGAATATAGAATCATAGAATTGGAAGCGATCTCCTGGGCCTTCCAGTCCAACCCTCTACCAAGAAGCAGGAAAATTGCATTCAAAGCACTCCTGAAAGATGTCCATCCACCCTCTGTTTAAAAGCTTCCAAAGAAGGAGCCTTCACCACACTCCAGGGCAGAGAGTTCCACTGCTGAACAGCTCTCACAGTCAGGAAGTTTTTTCCTGATTTTCACATGGAATATCCCTATCACAACAACAAAGTTTTTGCAGTTTAACGTGCTTTTTCCATGTTTTATGATAGAACCAATTAGGAAATGACATTTTTAACCCGGGAACAAAAATCATGTTACATAGTGTAATTGATCCATTAATTGATTGATTGCATGCAGCTGTGAAGGATATAGTTAACTCCCTTAGATCTGCAAATCCTTGATACTTTTCTGTCTCTCATTCTTCTCCTAGGGAGTCACTGGAGAAAAAGGAGACAAAGGAGAATCTGTAGGTTTGCTTATTTTGCTTGCTAGCCCCACATAAGAACACATTGAAGTACTGTGATAGCAGTCATCATTCATCTCTTGCTTTGTACTTCATTGCATTGTTGTGTATGTGTTTTGTTTCTTTGCAGGGACAGCCTGGACCTCCAGGAATGCCTGGAGAAACTGTGAGTAATTATTCTGTCCCTTCAGGGAAAAATATTCCAAGGCAAAGTATCAACTGGTGGCTCCCATGTCAATGTACCAAAGAGTCCGATCCAGGTTTTAGGTGGCTTTAAAGGTGCTCTCCAAGGTCCTGAACATAATTGAGACTGTTAGAAACTGCTTGAAAACCTGGAGTGGATTTTCAACTTTCCTGGCATGGGAGCCACATAACCTACTATGCTGAGTAGACCTTGACATATGCGAGTTGTAGCTCCTGGGATGTATAGTTCACCTACAATCAAAGAGCATTCTGAACTCCACCAATGATGGAATTGAACCAAATATGGCACACAGAACTCCCACGACGAACAGAAAATATAGATCAGTGATTGGTTGGAGGGGGGGAGGGCACCACAATACTGTTTGCTTACTGTTGAAAATTACCTAGGGCCACCTCTGCCAATACCTCTGACAATGCAGGAGAATGGAGCCCCTGAAGTTTCCCCATTGGTACAATTACTTAACAAAAAGTAATAAAAAAGGAGTTAATTCGTTATAGTTACGATACGGACCCTGTCCAATTTCAGAAACACTTTCAAAATTATTTTTCTCCACCCCCAAATTTCATAATGAGTTTTGAAAATTTTTCATTCATCAAACAGGCCTACTGGGTATTCATTAGTGGTCTCCCATCCATGTATTAACCAGGACTGGCCCTGCTTAGCTTCCAAGATCAGACAGGATTTGGTCTCTTTAGTGTACGACATAAATCTTATATAGTCATTTGGGTCTACACTTGTTGGGATTTAGAATGTGTCCCCAAAGAGCTCCTTGGCATTTTTATGCAAACTTTGGGGATTTGTCTTTGGGCAACTGCGAGGCATGTCTTTGCTATAAAAGGGGATTTCACACCCTCCCTCCTGCTTATTACCGTTCCTCTAACAATTCCAGGTTCTTCCTCTGGAAAATGGCATCACCCTCAAAGGAGAGAAGGTATCGTCCATCCTCCCATCCCTATCATTCGCCAGTGGTCTTCGTTGGCATTTGCCACTTGCAGAAAAGTTGGGGAACTAGCATTAGACCTTAGAGGGCATTTTAGGCTGAAGACCCTAAAATGGGGGATGCCTGGCTCGAGAGCAGTACGTGTGAAAAAGATCTTGGAGTCCTCATGGAGAACAAGTTAAACATGAGCCAACAGTGTGAGGTGGCGGCAAAAAAAGCCAATGGGATTTTGGCCTGCATCAATAGGAGCATAGTGTCTAGATCCAGGGAAGTCATGCTACCCCTCTATTCCGCTTTGGTTAGACCACACCTGGAATTTTGTGTCCAATTCTGGGCACCACAATTCAAGAGAGATATTGACAAGCTGGAATGTGTCCAGAGGAGGGCGACTAAAATGATCAAGGGTCTGGAGAACAAGCCCTATGAGGAGCGGCTTAAGGAGCTGGGCATGTTTAGCCTGAAGAAGAGAAGGCTGAGAGGAGATATGATAGCCATGTATAAATATGTGAGAGGAAGCCACAGGGAGGAGGGAACAAGCTTGTTTTCTGCTTCCTTGGAGACTAGGACAAGGAACAATGGCCTCAAACTACAAGAGAGGAGATTCCATCTGAACACGAGGAAGAACTTCCTGACTGTGAGAGCTGTTCAGCAGTGGAACTCTCTGCCCCGGAGTGTGGGGGAGGCTCCTTCTTTGGAAGCTTTTAAACAGAGGCTGGATGGCCATCTGTCAGGGGTGATTTGAATGCAATATTCCTGCTTCTTGGCAGGGGGTTGGACTGGATGGCCCATGAGGTCTCTTCCAACTTTTTGATTCTATTATTCTATGATTCTATGACCCAAATTCTGACTACATTTCCTAGTTTAAGTAGGCCTTTCCTAATAGAAAGTTTAGGCTCTGGCAAAATTGCCCTGTACATGGAGGACATGGAGATTTTTATCCAAGACCTTTATTTCAAAATTAGGTGGCTCTAGATAATCTTGTGGGCTTATAATTGGACCAGGGCTTCATAGGTGATTTTACAAACTAGTTGCCAATAGACTTCATTGATCTTATTGAGTTGTGTATATCTTTCCCTTACTGTTTTGAAACCATCAGTTGTGTGGAGTCAATGGCAGAATTATATTTATTTCCAGGAATCTCCAAGATTGTTTTAAACCATAGAAATTGGGGTCCTGTTGACCCTCCAAGTGACCATAGAACTTTAGTGCTTGAAACTTCTAGCCACAAATCCAGAGCTTGGGTGCCCTTCATTCCACCGGAATCTGTCACGGCAAACACCGGATTTCTGTGAAATGAAGCCCACCAGGCATGGAATTCTTCATCCCCTTTTAAGACGTGTTCACAAAGACCCCCCAAAGCAGAGATTTTATGGTGTCTCCGATTGCCTCTACATTGTGGTTGCTGCAAGAACTGAAGCAGCATGGAAAACCCAATGCAACAATCAATGTTGTGTTGTTAGAACACTGACCTCGTCTAGGTCTCGGTGCAATCATTTGTTAGGTATGTTTGATGATGATGATGATAATAATAATAATAATAATAATAATAATAATAATAGACAAAAAAACATGGCTGTGGCTCACAAATGGAACTTTGAAAAAAGGAGACAAAGGAGGGCCCGATTCTGGCAGCCTATGAACAAGTCATTACAACTAATGCTATCAAAGCCAGAATTGAAAAGTCGACAATAGATCCCGAATGTAGACTCTGCAAGGAAGCAGATGAAACAATAGATCACATCCTCAGCTGCTGCAAGAAGATCGCACAGACAGACTACAAGCAGAGGCTCAACACCATTTGTGCCACAAACACCATCTGCCTGCGACAAAGAACTGGTGGGATCACAAGCCGGAAAAAGTTACAGAGAATGAACACGTCAAGCTACTCTGGGACTTCTGGATTCGGACAGACAGAGTTTTGGAGCACAAGACTCCTGACCACACGCTCGTGTTAAAAAACAAAGTATGGATTGTTGATGTTGCATTTGAAACATGTTGAAACAACTGGAAAAGCTGACACGATATGAGGATTTAAAGATTGAACTGCAAAGACTCTGCATCTTGCCATAGATGCAGGCGAAACGTCAGGAGAGAATGCCTCTAGAACATGACCATATAGTCCAAAAAAACCTACAACTCAATTAGGCACATTTTAGACAACCCTGTGTTCCATTTCAGTGATTCCTCTTTGAATGGATGGATAATACCTTCACATGGTCTTTTTGTTTTGTTTTTCCAAAGGGAGAACCTGGACCTCCTGGCAAAAGGATGGATATCAAGGTAAACAAAAATATTGAGCAACATGATAAGAAACACTCATCCATCCATTGACAATTTAGGTGGACCTAGGAGCATTGTGGTGGCAGCTTAGTGGCTTGGTTGTTTGCACTTCAGTAGGCACTGGCTTTGTGTTTTCTCAAACATTAATTCATCAATCCCCTGTTCTTTAGTTTACAGACCCAAGGCGACAGAGTCTACTGCATGGGGATCTGTGCCATTTTGTTTTGCTTTTGGGTGTATGTGTGGAAGGGCCATTAAAGGGCCAAACAGAACACACATTACATGGGCCCCTTCTCTACAGCAACTCAGAATAGACCTTCACAATAAGTGGCATATGCTACCTTGAAGAGTGGTGGAGTCTCCTTTGATTGATGTATTCAAGCGGGAGCTTGGTAGCATCTGTCATGAGGGCTTTGGTTTTGTCATTCTGTGTGACAGAAAGGGGTTGGACTCGATGACCTCCGGAGGCCTCATCCACCTGTATGATTCTAAGTATCCAAAGTTCCAGTTTCTAGTGCAAAAAAGACTCCACAAAATTTGAGTCTGAATACAGTCTTGCACTGTGATGCATACTGTTGTCCAATTCTCCATAGTAATTTATATCTCAAACTTTGGCCATTCTGGTATTTGAGGCTTCAAGATTCCTATCTATCAATCTGACAAGGATTTCTGGAAATTGAACTCCGAAGTATCTGCAGGACTAATATTTGAGAAGCACTGGTGTGGATGGGGTGGTATGAAGGTAATTAAAATTCACAATGCAAAGCTTCACCTTGCTACCCAAGAAGAGCATCCAGGGTTCATGCTATGCTGGGGCACCAAATGGAGGGACTGTTGTTACCTTTGAACCGCAATATGCCTTTTCAGCTAAAGTTGTGATACCAGGCATGCTGAAATGCACGGCACTGGAGTGGGAATGCTCAACATATGGCCATGTTTGAGTCCTTCTAACATCCCAGAAGTAATGGCTGAAGGTGGTTTTGGCTCACTGAGCCACTGTGGTGTAATGGTTAGATGTTGGACTACAACTCTAGGGACCAAGTGTGAAATCCCTACTTGACAGCTGGGTGATCTTGAGTGTCCTTGGGCAAGTCACATTCTTTCAGCCCCAGAGGAAGGAAATGGCAAACCTTCTGAGCAAATCTTGCCAAGAAAACCTTGCAAAAGGGTTGTTTTAGGGTCGCCATAGGCTCGAAATTGCTTGAAGGCACATAACAATAGCAGTAAGAATAATGAGTTAGTACCTTGGAGAGTTCCTATAATGTTACTTAGTTACTTAATGTTACTTACTTAGGCGATCCCTCATTGTCCAAGTAGGATTGCCTTCCAAGATCGGTGTACTGGTGGTGGGTCCGTAGGTGACTGTGGACCTCTATTCTTGATCAGCATGTTCTCCCACAGTGAGGGCATTGGTTTCCAGGTGGAAGGTGGTCTCGGTTGGGGTTGGCTTGATGCACCTTCCTCTTGGGATGATTCTCTCTTTTGCCCTCCATTCGTGCCTCTTCAAATTCTGCAGCACTGCTGATCACAGCTGACCTCCAGCTGGAGTGCTCAAGGGCCAGGGCTTCCCAGTTCTCAGTGTCTATGCCAGAGTTTTTAAGGTTGGCTTTGAGCCCATCTTTAAATCTCTTTTCCTGTCCACCAACATTCCGTTTTCCGTTCTTGAGTTCGGAGTAGAGCAACTACTTTGGGAGACGGTGGTCGGGCATCTGGACAACGTGGCTGGTCCAGTGGAGCTGATGGCGGAGGACCATTGCTTCAATGCTGGTGGTCTTTGCTTCTTCCAGCAAGCTGACATTTGTCTGCCTGTTTCCAACAATTGGCTAAATTCCCAGATTAGATTCATTGCACATCTGACACTCTTTCAGCTTCAGAGGAAAGCAAACGCCACTGCCCTCTGAACACATCTTCCTTGTGATATGGTCATCGTAGGGTTGTCATAAATCAGAAACAACTTGAAGGCATGTGACATCAAAATGAACAATACTGTTGTGATTTCTTCCAAATATAGGATCTAGAAGACCTTTTCGAAGCTTATGGTATCAAGGTATGTCCCCATCCTACCTATAACTACAACATGGATACTTTTAACTGTTAGATTAAACTTATTGTAGCATCAAAACTTCTTTTTGTGAAGGAAAACTCAACAGACATTGGGTGAATGGTGGGGAGATTCACAAAGCAGACATAAGTCCAGATGCTACATGTCTCTACCACTGCTTTAGGTCTCTTTCTCCCAAGGATTGCCTATCTTGTTTTTCCTCCCTTTGTTTTTATTAACCTACAGCTGGCTCTTTTGAAGGAATTGATGGACCTTTTCCTCCAGGAAGGGCCTGAAATGTTGACGCAACATATCACCGCCTCCAAAAAGGGGAGAGGAAAGGCAGCCAGGAAGAAACAGGGAACCAAACAAACCATGGACTATGTGGTGAGTACCAATCTTCAGTATCCAGTTCAAGAAAAATATTGATGTCCAAAGAAGGGACATCAACATGGTCAAAGGTTTGGAGCTCTATAAGGAGCAGATTAGGTAGTTGGGTGTGTTTATCCTGGAGGAAAGAAGGTTGAGAGAAAGGGACATGAGAGCCATGTTCAAGAATTTGAAAGGAGGTTACATTGTGGAAAGAGTGAGCTTGCTTTCTGCTGCTCTAGAGACTAGGACACATGGTGCTCTAGATTCAAACTCCAGGAAAAGAGAGTCCATCTACAGTTTAGGGCAGGCATGGGCAAACTTTCTAGCTTGGGGGTCACATGCTAGCACTCCCTGCTAGGAGGAGGAATGGAAGGAGAAAGGAAAGAGAGAAGGAAAGGTAAGACAAAAGGACGAGAAGAATGAAAGGGTGGAAGGAAGAATGGAAGGAAGGGAAGAAGGAAGAAAGAGGAAGGAGGGAAAAGAAAAGGAGAAGGAAGAAGAAAGGAAGAAGGAAGGAGGAAAGAGGGAGGGAGGAAAGAGGAAAGGATGAAAGGATAGAAGAGAGGGGGGATGAAGGAGAAAGAGGGAGGAAAGGAGGGAGGTAAGGAGGAGAAAAGAGAGAAGGAAGAAAAAGAAAAGGAAGGAAGGAGAAAGGGGGGGAAGAAGAAAAGAGGGAAGAGGAGGAAGAAAGGGTGGAAGGAAGGAAGGAGGAAAGAGGAGAGAAGGAAGGGACAAAAGGGTGGAAGGGAATGGAGGGAGGGAGAAAGAGGGAGAGGAAGGAGAAGGGAGGAAGGAGGAGAAGGGTGGAAGGAAAGGAGAAAGAGCGAGGGAAGGAGGAAGGAAAGAGAGGAGGGGCTGAGAAAAGACCCAAAGGGGCCACATCCAGCCCCCAGGCCTCCCATACCTGGTTTAGAGACACCTCTTGGGATTAATCAAGCAATAAATCAATTGGGTTGCTGTGAGTTTTTCGGGCTGCGTCCATGTTTCAGCAGCATTATCTCCTGATGTATCACCTGCTTCTGTGGTTAATAGCATTTTCAGAGGTCTGTTGGAGGTGAGGCAAGTAGGGTGTATACACACACCTGTGGAATAATGTGCAGTGTGGGAGAAAGTACCCTTGCCCATTTGAGCAAGTATGAATGTTGCAATTAGCAAGCTTGAATTAGCATTTGAGTAGCCATGAAGCTTCAAAGTCAATCAGTGAGGGTATCTGCATAGAGGTAGCCTGGCCTCTGTTGCCTGGAAGCATCCTCTGTTTGGGAGGTGTTAGTCTGCAGTGCCTTCCATGTTCCTTGATTTATGTCTGGGCAATGCTGCTGCTTTTGGTGGTCCCTCTGTAGATTTCTTGTCCACAGCTGCATCGTACACGGTAGACTCCCGCAGAGTTGAGAGGATCCCTCTTGTCCTTTGCTGAACATAGCATTGGTTGAATTTTCTTGGTGGGTCTGTAGATTGTTTGTAGGCTGTGTTTCTTCATCAGCTTCCCTATGTGGTCAGTGGCTGATGTATGGTAAGAACACTTTTCCTCTGGGTGGATCTTTGTCTTAACTCTCATGGCTTATTCTTGGTCGTTAGGCAAGAATGTTGCTGGAACATGGCCGAAAAACTCACAGCAACTCAGTTTTCTTTTCGTGTCAGGAACAACTTGAGAAACTCTGGTGTGAGATAATTGGCCATCTGCAAGACTGTTGCCCAGGAGATGCCTGGAGGTTTTATCATCCTGTCGGAGGCTTCTTTTACGTCTCAACATGAGAAGCTGAAGCTGACAGATGGAAGCTCACCTAGCTCCCCAGATTCAAACTGCCGATCTTTTGGTCAGCAGTCTTGCCAGCTCAAGGGCTTTACCCATTGCGCCACTGGGTGCTACGACAACAACCCAGTGATTCCAGCCAAGAAAGCCTTCAACAATACAATAAACCAATTGATGCATGTCCCATCTTTTCCCCAAGATTCGTTAGAGTGCCTAGTAATCTCTGGTCTGCTATTTGGTCTATTCTTTGCAGGCTCCAGCAAAGTCTGGTGTTCCCAGTGAGACTTTGGCTACCACCATAGAAATTCCCAGAGAAGATCTGGGCATAAATGGAGAATATCCAACCCAAGAAACCTTCTTGCCTCCTTCTACTTTTCCACTCTCCACTATTACTGAGGTAAGGAAATAAAGTGGTAGATTCTTGAATTTAGTTGAAGCAGGATGAGTGCGAGCAGTTCGTTCCGTGAAACATTCCAGCTTTTGCCAAAATGAGTTGATTAGTTTTACAATCAACGTTTCTCGCCATATGGGACTCAAGGTGGCTTGCGCCAGGTTAAAGCAAGACGAAGCTAAAAAATTGATGGCAAAACACTGAAATAAAACAGCATTGCTTTCAAAGGTACAAAATAATTTAAAAGCAACACAATAAAGATTAAAATATAGCATATCCCATTTTTCAAAAACCATCTTCTACACAACCAATTAATTACCCAATGAATAGAAATCTTTTCAGAAGTTTGGCTGAATCATTCCCACTCTTTTTCTAAGAAGAAAAATGTGTGTGTGTGTGTGTGTTAATAGGCACTCTAATCATTTATCCCACAACTAGTTAGATTAAAGAGAGCCTGAGAGACTGGACCTCTCTCTCTTGTATCTCCCTTCCCATTCCCTCTTTCCTTTCCCTTTCCCTTGTCCTTCCCCTTTCTTTTTCCCTTCCCTTTTCCTTTTCTCTTCCCTTTCCTTTCTTTCCTTCCTTTCCCTTTTCCCTTCTTCCCTTTTCCTTCTCTCCTTTTCCCTTCCTTCCTTCCTTCCTTTCCTTCCCCTTCTCCCCTTTCTCTTCCTTCCTTCCTTTCTCCTTTCCTTCCCCTTTCCAGTTCCTTCCCCTTCCCCTTTTATTGACCCTTTCATTCCCTTTTCCATTTCCCTTCCCCCTTTCCTTTCCCCTTCCCCTTCCACTGTCCCTATCCCTTCCATTTCCCTTTCCCTCTCCTTTTCCCTTTCCCTTTCCATTTCCTTTCCCTTCCCCCCTTTCCTTTCCCCTTCCCCTTCCACTGTCCCTTTCCCTTCCATTTCGTTTCATTTCCCTTTCCCTTCCTTTCCCCCTTCCCTTTCCCTTTTATTTTCCCTTTCCTTTCCCTTTCCCGTTCCCTTGCCCTGTCAATTTCCTTTCCCTTCCCTTTCCCTTCTACTTCCCCTTCCCCTTTCTCTATCCCTGTCCCTTTCCCTTCCCCTTTTCTCCTTTCCTTCCCCTTTCCAGTTCCTTTCCCTCCCTTTTACTGACTCTTTCACTTCCCTTTCCCTTTCCATTCCTTTCCCTTCCCCCCTTTCCTTTCCCCTTCCCCTTCCACTGTCCCTATCCCTTCCATTTCCCTTTCCATCTCGTTTCCCTTCCCTTTCCCTTTCTCCTTTCCTTTCCCTTTCTTTCCCTTCCCCCCTTTCCTTTCCCCTTCCCCTTCCACTGTCCCTTTCCCTTTCCCTCCCCCCTTTCCCTTCTACTTCCCCTTCCCCTTTCTCTCTCCCTATCCCTTCCCCTTCGCCTTCCCTTTTCTCCATTCCTTCCCCTTTCCAGTTCCTTTCCCTTCCCTTTTTACTGACCCTTTCACTTCCCTCTTCCATTTCCCTTTCCTTTTCCTTTCCATGTCTTTTCCTTCCTTTCCCTTCCCTTCTCCTTCCCCCTTCCCTTTCTTGTTTCTTCTCCTTCTCTTCCCCTTTCCTTTCCCTTCTTCTTCACTTTCCCTTCTCCTTCCTTCCTTCCCCTATGTATTCCCCAGTACTTGGGCGGGGGGATCACAGTTTTTAAAGTAACAGAAATCTCTAGGACCACAGTCTGTTAATACACCTGAAAGGGAGCCTACCTCATGACTGCATAGCATAAAACTCTAAACTCAGAGTTATATGTTCAATATGTTATGCAACTCTTGCACCAAAAGGCAATGTGCACAACTGAGTGTGCTACAACTCCCAGGATTCCATAGCACTGAGCCTCGCCAAACTACAACTCCCAGGATTCCATAGCAGTGACCCTTGCCAAACTGCAACTCCCAGGATTCCATAGCACTGAGCCTCGCCAAACTACAACTCCCAGGATTCCATAGCAGTGACCCTTGCCAAACTGCAACTCCCAGGATTCCATAGCACTGAGCCTCGCCAAACTACAACTCCCAGGATTCCATAGCAGTGAGCCTTGCTAAACTACAGCTCCCAGGATTCCATAGCAGTGAACCTTGCTGAACTGCAACTCCCAGGATTCCATAGCAGTGAGCCTAGCCAAACTACAGCTCCTAGGATTCTATAGCAGTAAGCCATGCCAAACTACAGCTTCCAGGATTCCATAGCAGTGAGCCTTGCCAAACTATGACTCCCAGGATTCCATAGCAGTGAGCCTTGCCAAACTACAACTCCCAGGAATCCATAGCAGTGAGCCTTGCTAAACTGCAACTCCCAATATTCCATAGCAGCGAGCCTTGTCAGCTAAAGTGGTGCCAAACTGCATTAATCCTGCAGTATAGATGAGCCCTTAGAGTAGACACCAGTAGTTTTCAATCTGGTAAAGACAACTGTATTGAAAACTATTTAAAAAGCAATTTCAAAACCCATCATTTTCTAAATATTCAGCATAGAGAAATTATTATTATTTACCTTTCGGCCCCAATAGCGCTGCAGCCCAGGCACAATGCCAAGTCAGCAGGAAACTTAATACTTCGGCTCTTGTTTTCCCTCATGTCTCGAGAACATTGTTTTCTTATTTCATTAGACTGTTGCAGAAGAGAAGTTTACAACTCCTATTAATAGCAATTCAGGGACTTCTGAAATAACAGCCAGCAGCCTCGATCTGGGCCAGATGGAAACTATGAAAACAACAGAAAATCCAGAAGGAGAGGAAACCGCTGAAAATTATGGCTTCCTACAGCCGGGAGAAATTGCCGAAAATGCTTCTTTGGAGTCTCAGGAAGGAAATTTCTCCTTGGAAGAATTGTCAATAAGGAAGGAGATGGAAGGAGAGGTAAAATACCAATGTTATGGTTCTAAACTAGTTAAGTAGATGCATCTACACTGCAGAATTAATTCAGTTTGACACCACTTTAAGTGCCATGTCCCAATACTCTGGAATCATAGAAGTGTAGGAGCTCCTGTGGTGCAATGGGTTAAACCCTTGTGCCGGCAGCACTGAAGACCGATAAGTCCGGGGAGAGCATGGATGAGCTCCCTCTGTCAACTCCAGCTCCCCATGCAGGGACATGAGAGAAGCCTCTCACATGGATGGTAAAACATCAAACATACAGGCAACGCCTCCTGGGTAACATCCTTGCAGATGGCTAATTCTCTCACACCAGAAGTAACTTGCAGTTTCTCAAGTTGCTCCTGACGTGAAAAAAAATAGCAGTTGTAGTTTCACAAGGTCTTTAGCCATCTCTGACAGACAATGCTGGTGCCTTGCCAAACTACAACTTCCAGGATTCCATAACATGGTAGTTAAAGTAATAATAATAATAACAACAACAACAACAACAACACTTTATTACAAATCTACAACAACCCTCACAACCTCTGAGGATGCCTACCATAGATGCGGGTGAAACATCAGGAGAGAATGCTTCTGGAACATGGCCATACATCCCAGAAAATTCACAACAACCCAGTTATTTTGGCTATGAAAGCCTTTGACAACAAGATTCTTCTGTCTCTTCAGTTGGAACTTGGCCCTGTTCACATTGATTTGGAGACTCGGTTCTACTCTCTGGAGAATGCATCGCTTCAGGTGACAGAGAATCCAAACATAAGGAAGACAGACAATGACTCATTCAAGGTATAGACCCCATCCAAAGTTTAATGAAGTTGCTTATTCCATTATATTTCATTATAATGTTAAGATATGTATGTATGTGTATGTGTGTATATCTGTGTGTTTGTGTGTGATAAGGTGGAATCAGGTGTCAAACAGGGATGTGTTATTGCCCCAACTTTATTCTCCATCTTCATCGCTATGATACTTCATCTTGTTGATGGGAAGCTTCCCACCGGAGTGGAAATCATCTATCGGACAGATGGCAAGCTATTCAACCTCAGCAGACTGAAAGCCAAAACCAAGGTTACAACAACATCTGTTATAGAACTCCAGTATGCTGATGACAACGTCGTCTGTGTGCATTCAGAAGAAGATCTACAAGCCACTCTAAACACCTTCGCAGAAGCATACGAGAAGCTTGGCCTGTCATTGAACATCAAGAAAACCAAAGTGCTGTTCCAGCAGTCACCAGCCAATCCCTCTCCAATGCCAGAGATACAGCTTAATGGTGTAACATCCCTTGGCAGCCACCTCTCCACCAAAGTCAACATCGACACCGAAATACAACACTGTCTGAGCTCTGCGAGTGCAGCATTTTTCCGAATGAAGCAGAGAGTGTTTGAGGACCGGGACATCCGTAGGGATACCAAGGTGCTTGTTTATAAAGCTATTGTCCTCCCAACCCTGCTCTATGCCTGCGAAACGTGGACTGTCTACAGACGTCACATGCAACTCCTGGAACGATTCCATCAGCACTGCCTCCGTAAAATCCTGCAAATCTCTTGGGAAGACAAGTGGACAAATGTCAGCATGCTGGAAGAAGCAAAGACCACCAGCATTGAAGCGATGGTCCTCTGCCATCAACTCTGCTGGACCGGTAACGATGCAAATGGACATGGATTTAAACCCAGAAGTCATTGATTTTAATAGTTTTAAATTGTTTTTAAATTAATTTTATTATGTGATTTAACCTGTTTTAAATGATGTATTTATGTGTGTTCGGCATCTAATTGTTGCCAGTCTGTACGCCGCCCTGAGTCGTCTTTGGGCTGAAAAGGGCGGGATAAATCATGGTAGTTAAAATAGTATCAATCCGAATTAATTCTACAGTGTAGATCAGTGTTTCTCAACCTTCCTAATGCTGCGATCCCTAAATACAGTTCTTCATGTTGTGGTGACCCCCAACCATAACATTAATTTCGTTGCTACTTCATAACTGTAATTTTGCTCCTGTTATGAATCAGAATGTAAATATCCAGTATGCAGGATGTGTTTTCATTCACTGGAGCAAATTTGGCACAAATACCTAATATGCCCAAATTTGAATACTAATGGGGTTGATTTTGTCATTATAGTTAGTGGGCTTCACCTACAATCAAAAGCAT